CTTCTTGTGTTCTTTCTCCCCTTCAAGTCCAAACTTATGATGTTTTTCTTCCGTTGATTCAGAACCAGATTCATCATGTGAACCATCTTCCTTATTTTTAGACTCATGAACCATCTCATCGGAGCTCTCGGGCCTATGATGAGGTGCAGCTTCCTTATGATCAAACTTATCTTTCTCGTGTTCTTTGAATCCATGACCAGAACTGTGACCAGAGTCGGTATTTGGGCTAGAACTAGTCTTCAAAGAAGCTTTATTCTCATGAGCATCATTGAATAAGTCAGCGGCATGACATGGTCTTGCACCAGCATGCTCTTCCACAAGAGCCATATCATGGATATGGGTTAGGTGATTATCAAGAACTCCACCCTTACTGCTCAAAACCAAGTAAAAAATTCCAATCAGGATGGTCAAAGCTAATGTCAACTTTCTGAGCCACTTCTTCTTGTCATGATCGACCTCAACGGTTACAGGTTCTTCTGTTGCCATTTTCTCATCGTAAACGCCGACCTCCGATTCTTCATCTTCGCTATCGTCGTCAGGGAGCCTTCCCTTACCATAGTGTAGCATATTCCAGATAGAGTATTCTCTAGCGGAATGACGATTCATATTGGTTAATACTTCTCTTTGAATCTTTTGTCATCCCCTATAATAAAAGAGCAGCCTTATATATATATCTTTATTTTTCCTTACAACTTTTTCCGCCACTCATAGCGGAGCAGTACACTAAGCCGCTAATACGATTGCGGATTTTACAAGGCTTAGAAAGCCGAGGAATGTGCAATCCTAATAGAGTAGAGCTATACTATTTAAACTATAACGCCATCAAATCTACCCTCGCTGGCTTGTTGTTCTTCAATATACCTCAAAGTACGTTCGAATAAGTTAGATATATGTGTGAAGAGCTTAAACTCATTGTCATCACTGTCCTTGACTAAATTATTGTCTTTCAAATTGTCAACGTTTGTCTTTATAAGATCAATAAGGCCATTAATGTAGCGAGAATCGATTAAGGGATTGCCATAGATGTTAAAAATAAGGCATCTGTTTAAAATCTCAACAAAGAGTTTGAGAGACAAATAAGGATCCATACAAGAATCAGCGATTCTTAGAGCCTTTTGAAGGCACTCTAAGACCCTCTTGGGGTCTCTAAATAGCTCCCCCTTCTTCTCTGAAGACTTATCGTTGTCTGGCATGGCATCGGTGACGGTAGGTGAATTCTCAACAAATAAATCGCACCACCACCATAAGTGAGAACAATAGTACACAGACCTACACTGATCTTGCTTCTTCAAAAGCTTTGATCCGTAGAGTGTTACTTTGGTGATAAGATTCTCGTAGTTTTCCTTTGAGAAATATCTCAGGGTTATCAATTTGTTTGCAATCAAAACAATCGACTGATATGGTATGGAACCACTCAAAGGGTCATGAGGATTATTGTGTTGACTGATAGATGTCATTGTCCAATTTTCTTCGTAGATGACAAAACACGTAGTGTATAATTCGTAACTTATTGATTCTTGCTTTAATTGATCAGCAACAGCAGCGCAGTTGAGATAAGTTTTTAATATTAGCGCTGAGTTGAATTCTTGGTGATGCTGGTATAATTCATCAAGTATAACAGATAAATTTTTGAAGTTGCTCGTGATAAGTAAGTCCTTATTTGAATTTGTAACATTCTTGTTCATAGATAGGAAACCAATAAGCTTGAGTTTATACAATATCCTGGCAATAAGGGTCGGATAAGTATATATAATGTTTTCAGGGTTTTTGTTGAGATACCTTTTTCTAAGATACATCAAATTAGACAAGCTCTTGTAAGGATTTTTGTTTTCAACCAAATGTATAAGCTTGCAAATCTTTTCCTGTGTGATTAAAAAGTCTTGAGTGATCATTGCCTCCCCATTTTTAATTTTAATTGCCCGAGTTACACCCAAAGATTTAGAGGTGTTAACTTCATTGTCGGAGTCTTTAATTAGAACTAATAAGTATTTGAAAATACTATCAATTTCATCGGTAGTAGTGAAGAAATCGTCTTCTCTAGGATCTTGCAAGATTTTATCTACTATTTCCAATGAAATTTGCTTTTGTAATGACTTTTTCGATAATTTCAAATAGAATTCATGGAAAAATGGCAAATTCAATAAGTTTTTTGTCGAATTGAAATGTTTGACAGGTGCAACTAGTAACAGCAACCAAAGGTTTTCTTCATCGTCATTTCCAGTAAGTTTTTCAATGGAAAACTTGTAAATTCTGTCTAAATTTTCAAAGTTTTCAGGATCATATGTGAGAGTCAATTTTATGAATGACTGTAGAATCAAAGAATGCTCCTCAGCTGGTAACTCGGGATCCATTTCGTAAAGTCTCAAATAGAACTTCCAAAATGTATCAAACAAGTCCTTATCTGAGATTTCTAGCTTCTCTTTATCGCTGATCTCCAATTCGTTGAGATCTGTTGAAATGTCGCTTTCAAACTTATGAAATGTCAAAAATCTATCTATTAATGTTGCAACCAACCCACTTTTTCTTAAAAGGGGATTTAAATTTAGAAACACATCATTCAATAAGCTCTCTAAAGTTGCAAAATGGAAATCATCAGGAAATATTTGTATTAAGACGTCGACCAAATAACTCTGAGCCAAATGATCTCTGCATTGTATAATTTGCTCAGTAATTACGGGAAATATTTTTTTTTGATAGTATTTCACACTAGAGTAATCTTTATCTCCGCTATAGTCATCAATAATTTGTGAAAGTCTCACCAAGTTAGAGCCAACCAAGATCTTGAGTTCCTTTCGTTCATTGTATCTGAGCTCCCTCTCTGATGAGTGTCCCTGATGCTGTAGCCTGACCCATAGTTTGTTCATTTCGATGAAATTAGATATCAAGAAATTAACGGTCTCATTAAAATCCTCCTCCGTCGACAATGGTAACAAGTCCTTGGTTCTTTGAGAGAGATAGTATCTGAGGAAAAGCCCTCTTATTGGATGCTGGACTCCTCTACACATTTCTATCAAGTCTTTCATGATTTCTTTAACTGGCGCATCCTTTGTTGACATGTACGTAGTTCCAATTACTACCATCATGTAAAGTCTTGGGATAATATTACCAGAATACTGTACCAATTCGTACAAGTCGGCTAGAAAAGGAGTGTTAGCCGGTTTCCTCTTTTGCTTTGAATTGCGGGAGGCTAACAAGTGGCTTGATAATACTTCCAACGAATCAAAAACAGCAATATATAATTCATAGTACTGTTTAGGACTTAGCAGACTAGTCCTTAATTCATTCAAAAAATTAGAACAGTGCTTTAATGCTTGGAGAATATTGTTATCTGCCAAGCATTGCTTCATTAAACTTGATTGATGACTAATGCTATTCAAAGAACTTTCAAGAACCGAAGCTTGATTGCTTGAAGCCATTACCATCTTGCTTGTTCCTTATCCGATTGAATGATAAATTCTTTGATTTTACAACACTCTCAATTAATTTAAAAATATAAAATCTCGGTTTTATTCCTCAATTAATTCTGAGATCATTAGACTGCCAAAAATTAATTAGGCTGACAAATAAGATTAAACAGAGGCGTAGTTAAAGGATTAGTTGTCATATAATTACTCTTTGAAAATCAAAAGAGTAGAATTGGCTAATTTACTTATGTTCAACTATATATTATGTCATAAAATGAGGGTTTTAGAGATTAAAAGAATCTATATCGTGTATCACCATTCCAGCTATTGCTGCTGAAATGAGTGTAGATATTCCACCGGTTAATAAAGCAGAAATGATAGAGGAAGCAATATCTTTCGATCTTCTGTGTTTTGAAAGTGTATTCAAGACTCCGATAGCGATACCCAAAGATCCTAAGTTGGAGAAACCGCAAAGAGCGTAAGTTGCGATCAAAATACCTCGCTTTGACATTTCATTGTATGGAGATTGGGTAGTGAGGAGATTGTAAGCTACAAACTCATTCTGTATGAACTTTGTGGCGATAAGTTTTGAAACAAGAAGTATTTCATTCCTAGGGGTCCCCAATAAGAACCCAACTGGGTATAAGAGATAAGATCCCATCAATTCTAAAGACAATTCTTTTATATTCCAGAAGTTCCCAAACCATCCTAGAAGAGCATTAACCAATGCGACAAGCCCAATGATACACATACATTGAATCAACATGGTAAGGGCAATCTGTAATCCCAAGGTCGCACCGTTTGAAAAGGCATGCAACACATTAGTGGGTTTGTCTTCTTCCGCTTCAAGTGATTGAGGAATTTCAACTTTACCATTTGTCAATGGAATTTCAGTTTCTGGAAATCTTAGCTTAGACACCGCCAATGATGCAGGGATTGACATAACACAAGAAGACACCAATGCTTGTGGATTTAATCCCAATCCTATATATCCAACAAGTACTGATCCCGAAATGGTTGAGAATCCAGAACACATAATCTGATGAAGCTCAGCTTTGGTGAGAAATGGCATGAAGTCTTTAATTAGGATTGCTGATTCACCCATGCCTATAAACGGAGAAGCGGCTGCTGTGATTGCCTCAGCACCAGAGACTCTTAAGGACCAAAAGAAAAAATAGGCAAATTTTCCAATGAACCATTGGATCGCACCAAAGTAATACAATATATGTATGAACGCAACAAAGAAAGCAACAGCGGGAAGCACTGTAAAGAAAAACATTCCTAGCTGAGAGACTTCTGCGTTGGTCAAGAATGACACACCATCTTTGGCAAATCCTAATAATTCTCTTGCTAAAGTTGAAATAAAATTAAAGACATCATATCCACACTTAGTTCTCAAGACAAATAAAGCAATAATAAATTGCATCAACATCCCACCAATGACTGTGTTCCACTGTATTTTCGTTCTGTTATTGGAGGTGACATACAATCCAAATAGTGCAACAACACACCCAAAAAAAGAAACTGCTCTGTCTTCTCTTTTGGAATACGAAGTTTCAGAAGGAACAAAAGTGCCGATTAAAATAATAGCGACGGTTCCCGTGGCACCAGTCATAAGCCTCATAGTTCTAGTCATCAACACTTTTTCATATATAAAATCAGTTGCAAAGTACCAGATCCTTTGGCAGTAACTAAACAAGAAGTGAACTATGTTGCAGTTCCAGGTAATTAATCTTACCATGATCATCATCCATAGAATCGTTGGAATCAACCATTGGTGTCTATGTTTTTCTTGAATCACGATTGATAACCACCATGATGTAAAAAAACATCCAAAAAACATATGAATGATTTGTTTCATATATGGAATCCTATCCTTCAAACATTTAATAGATATCGAGAGTCCATTTCTCTTCGAAGTGCTACACTGATCATCTTCTAATGAGGAATATTCGGTCTGTTCGAGTTCATATGGAACCTCTTTTCCTTTATCTAATACCTCTGACTGTTCTTTGATGAGGTCTTCTTCTCTTATTTCGAGTACCCTTGTATCGGTAGCAATACTTTGTTCATCCTGTGACAACATACCGATGTTTTCTTTATTTGAAAAAAAGCTTTAAGAATCCAAGTAAGCTCTCTCAATATTTTGGTTCAATGACCGATAAGAAACTTGAAAAAACTTTTTTGCGCCCAAGGTTTTTATAACGTCACTTCTTGGTTGTTTCATCATTATCTTCAATTAAAAATCAAGAAATTTGACAAAATCGCATGGCAATTCTTAGGGCCACTAAGAAAGTGGGAAGGTAACTAACTGAATGAAAATGGAAAGTATAGCTGCATTGAACGTTAACAATAGTTGCGTTATCGATATCTTGAGTTCGAGATACGGCTCTATCGAAATTTAGCCGCGGCGATTTTTCTTGTCCCAAAGATCCAAGTTAGTGCCAGAATTGAAGAAAGGTAAGAGAGAAGAGATATTATCAAGTGATAAAGTAAGTAAGAATGTTATAATATTCATCAAGATTACGTGTTCTGTAGACTTCCAATATATACAGAAATGAAAAGAACTTCAAGTAAGCCATATATATCCATCCATGTTGCACATGATATGGACCCCTTTTGCGGAAAAATATTGAATTCATGGCTACAAACCCTAGTCTCCATCGTCATGATTGGGTTTATTCCAACGATACTTGTCTTTAGACTCGACTATATGTTTGGGGTCAATCTCATTGCTAATCCCCATGAGGGTTTTTGAGAGTGCCTCAGTAGTACCAATAATTGGCCTAATGATGATCACAGGAGATGACTTCACAACTGAGAGTAATGTTTCTTGCATGTTATCACTATTATTGATTTCCTGTTTTAAATCCACAATTTTACGCTTCGTTGAATTCAAGTTTTTTCCAATAGATTGATAAGCGAGCCTTATGCCTTCCTGTATAGTTTCAGGCTGATTTGAATACAAACTTATTAATTTTTCATCAGAGGGATCTTCTTCGTGGAAGTTTTCACTGTCGCTATCATCATCTGGTTGAGGTATGCCAAGAATTTGACTATTTCTCGTATCTAGAAGAAGTAGCGATTGATTTAACATTTGATTATCGATTTCTCCAGGGTCATCAAGATCCATATAGGAATATAATTTTTTACTACCATATTGATCCTTTTGCTGGGGAATACTTTGATTCAATAACTGAGACGAGGCAAGTAAATTATTATTCTTTAGACTTTTGTGACCAATTTTTGCGGATAGCTCATCATCTTTGTTATACGTCAAGTCAGGCCTCTCCTTCTCCTTCTTTTTTCTCTTGCTCTTGTAATTATTTTTAGGCAACCTTGCTGCTGCACCTTCACCTCCGAACATTTCTTCACCCTGTTCTAGGATCACTTGAGCTCCAGATGCTAATTTTGCTCCTAAGTTTAAAACTTCATATCCAGTTGTCTTGGCGAAAAGTGAGGTGCCCTTTTGAATACTTCTGACCAATCTTCCATCCTTTTTATACTCCCTTATGGGTATAGCGACCAAGTTCTTCATTCCTCCGCCAATATTAACAATTGATCTAATTGGTGAAAGACCTGATAGGATACCTGCCAATTGTGTTTGCTGTATATTTGGCGTCCATGTGTTCTTCAATTCCCATGAAAGTTTAGGAAAACCTAATATTCCATGTAATTTAACAGGTGGCAAGATAATATCTGACCCATCAAGAATGAAAAAATTCATAAACTCTGCAGCCTTTCCAGATTTAATTCCATTATAGTCAACCTTTTTAGGCTTATAATCAAGCTTTACCCTTAGTGACCCCATTTCGAATTTTTGAATGTAAATGATTTCATCTGGCGGCAAGTAAAATCTTGAGTCTTTGAACTCTATGAACCTTGTCAAGAAATCTAATGTATCTTGGTCAACATATAACCTCAATGGCAAAACTGATACCCTTATAATTGCTTCACTCGATACTAAACTAGGATCCGGACGTACATTGAGAATTGATAAGTTTAACATACTCGTTCCGATTTCTCTTTCTCCTAATATATTCATATAGCTTAGAAACTTGTTCCAAGTAGAGGTGGGAACGTTGTCAAATATATCAATATTATCGAGTCTAATATCGATCGAATTCAAAAGTTCGTAGTCTAAGCTGTTATCAGTCTTGTCTTTCCGTGGGTCTCTTGTTGTGAAGATAGCAACGTTGGTTTCAATATTTTTCAAATCGATCAACAATTTGTGAGTTCTTGAACGACGCAATCTCAAATTTTTATAATTTTTGCCTAATGAAACACTAACTTCAGTTTTCTTATCATCACTTTGTACGTTGTTGTTGATCTTTTTCGTCAAGGAGGAGGGATCTGACAGTTTAGGCATAGAAAGGTGTATTGATTGGAACAAAGTTTCACCTATAGTCTCTTCCTCATATGCATCCTCATCGTTATCATAATCATTTTCTTCATCACTGTCAAATTCTTCGTCATACTTATCAGCATCTTCTATCTCGAACTGATTATTGCTGTCTACTCCTATCATATTCAAATTGGGTGATGGTTCGTCGTCAATAACTTCGTCTTCGTTCTTGAACTTTACGTCCAATTTCTTCCCACGATTTTCTCTTTTAATTTCTTTTCTCCTATTTATTTCCATAATGGCTTGGGCTTCGATTCTTTTCACAGCAGCCTTTATCGCTTTACGAGTTTCTTTCCAATCGTAACCATCATATAAATAAATCTGGGTTTTGGAAAGATTAATGTTCATATGAATCGGATGTTCTTTTACCTCCGCAACGATATCTTTTCCTTTCATGAAATGGTCTTCCTCGAAAGTTAACAGGGACATTGCATTGGCTTCATTATTCGATGATGATTCACTTCCTAAGCTTAATGCTCCTACGTTATTTTCAAGACTGCTAGACAAATTGTGATTCTCAACATACCCTTCAATAATAAATAAATCATCATCTTTTGCAGCATCAGAAGACAGTCTAGTATCCTTATCAGGTTTGAAATATGTCTCTTCATCTATTTCCTTTATTAAGCTTATGGGTTCTTTTACTTCCAACCTTGTCTTATCCTCTGGTTTGAAGTTTAAAGGCAATTTCAAATCATTAATTAATTGAGATAATGTATGAAAAGAATCGGCACATAAATCAAGGTTATGTTCATCGGAGTTTACCTTAATGTCTAAAAGCGCTAAACTTTCGTTGATCCCTAGCTTCCTATTTCTTGTTTTGATACTTTCAATATCCGTGTTAACTGTGATTCCAATGTGCGTGCAGTTTACGTTTCCAACGACAATAAAACCTGAAGACAAAAAGTAATTTAAAGGAGAAACATAAGAAATGTTTTGGTCTTGCATTTTAGAGTCAAAAGACGAAGTTTTCACGTTCTTGAGATCATCTATAAGTAATATTGATATATCTCTCAAAGAGCTTTTGACATAAAATTGATTGACGCCAAACGTGACATCCGAGTTACCTCTTTGCATCACTAAGACGGCTTTAGAGGTAAGTCTCCCAGGATTCAACCCCAATGAACAATCATGCAATGTAAATCGGATATCAAATCTTTTGCGTGGTGACCTTTCCGTTCTATGTTTTATCGAGTCTGTGACTTTGTTCTCAAGTACATCGTCGTACGTCAAGGTACTATCTTCTAGTAGTTGTAACCAATTAGTGTAATACTCTATTTTAATATTACGTACTATCACCTCCACTAGGCTAATTTTATCTTTAGTTTTCAAGTGCACTAGAATAGTGGGGCTCTGTAAGTCTATCTTTGGAAACCTATCTACAAAACATTCAGACACACCATCTTTATATCTTACTATCTTGAAATTTATTAAAGAACCTTCAATTTCGTCTTTAAATTGATGGAATGAAATTGTATTGATTTTGAAGTGAAAATCTCCAAATTCTGGTTTGATTTTTAAAACCTTAATGTCAATTTCATCAATAATAAGTCTAAAGCTTGCAATAGTTTGCCTTCTTGCATTTATGACAGAGTTATGATTAGTGAAATTTGCTCCTCGCCTTTTTGGTCTCCTTTCACTCAGGTATACTGAGGGATGGGTACTTATCGGCCGGTCAGGAAAGCTTTTTGGATGAGTCGTACCAGAGTCGCTCAAAATGTTGCATGATTTCTCAAATAAACTATCTTGGTCCAAGTGATCTGCAAATCGAGACATTTCTTTAAGTAAAAATTTTATATCTTTCAAGCTCATTTCGAGAGAGATCTTAGTTATGTGTAGCTTTAACGAGGAACTGAGTATTACTTCACGTGGAATGAAACTTGAATTATGCCCACTTGTCTTGCTAACAAAGGATTTGAATTCTTCAGTCCTGGTTATCAATTTTATTTTAGAAATGCATGCTAATGTATTTTCATGATCAGCCACTATTGTACTTATAAGAACTTTTTGTATTGAGAGCTCGCCCTCGATCGAATTAAATGATAATGGGAATATAACTGCCTTCAAAAGACAAGCATTTGAAAGTTTAACAGATATTGTTAAAGGAGCCGTTTGTAAAATGAAGAGCGAACTCGAATCTGCCTTCAAAGGATATGACTTGTGATTCAAATTTTTAAGTGTCTCAATTGCATCGTAGACTAGTTTAGTTTGCTCTAAGATTGTCTGAATTGAATATGCAAACTTGAATAAGATCTCAAAATCCTTTGACTCAATATCGATGGACGCAGGCTTTGAGAATAGTGTAGTGAATTCTGAAACAGATGACCCCTCATTTTGAAATACTTCGAATCTAATATCAGCTTTTCCAGACGTGAGTGGTCTTTCAGAAGCAGTCTCAAACACATTTGCGTCGGCAGCTGCTCTATCGGTGGCTCCTTCAGTCTTTGTGCTGTCGAACTTGAAAACATCAAACTGTTCTCCCTTCTCAGTTCTGACCATTTTCAAGACTTCAATACCTCCATAATGCAAGCTCTCGTTTTTCCGCTTGATATTTAAATTATGTAAAACAAGTTCAAAGTTATTATCTTTGGATCTAAAACTTCCATCCGGTAACAAGGAAGATGTCAAGCTTACGACGATATTGTCAATATGAATCTTGTTGAACATGAAATCTAAGGATTCTGTCGTAGAAGTTTCTGTGTCTAGTATTTCATCACTTCTGCTATACTGAGGAAATTTTGAGTTATGTTGAAGCTTGTTATGGGCTATATTTTTCTTTTTCAATTCATGAATCTTGATCTTGAGAGTCTTAGAAATTTCATGAAACATTGCTATCACACTAGGCATCAAAGGAACCCAAGCAATTTTAATATTACCCAAATTCAAATGAATATTAGATAGCATACTAAGACCTTCAAATTCAATCTCAGCACTATCAAGTTGTGCTATCACAGTACCATCCCCCTTTTCTTTCGATATTTTATTATCTATTACATGTGAATCACCATCCTTTTCAGGTTTCTTCTTGAAAGATTGTGAAGTAGCACTCATATAGATTGAGCTAGCTTCATCATGAGTGAACAACATACTATTCATTAATGATTCATCTCCATATCCGTCGTCACTGTCGTCAATTTCATCATCTTTCTCGTCTTCCTCTTTTTCGTCTTCCTCGTTACTATTCTCGGTATTTGCTGCACCTGGCGCATTTGACTTTGATTGCGGCACCAGGCAGCTTCCACTGTCACCTGTATTGATATCAGGTCGAAGGATCACAATCCTTATTCCTTTCGTTGCAATATATCTTGTTCCATTTATGCTATTAAAGACTAGTTCATCGACTTCAAGAAGTAAATCCATCACATCGGAAACAATTTTTATGTGAAGATTATAAATTTTAATTTGTAGTCTCAGCAATGCCATTTCTACAGCCTTTGTCATGACTCCGCTTAAGGCAGAAGGTTTGGATTTTGAAGTAGATGATGATGAGTCTGACCTATTAGTGTTCAATTTGGTTTCTAAATCAATATCGTCAACTTCTTCATCACGATTACCACTTCCCTCAGGAGTGTAAAAGGCATTTTCTTCACTTTGATCTTTATTGCCCGTATCTTCTATCTGCTCATCGTCGCTCCTTTCAGTCATAATAGTATTTGCTAAATCAGTAGTACTTTGTACTAGCAGAAATTGAACATTACTGTTGCCTTCATCTTCTAGCTCAACATCTGGTGCAATCACTATATCAACATCATGTGCATCTATATTGACGCCTCCCATGACACCTCCGATCAACTCCAACAGACCAACTTGGCCATACCTTAGATTACATCCCGGAAGCTTCCCTACTTTTTCTGGATCTATGGAAATCTCTTTAAGAACCACATTCTTTAATGACACTTCTTCGAGGTTTGGTAAATCAATCTCCGAAAACAATGATAGTTGTTGTAAAACATAAAGAAGAAGCCTTTTTTGGATGTTTTGTGGAATCCACTGAGGGCACATTACACCTACCTACTAATGATTCCAGCTTTGGCGGCTTCCTCTGATTTGCTATATGCCACTTCTGCTATATTCAGAATATCCAGAGAAGGATGAATTTAAAATTATGGTAATATATTACTTCTAAAAGAATAGCTATTTGCTAAGATGATCTAAGACACTATCAAGTTCTATTATCAGGCAGACCGATAAATATATCCTGTATATAGTGTGTAATAATAAGGGCTCTAGCCAGCCACAATATTCTCTATTATTTATAGAAGTGTCCCAAACGGCGTCGGTTTCCATTGGGGATAGTCTTCTAGAAAATATACTTTTGTGGGCCGTTCTGAGGTGTGTGAATTGAATTTCTGCCTTTTCAGTGATTTGATATCTGATTCCCAAGATTCGCAATCACGCTTTGTTGCACCAGAATCTTCTGCAAACAAGTCTTCCACCAGGGGAGGAGCTGCGAATGATTCAAGGCGAATTTCTTTTTTGACTTCAGCGAGATCCGCTTCCAATGACTCTAACTTTGATGAATCTAATATTCCTTTTGACAGTTCCACCAATTCACTGAGACATTTCTCGCGATCTTCTTTTGTTAATCGGGAAGTTTCATGAGCAATAATCAGGATTACGTCCGACTCCGCTGATACAAAATGAGATTTCTGCGTATGTAACATAGTATACTTAGATGGCAAATTCGTGACCAAATTTCGAATTAATAATCTAGTCCATTTAAGAAACTGAACAGTTTCATACGGATGCTCTATGCTTGTAGGCTCGCTTAATACTAGAAAGATCTTTTTTAGGAGCTGAAGCTTAAAATTTGACCCTAGTTCATCTAAGAGAGGCAAGTATAATTTGAATATTAATGAGTTGAACTTGAATTTGGGTCTCATGGCGAGCTTGTCATGGTTGTAAATTAAAAAATTTTTGAACAAAAGTACTTCAATCAAGAGAGCTGGATCAATTTGTTTTAGACCCTTGATTGAGTTCCAATATTTCTGGCCTATCTCTGTAGTATTACCAAATTTGTAGATGACATCAAGGTTTTGTTTTCTTATTTTTTTGAAAACTTTCAAGTCGTCTATTGCTGCATCTATTGTTGCAGTTTCACTTTCCTCATCCTCTGCAGAGTTTTCCATTTTATCAATCCAACACCAATAATTATCATAAAGCCAATTTAAAGCTCTTCTAGCACCAATCCTTAGAATCTCTAAAGTGGGAAGCTGTTCATGAGTACCCATATGACGTAACTCAACAAAGAAGCCTGGTAGGTTCAAATTACGCGCAAGTTGGTGCAAAGGGATCGCATAACTAGACTGCTGAAATGGGTCAAGGAGCCCATTTACAAACCGAATGAGTGCCATGGAATACGATAATTGTAAACAATTCGAATCCTCTTGTTTAGGATGATTTGAAGGTAACGATGGATCCGAAAGGCAGACTGATGAAAGCAAAGAGGTTGCTTCAAGACCATGTGGTACCTTACCTCGGGAGCAGTAAGCTTTTACTCTCAGAATTGCTCTTGAGCGATTGTCGATTTGACCATCAAAGTTATAGAACCAGTTTTTAAGCTCAACAAGCTCGTCGGTAGTCCTATAACACACAACAGCAGGGTGACGCATAATCCTACGTAGACCAAATTAGAATAACTGTGATCTCCTTTTCTTAAAAACAAATAAATTGATTTCTATACTATTCTAAGTTCCATCTACCCCCGTGCTGATATCTTTCAACAAACTCGTTTTCCCCAGACGCTACTTCTCAAACTTGACTAATATATGTAGTACTATTATGACAAATTTATCAATCTTCGAGACTAGTTCACTTTTCTCGAGTCTCTTATTGTATTTCTACCTACGAAAGTCTAGTTAAATTCCTCTTATTCGTCTTCTTGGGTTATATTTCTATGGTTATCATGTTTTTGTGTAATAGTCTGCGATGAGTCTGACATATTAAGTTGGGCACACATGTAATGATATTCTGTCAGTGCGGCTCATAGAACATAGAGCGGTCGCTGTTACCTCCTCTGTGAATTGTATTTTTTGCGCACATGCAGTTGAAGCAGTTTGCGCTTTTGTCTTAGTAGCTCAAATAGGATGCTTGCTCTTATTGTCATCGAAGTCAAGTGACATAGAAAACAACCTGCACACCCCATATAGCCTCATGCTTGTTTCTGTATATACATTTTGTTTGCGCTTCATCTAGCGCCTATAGTTTGCTGCTACCTGCCTCTTCTTGCTCGGCTGACTTCTTGAGTCTGGAACAATATCATATACACTTTCCAATGTGACTGGGTTTAACACAGTGGTAGGAACTAAATTCTACTAACTACTATCTTCTTCTTTTAGCATTTATTATTCGCAGTTTGCAACTTCGAGGGGCGAGATGAGCTCTGGGGCTTTCTTATGTCTCCACATATGAAACTCCAGCAATTTCTAGTCACGTCACTATGGAGTTTAACCACAGAATATTGGCATTCGGAGAAAGTAGCATGACAGTCGCGGCAATAAGAAGTTCACGTTTTCAGCCCCTCACTAAATTGCGAATGTGCAATACATTCAGAAGAGTGACTCTCGTAAGTGCAAGGTAATATGGAGTGGCTCATAGAATAGAGAGGAGTAGGTTTAGAAGAGTAGAAAAAACCAACAAAATTGTATAACTATTAAATACCATCTATATAGCTTTTAATTATCAAGATACTAATAGAGTTATATCGCCAATTAAATTTTTATTAAGAATATAGTATCTTTTAGCGAATTATCATTTACGTTACATTTCTCGTCGACCCATAAGTATAATAATGTCTTCATCTTCCATTGATAAGCCAGCAGTCTCTCATGATTTAGATTTTGATAATAAAGAACATGAAAGCATACGTATTGATGGAGCAGGAAATGAGTTCGTTATAATAGGAAATAAAAAGTATTATAGGCATGAGTTAATGATGGCCTTTGGTGGTACATTAAACCCAGAAAGATATGCTCCATATCCGGTTCACCAGTTTGGTAACGCTTCAGCAATGGGGCTCTGTGCCTTCTCAATGACAACCTTTGTGTTAGGGCTTTATTTGGCTGGTGCAATGGGAATAGCCGTACCTAATGTCGTTGTTTCGCTCACATTCTTTTACGGCGGAGTTGTTCAAATGTTAGCTGGAGTATATGAGATTCTCATTGGAAACACTTTCGCTGCTACGGCATTTGCAAGCTATGGTCCATTTTGGATGTCCTATGGTGCTATATTTGTGGACAACTTTGGTATTACAGCAGCTTACGAAGATGAACCTGAGCAACTCGCAAACGCCACCGGTTTTTTCTTAGTTGGGTGGGCCATTTTTACTTTCTTGTTGCTATTATGTACCCTTAAGTCCACAGTTATGTTCGTTGCTCTCTTCTTGACATTGGACTTGGCTTTCATTCTCCTCGCGGCTGCTAACATGACAGGCAAAACCCTGATAACTAAGGCAGGTGGTGTCATGGCTGTTATATCTGCTTGTTGTGGTTGGTATAATGCATTTGCTGGTGTTTCTACAAAGCATAATTCTTATTTGAGAGCAAATCCTGTGCTTTTGCCAATTATCGGTGGAGGTAACTCCTGATTTTATTATCATTTATATGTCTAACAGATGAAGTAATTGTAATTGTTCATAAGAAACGTCGCCCTTGTAGTTTTGATCTTCTGAAATAGAATTCATTCTTATCGTGGCACTCGAGTCGATGCTTGAATATTGAGCGTCATGGTTATCAAAACTTGAGGTAGAAATATTTTGGTTTAGTAGGACGCGAGTTTCCTTATTCATGTTTATATCGCTGTAAGGAAACTTTGAATAGATTATGGCTTCCTCAGGAGAGAGAAATGGATCTAATTTGATGTTGTGACCAAATGCGCTATCCCAGCTGATCAAAACAACACCAAACAAAACCCCCGATAAACCTAATAAAACCAAAAATAGCTGAGAAAACGACATCTTATGATCAGCGAGCAAAGAATTGAAAAGCAAGTCATTAAACAAATTAACCAAATTATAAACCAAAAAGCATAATGGATATAGTATTGAAGTTGATATTTGCGACAACCCTAAATTGAATGCTGTCAACTGGCAACCAATTATTAGTAACATTACAATCAAAAGAAAGTATGGAGTGAAATTGGATGAAGCAAACACTTGTTTAAAATCATGATTTTGACTCATTATTGATTCGATTATAACATCAATCAACGATTTGGCAAATAAAAAAGTGTGAGCAGTCAATGTACCACTAATAAGACCATAATTTATGCCTTTCACAAAGTGAAGCTTGTTCACAGCTTTTTTTAATAACCTATTTCTTCGTTTTTGAAGTTTGAACTTTATTTCTCGCATTCTTCTGGATACCATGTAATTGATAAACAAGAGAACAGCAATAATAAAAAATGTTCCAATAAACCAACTTAAAAAAGACTTCTTCATCAACTTTTTTATAATCAAAGCGAATCTTTTGTCAACATGCTCCTTACCAGGTGGACTCTCTGGAGCTGTACTTCCATTATAAGCGATCATAAACGCTCCACCTGATATAAATACTGTTCCCCATCCTAGTTTCCTTGTAAAAGATTCTCCCGGTAAGAGCATACAACTCAATATTGAATTAAAAATTAGCCCGATACTTTGCAACGGTGATAATATTATCAAAGGTAATGTCGTTATTTGGATCAAGGAGCCTAATACATTTGCTATGATAAATAAAATAAAGCCAAAAAGCCACATATTCCTTTTATATTTCTGTATATGATAGTGACTCGTAGAATGAGAATGCAATAGATGGGACTTTCTTTGAAGAGTGATCCCTAGTGACTGAATCGCTGACGATATGATAGCAACACTACATCCAAGAAAGATAGATGAAGTTGTTCCGCTTCCCATGTTCTTCCAAACAATGATGTGTTAGTCAATTTCGTTATTAATTAAAAAACCACCTGGCTCTTCTTGAATTTAAAGTTAAATCAGGCAATATGGCTATACTCTCTCAATAAGTCTATCGAATAAGATACATCTATTATAATTTAAGTAAGATATTGATGGCCAGTTTGCTAATTGATACTATATATTCCTATTTAATTTACAATTTTGGCGGTGCTGCTCACATGCAGTCTGTTTACATTATACAAAAAAGCACTTAGAGAGAAGTCTGCTAAACTGTAGAGAAGAGAGAGAGTACGTCACAGCATAGACAGCATGGAAGGCACGCTAGAAGGCATCATAGACTGTTTGGACTCAGATAGTTTCGAGGAAAAGCACAGGGGGTTAGACTTACTCGACCATTTCATGGCGGAATTGTTACCTGATATCGTCAATTATAGAAAGCAGGGACTGGTTAGTAGTAAATTACAGACATTTGTTATACTTCAAGGATCGCTTCGTTATAACATAGCACAAAATTTGATATCGTATTATAAGAGCGAAGGTGTAAGTGATGAAGAGTATATTTTGACGTGCAACAGGCTCCTACAAGGAATATTATTGTTGCATCCAGACTCAAGAAATTTGTTTGGCAGAAAAGCTACAATGAAGCTGGTTCTTAAATTCTTAGAAATATCCGAATTATCTATACCTGTCTCAATATCTTTCGTTAGCACCATTATTCATATTTTATTGAAAAATTTGGAAAACTGCCGAGTTTTCGAAGAGTGTGGCGGTTGCTCCGTTGTTATAAAAAAGCTTGATCTATCATACTCTTCTTCTCAGTCTCCACAAGTATCTCAAAATACGGTCCATGAGATAACTCAACAAAATTTAAATTTCAAAATTATTGAATTTTTGATCTTCTACTTAGTAGAAGAAGAACCAAATTCTAATATACCGACGAAGTCTGTCAAAGAGAAGTCAGCATATTTCAAGGATCAGTTTCCGAATATTGACAATGTTGTCGAAAACTTAGACACTTTAAAGACTCTATGATAACAAATCTACAAACACATTAAAAAAGCATAATAATCTGATAAAGCTAAATTTACAGTCCGTAAAGAACTACGCAGCTCTTCACTATATGAGGATGTGGGTAAACTTAATAATGCCATATGAGAACTAAATAGTCATTCTATCAGTATTGCGTCTAGGTTCATATAGTGCAAGGCTGTTGTTGTGGTTCTGCATATAGATGGTATTTTTTTCGATCTTCAAAATGGTATAAACAAACACAACTTGTGAAAATGCTACAGTCTTTATACTTGATGGAATCTCCTGAACATTATATAAACGAACCTTGCATACTACTTGGAATCTAGATGTATACTTACATGGAATATCTTCAAAAATGCTTCTACAAATCTACAGATTGGAATGAGGATAACATATATTCCAATATAACGGCAACATCACATGCGCTACTAGAGTTCTCAGTACCTAATGGTTGTAAATTAGACATTTCGTCTAAGTCAACAGAGTATCTGGCCTCAAGTTTTACTTTATCTAACTACCATTCGATCAATGGGTCCTTGGCTTATCTATATTCGTCTATCCCCCTCCGAAATACAATGGGCACTAGAGAGGTCTCGCTTCAAGATGCCATTGCTGGATTCAAGATCATAGAGCCTCATTTTACGTCTGTGAAAAATACTATAGCGCGCAATAGTCAAAGAAAGGATTCACTCTTGTATGGTCGTATGTACTTCCCAGGTTCTGCATTAGAAGCAATGATTATCAAGAGGTTTTCGAGTCAGACCCAACTTTTAGTGAAGTGTATTAATAACCCTCATCTCGACAAGAATGGAACGATGATAATATATTTACAGAAAAACGCTCCTCAATTTCTGAGGGAACTCATATATTCCACTAATGATGCATTAATTGGATTTCGTTGTTTGTACAATTTTGGAAACCTGACTGGTAATCAAAGGTACCAAAATAATTTAAAGATTCCTAATTTTGATAATTCAGCTGTTTCAGTAGGTGCAGAAATATGGTACGCTGCTATGACAATGAGTCCAGGTCTTTCAACTGCATTCCGTTATTCAACACGCTCCACAACCACTGGGAAACCGCTAACCATGACGCTTGCATGTAATCCAGTTTTGGGCCATATTTCTTCCACTTATACGGTAAAGACTTCGGTGTCGTCTTCGTTCTGCTCAAAGTACGATTTCAATTTCTTTTCGTATGCGAGTAACTTGAGTCTAGGATTTGAATTGTACAATTTTTCGAAGAACTCTAGTGTGTTCTCGAATTGGCCAGCATCCTCTACAATAGAAAAGCCAGGTACAATTGCCCATCCTCCATTAACGCTACATCATCAAAATCAAATCGTAGATCCTATACAAAATTTTGATAATTATTATCATATCAATCCGACATTATTATCGAAACAATCAAGGAAGAGTACAGACGAAGAATTGACAAATGAGACTGTCATGACAGCATTTCAAAATCTAGTAAAGGAGAGTGACTTTTCTTCCGTCATAAAATTGTCTACTAGCTTAAATGATAAAATGCTAAAGGTTCTTTGGGAGGGTAAATGCAAAGATTTTCTTATAAGCACGGGCTTCAAAATGAATGTAAATCCTGTCACGAACTCTCCTGAATTCAATAGATTTGGTATTACATTATCATATGCCTCTTAATAAACTCTTGCATCCTCAATTAAATATCTTTCGTAATAAACCTTGTCGAAGGTGAGATCGATCTTTGATAAAGTAAACTCCAAATTACTTTTGTGTCACTTTTTATGTCACAAAAGCTCTGTATTCAATTTTCCAAAATTTTTCAAACGACGAGATTAAAGACTCTGAAACTAAAAGTTATTTTCAGTTCATAGTTGTTTAGGTATTTGCCAGCAATGCAGAATCAGGAACTTTACAACTTGGTTAAGCATTCCAAGTTTTCCCAGGTTGCAAAACCGATCAAAGGTGGACTAAGAAGCTCATCACCGGTGCCGACTCACCAAATAATTTACACACCCAAATCTAGTGCCATAAGATCAAATTTTGGAATCAAGACAACCTTACCAAAGCAAATTGGATTTTCACATATCGTATTCAATGATATAGATAATTATAAAAATATGCCTGATGTGGAAAAATATTCTGGAAAGATGTATAATAGAATGAAATTTCAAGAAATGGGACTTGTGTTAAAGAATTACTTTAACGATCATAACCCATTATTTCCTTCAGAGGCAACGAAAACAGAACTAGAAACTTCCAGTGATAGTATATTGGCTGAATTCAATCTCTCTGATTCCGCTGGTGTGTCTGAAGTAAAATTATTGCTAAAGGAAAACCCTGGATTATACAAACGCTTTCATGCCTGGTTAATCAAGAACAATCCTCAATGTTTCGTCACAAGTATGCCAGCAAAAAGGTTATTAAGCTTGCTCAAACAATATTTATCTAGTGATAAAACAATAAAGAAGAGGGAAGTAGGATTAGAAGATTTTATTACACGGAATGATTCTTCTCGTGGAACGCCTAAGATCCAAGGTACGGGCGGCTTCTCTTATGCTCAGAAAGGAAGACTCAGAAACACTCCAAATGGAATTAAGTATGGCGTTGTGGCTCCTGGTAGGTTAGTAGGAGATAGAGAAGCTGCAATTGGAGGATTTGTGGCGAGTGTTAATGATCGTACTACCTTACTTCAGAATAATTACTCGAAGAACTATCCAAATAAGAATTCAAGGCAATTCACCATGCCTTTCAAAATCAATGAGGCGGAGATTACCGACAAAGGTAAAATTAAACTCTATGCCGATGGTATAAAAACTGGGTCATGGATGCAAAGAACGAACACTAGTATCGAGTCTTTTGATAGAACTAATTATGAAGCGTCAAATCCAAACTTTGGAAGCGCAGCAGAAAGGAACACGAAGGATAATGCAAATTTGGAAAATCTATTAAATTTGATTAATACGTCTAACTAGGTCTATTGACAAGATGTAATTAGGATCGTGTCATTATTATCGTCATCATAGTCATCATTATCAACTGTAAATAGGATCGGTAAATCCCAATTGGATCTATGTATAAATCAACACTGTTCTATTGAATTCTATTTTCTTCTTCTTTGACTTCATTGACTGAGTCAGCAGTACGAGCAAGCTCAGCAGCTGGCAGCTGTGTTGCAGAGAGGGGAGGGTTCTCTCCATTATCCGGCACTGGTTGTGGCCTCACTGTGTTCCCGTTAGCAGGCATATTTGTTTTACTCTCAGAATCATTTGAAGTTTGCTGATTGGACTTGGTTTTTTTCGGTTTAACATCCGTCTTGTCTTTCAATTTCCTCTTTTTAATAGTTTTTGAAGGGTTTGTGCTTAAAACTCCTTGCATCTTCTTTTCTTCTTGATTCAATTGAACTCTTATTTCTTCTGCTAAAGCTTCGTCTAATTTTCCATCAATTTGGTACCACAAATAAAAGCTTGCTGTTCTCGTTCCTTTCTCTAAAATTTTGGACATCTTTTTCCTTACAGTTTCAACAGGTTCAAAACTATTAGTGATCACAGGTATATATCTTTGGGGGATGCCAATGAGCCTAAAAGAAAGTGTCGTATATCTAAGCTCAGGCTCTTCTGGAAGCATCGGTGGTTTAGGTTGTGATGCTTTTTTCCTCTGAAGTGGCTTTCTCTTATTTCTAAGCTTTCTTTGAGGGGCCTTTTTCGTCGATTTGCCATTTTGACTTTCTTCTTCTTCTTCCTCTTTAATAACGGAATCATCATGAGGCGGGCCTTTAGCTTTACCAGTTATTCTCTCACCATGTGTATCATGGCCCTCATCATTGTCCCCATTCTGATTTGCGTCTTTATTATCCTGCTCATCAAGATTTTCATTTTCTTTAGAGTCTTTAGCTTCTTTAGCCTCTTTAGCTTCTTTAGCATCTTTAACTTCTTTAGCTTCTTTAGCTTCTTGGGTCTCTTTGGCTTCTTTGGCTTCAACATATTTTTCATACTCAGCAACTCTCTTATTGTAATTTTCTAACTCTTTTTGATTATGTACCCAAATATAGCTTACTATTACATCCCTATTATCAGATGATACCAACGGATCGGTCGTATTCTCTGAGCTAGGCAAAACCTCACATATTGCATCTTTGGGGAGCAAATATCTAACATTTGGATTTTCAGCAAATTCAAACACGAGTGTAGCATCTTTCAAATACTTTTCTTGAAAAGCTGTTAGCTTTTGATCGTTAGAGATTTTTGGTTTAGGTAGTTTCTTTTCCTTAGTCTTTTTTTCTTTTCGTCCAGAAAAAGGAGAACCTTGAGAGGCGAAGAGATAAGCATGATGCAGTTGCGGTCCCATCTCCCTAGCTTTTTTTATGTATCCCTGAAACCTCAAAATTTCTTGAGGTGAAGCATTTCCCAGAGCGACGATTTTCATCAATGAATTGAGTGATTCGTCCGTTCTAGCGATCATATTCAAGTTAGAAATCATAATGGTGTTTTCGATAGATTGCATGTTAGCATTGTCATGTGGTACTGGGTTTGAGGTCAGCTCTGTTGCTTTCGCTGGTTCTTTTATCACATTAGGCGTCATTACAACAGGTTCGGCTGCTTTTGGTGTCTCACTAGCATTCTGAGATTCACTAATGTCCTCTCGATCCTTTTGATCGTCTTCAGCATCAGATCCGTTGGTAGCAGAAAGGTCCTGCTCCAGACCAATCTGACTAAACGACTTAGAGTCATTCGATTGATCCATTTTTGATTGATCTTCCACATTCTCCTTACCTTTATCTTTTAAAGCTGCCCTCTTTTTAGGCTGGGTCTTTAGAGTTGTCTCTTCTTGATCCTTTGGCATCGCTTCTTCGTTTTTTGATTCTTTTTTGTTGACCTTGTTCAAATCTTCTTCATCCCGTGCCCCTTCGTTTGTCAAGTTAGACTTTGAAACTGGACTTGACTCTTCTTTACTTGGAATAACCTCGCCACTTTGAACCGCAGCTATCAGGCTTATGGTATCCGGGGTGGTCTTATCCAACTCTTCTGCCTTAGGCTCAGATATTTTGGCTTTGGTATCATTACTGGAATGTCCATTAACCTCGGACATTGAGTCTGTCTTATCCTTGCTGCCCTTTTTCTCATTAATTTCATTATTCCCGGTATCTTCATCTCTAGGGGCTGTTGGGATCTTCATCTCTCCTGAATCTTTGTTCTTCTTCGAGGGCTTCTCTGACCTCTCATCCTTTGCAATAAATATCCTAATTTCAAAGCTATGTGGCCCCAAATCCAAGGTAGCATCACACAATTTAGCCATCACTTCTCTAGCACTTGCATTTCCACCAACAATAGGTGTTCGAGCCAGGTCATCATCCTTGCCAGATTTTGGCAATGGTTTATCTTGTTCGACTAGCTTCTTTGCATAGGAACTTTGCTTCATCCAGTATAACCGAAACATGGGACAGACGAATATGTAGTTCAATCTTGACTTCATTAATGATCTATATAATACACCTGAATCTTTGATTGTCAATGGGTTTTTAAACACGTCTTCGTAGTGCCCGTTTGGAGGCGGATTAAAGCTCACTGGTAATCCTGATAGGTTTTCAAACGGTCTAACTATAGTCTTCGAAATCTTTTCTTGCTGTCGCTCAATTTCTTCTCTTCTGGCCGACGTTATACGTCGCCTCATACGTGGAGGCATCGTTAGATTATATGTTTCTTACTTGTACAATAGATGTTCCAAGTTATTTGATATTTTTTTTATTTTTATTTTTATTTTTCGTTCGCTTACTTGTATATATCTATATATAAGGGAAGTGTACCCAGCCACTGTTTATCCTTAAACTTGAACCTACAAGCTTGCAGTGACAAGTACCTTTTGATCGTGATGACGATGACTATGTAATGAAGAAGCTAGCCATATGTTATTTGGTCGTATGTTATTTGATTATAGGTTCTCTACTAAAGCATCCAAACCTTGATTGAATAGTTTAATCATAGTGTCCAATTCATTTATAAGCTTCTGCTTGGGTGTGGAATCAGAAAAATATGTCCCATTAATATTTGGAATCGTAGGAAATTTAGCCTTGGTGGAATTGCTTGACGTACTATTCGGAGGCGATAGAGGTTTTGGGGCCTGTAAGTTTGGGTGTACCGAAGCTGAAGACGTCTTCCTGTGAGTAGGTATTACCCTTGTTTCCTTCTCGCCATCATTATCATTGCTATCTTGTTGTAACGCATTGTAACTAAGTGCTTCCTTCTCTGCGACAGGTGTCATAGTCATCGTCAAGTTTGCAGCCTGGGCAGGATTGATACCAAACTGATTGATATTGTGACCATTCTTCACGGCGCCTTCTATTCCTTCGTTCGTTAAAGCCGACAAACTGTTATACCCGTTAGAAGGAGTGGGCATTTGAATATACAAGCCTGGCCTAGCTCTTCGTCCCGTTGTACCTGTAGAGCCTTGAGGCTGCGATGAAATAGAATTGGCATTGGAGGCACCTTTAGAGCTCTCAGAATCTTCGTTGTGAACCCCATTTGACTTATTACTCTGGACTCCAACCGTATTCGAAGTAGGATTAGAAGACGATATATTAGTCGAGTCAGTTGCTTTGAAATTTATCGGTTGCAATAGTGGATTGGTGTGTGAATGTAGTGCCTTCATAGACTTAGAAGGCGAAAAGTTAGTTTGAGCCGAAACCAAGGTACTAGACGACGACTGCGTCGCTGGAGATGGAGTTCTATTATTTTGCGTTGTTTGTGAATAAGGTGGCGACTGAGGTGGACCCTGAAGAATTGCCTCCGATGCTTGATTGGATGATACCTTAGTCTTTCTACTATTGATTGTAGAAGTCGCCGGTATTGAAGATATGAATCTCGATTCTAGGTTCCCTGATGCTGATTGTGAATGGTAAAGAGTAGGTGGTTTGCTAATCGCTGGCTGTGTCGTATGTATTGTATCCACCGCGTTGGCACTTGCTGGGCCATGTTTCGAAAAATTTGAAAGATTGTCCATATCAGGTATTTCAATGGTAGGAGATTCAACTCTTCCATTAAATTTAGAAGAGGGCGCTGACAATTCAACACCAGACCGCCCAGCTGAGCCTAGTTCCTCGGGTGGCTCAGAATCCTGAAATAACAGAGTTAGTGATTTAGGAATGTCTGGCTTCTCTGAATGTTTGATTCGAGGTGAGATCGGAGAAGAAGCATCATGCATCGATATTGTGTTAGCCTGATCTGATCCTTGCTTGGCGTTGCCAAATTTGAAGGTGCGGTATGTGTCAGCAGCAGCATCATCGTCGTACGAATACTTCTCATCAACCTGATCAATATCGATATCATTTTCAATGATATACTCCTTACTACTGAGAGAATCAAAATCCCACTTCACTTGCATATGATTACTTTCTGCGATGCTTTGCATATCGTCATCTAAATTATTTTGATGCAATGACTCTCTTGAATTGTGATCTCTCCATATCAAGTATCTTGAAATAACTTCCTTCAAGAGAAGCGTGGGATGCCCCTTGTACATCTTCACTAATCTGCATTTCAGAAGATCTTCTGCCAGTGGACGCTCGTCGGGATTTTCATCCAAGCACAAAGCAATACATTCTTTCAAGATCGGTGAATACTCTCTACCTTCCAATCTAGGTGGCGTCAGTTTCGAGATCATCTGCATAGCCCAAGACGCATCTTTATCGCAATATGGAGGGTTTCCTGTGGTAATTTCATATATAGTCATTCCAAGAGACCAAATATCAGCCTTTACATTATACTCCTCGCCCTCTCGAATAACCTCGGGTGCCATCCAGTAGGGAGTACCAGCCATCGTGTTTCTTTTATTGGACGTCGATGTTAATCTAGCAGCCACCCCAAAATCACACAACTGCACATTTCCTTCGTTTGTAATCAATACATTAGCAGCTTTCAAGTCTCTATGAATGACCTCTAATTTATGTACCGCTTGGAGCGCTATTGCAAGTTCTCTCACTATTATAGCAATGTACTTTTCCTCGAACACTCCTGCTTTTAATAAGGTTCTAACTGACCCTCCAGCACAGTAGTCCATGATAATCCAAAGCCTTGTATCATTTAAAAATGATCCATGGTAATGTATCACATTAGACACATGCTTTAATTCGGCCAAAAACTGGATTTCTTGTTGAACCTCTGCCACTTCATCCTCTTGGGTATCCAAATTTAGCACCTTAATCGCCACAACGTTCTTCGTCTGCTTATTCACTCCCTTATAGACAACTCCAAACTTTCCTCGCCCCAATACTTCTGTTCGCCTATACATAGCAGTCGAACTCATTTTTATTCGGATATTTCCCTATTAATGTTTCTTCCGTCTATTATTTGCTTTAAATAATCCTTTCTATTATATAGCCATCTACTTGATATGAATTCTATTTTATACTGTCTTTATATATAATTTCTGAGTAATAAACAAACCTTTTTATTCGTCTATTATTGAGTAGATCATCCCTCGTTAAAGGATCGATTCGATGCAGTAATTCTGACACAAAATTTTTACTTACATTTTGGCATCTCTATAAAAGACAGCAGTTAAGTGCCTTTGAAAGCTTAATCTTAAGGTCTTACTGACGAGAAATGTCTAGAACTGCAACTTTAAAGAGAATCACTAATGAAACAAAGATTCAAATAGCCATTTCGCTCGATGGAGGTATAGTGGAATTGGAAGAGTCAATTTTGAAAGATAATGGAAATTTGCAAAGTGATGAGCATGCTACACAAGCTACGGGGTCACAAAGGATTGAAATCCACACCGGAGTAGGTTTCCTTGACCATATGCTTCATGCTTTGGCAAAGCACTCTGGATGGTCACTTTTGATTGAATGTGTGGGTGATTTGCATATCGACGACCATCACACTTCAGAAGATGTAGGAATAGCGTTGGGGGCTGCATTTTACCAAGCTTTGGGTCATGTTAAGGGAGTTAAGAGATTTGGAGCAGGATTTGCTCCTCTCGATGAAGCTTTAAGTCGAGCAGTGGTTGACTTGTCTAACAGACCTTACGCAGTGATAGATTTAGGCTTGAAGAGAGAGAAGATAGGAGATCTCTCATGCGAGATGATTCCTCATGTTTTGGAGAGTTTTGCTCAAGCTGCACATATCACTATTCATGTGGACTGCTTGCGTGGGTTCAACGACCATCACAGGGCGGAGAGTGCTTTCAAAGCGTTAGCTATTGCCATAAAGGAAGCGACCTCGAAAACAGGGACTGACGAGGTTCCAAGTACAAAGGGAATCTTGTTCTAACCTTACGATGTTTTCAGTTGGAAATACAGTGTGATGTCATTGCGTGTGTATATATTAATATATTTATCCTTACAGAGAAAACAGTTTAGACTGACAAGTCATCACATGTGTATTATGGAAATGTAGAGACATTCCTGGATATATTTTTAGCTCTGCTTGTCTAATTATTTGGATACTAATTGGTTATCTCTTCTCATCTCTGTCTCATCTCATCTCGAAAATACTCAAGATAGAAATTCTTAAATTGAATCCACGGTTTTATATCATCAAGTATACTAAAATGCTCAGGACATGCCACAGGAGGTTTTCCACGGGATTAACATTGCTTGAAAGCTCTAGTGTAAAGCCACTATTCAAGCCCCATTATCTGAATAAAGGTGCGAGGTCTTTTGACAGAAATCTTCCCTTTCAGAAACTGGACGTCAAGCCATGGGAGAAGCAAAATATAAGTAAAGATGAGTTCTTTATGAGAAAATATGGGTCCATAAGTAATGAAGAGAGAGAAAGACTTAACCAGAAGGTCGAGAGGCAGAGAAGAGCAAGGGAACAGAGAAAGCAAAATGAAAACTCGTTTAATAGAGAAAGAACCCACCGAAATAGCTTCAGAGAAGCGTTTACAAACCCCTTAAATGAATATTTATTTGGAACGCATTCAGTCCTTGCAGCACTTATGGCAAACAAGAGGCACCTGTTCAGCAAGTTATTCGTTCACAATAACAAGGAAAAGGATATCATTAAGTGGGCAAAAAAATACTCGTTAAAAATTGTTGAAAAGGATAGCAAGGGAGATTTGAACATTTTAGCAAAAAACGGAACTCATAATGGCGTAGTTCTTGAGACTAAACCACTTCAATTGCCAACAGTCAGCAGTTTAGGTGTTTCTGATCCTTCTTCGGGAGATTACGAAGTTAATTTCTACAATGATCTTACAAATACCAGTGTTGGACGTCTGAAAACTGTTGCAAGACATTTGGATAATAGTCCCAAATTTCCAATTGGCTTATATCTTGACGGAATCACAGATCCCCAAAATATGGGTGCCATAGTAAGATCAGCTTATTTCTTGGGCGCTGACTTCATTGTGGTACCTGACCATGACACTGCCAGATTAGGTCCAGTCGCCAGCAAAGCATCTGCTGGCGCTCTTGAGTTGATGGATATTTATCAAGTAGAGGATAGCTTCGATTTTATAAGTCAGTCAAAAAAAAACGGTTGGTCCATCATATCTACTAGTTCAAGGCCAAATCTGGAAGAGCTGAGCAGATTACGAACTAAAAATAAGAAAGTAGAGCAGGATTTAAACACTAAATTCATTGAAACCTCAGAATTGTCTTCCATTCTTCAGCTGACACCCACCCTTTTAATAATGGGCAATGAAGGTGAAGGAGTAAGAACTCATTTAAAAATTAAGTCTGACTTTCTTGTTGGGCTCGATAACGGAAGAGCCAATGATAGTAATCAAATCGTAGATTCTCTTAATGTCAGTGTTGCAGCAGCAATGATCTTGGGACAATGCCTTGGTTCTCGCTAGGATTCTACACTAAACCCCCTTGTATATATGGCGAATTTATTACACTTCAACCCTTTTTGGGTATCGTATGTAACCGCACCCAACCGTTATCAGATGCAAATTGTACGAACACATATAAAAGCAAGATCACCCTCACACGTAAAGATAAAAATAGAAGTTAATACAAGATTGTCTTGAGACGACAAATTAGCCATAAACGATTCAATTATAAGAGTAGGCGGATCATACACACTTAGGGACTTTAGTACGTGTTTTGAGGCTTGGGGGAAATTTTCAAGAACTCTTAAGGAATAGGGGAATTAGTATGGTAAAGTATCACTTAATTGTGTTGGTTCATGGGTAAGTAAAAATAACAAAAAACACTCCAAAGGAGCTCAACTAACAATCAAAGTATATGGGGGAATTCATCTCATTTGGGATATATTGAAAAGCAGCTCGAACATGAATCTGGTAAGAATAGAGAGGAGGATGAACTGATTGTGGTTTACAAGACAGGGTCACATGCTGGATATATGACTTACGATGGCATTGATGTCAACGGAAAGAGGATCTCTGATGAAATATGGGATGTAACTAACGAGCTTAATCAGGATGGCAATGTTGTGTCAAAGTTTTCCATAGTTGGATATAGCTTGGGAGGGTTAATCTCAAGATACGCAATTGGAGTTTTATTTTCCCAGTCATACTTTAGAACAATTGAGCCAGTTAATTTCGTTACGTTCTGTACTCCTCATGTGGGCATACTCAATCCTTGCCATGGATTCTCTGTTAGCATGTTTAACAAAGTTGTACCCCATCTTTTAGCACATACAGGCAACCAGTTGTTCTTGAAGAAATCAGCAAATCTAGTTGATAAAGAGAAAAGGCTCCCTCTTTTAGTCTGGATGACTGATCCCAAATCTTATTTCTTTAAAGGTTTGGCAGGTTTCCGTCGAAGGACCCTATATGCCAACGTTATCAATGACAAAAGAACTTCCTTCTTCACTTCTTATATATCAAAAATTGACCCTTTCAATTCATATTCGAACAACGATCCTAGTATCCTCGATTTGAGCTACATTAAAAATTATGAGCCGACGGTCATCGATATTTCAAAATCTGTTGGCATTCGTCAATTCCCTGTTGATAAAAAGATCAAGCGTCATTCTAAAGTGTCCCTTTTAACTCGTGTTCTATATTGGTCGAAAGTTGTCTTTAATTTGATACTATTCACCCCATTATGGTCTCTTTGGTTTATTGGGATTTCAGTTCTAGAAAGGATTAAATTGAATAGAAGAGTCGGTGCATTTAGTAAAAACTCCTCCAGTGACTTGATACACTTGTACAAATTCGATGAAGAAGCTGAAGATTCTAGAAATCTCAAAAGATCACTGTCTTTCCTGTCTTTATCCAATAATGAGTTACTTTTTGAGAATCTAGAGAGAGAGATTTCGAACCAGGTTAACGAGCAAACTGATACTTTAGTGGAATCAGTTTTCGATGCTATTAACAGTAGACAAGTGGATCAGTCTGAAGGTTCACCTGTTCAAAATGGAGAATTGTTATCTAAATTGCATTTAAATGAATTTCAGCTATATATTATCAATCAACTCAATTCATTGACGTGGGAAAAGTATCCCATTATTATTCGAAATACAAAGGCTACCCATGCTTGTGCTATAGTCCGCTTCAAAGATCCCCACTTTGATGAAGGGAAAGTAGTAGTGGCCCACTTTGTTAAAGAAGTTTTCCAGTATCATTAGAGATTTCAAAGGAGAGCAAATGCACGTTGTTTCACAGTAGTTTTCATCAAACTGATGGGAACATTCTTTTAAAAAAAGAAAATAGAAAAAAAAAAATTTAGAAGAAAGACTATTATAATTATTTAGCCATCACTTCGAAACTGGCATCTTATTTCATGCGATATTATCGTTCAATTCTATCTCTTAAATCTCCTTGTAGGACTAATTTTTACGTAGTCGTTTTAATTCATTAGATTTTTAAATCTTTTTGCACCCAATTTGAAAAAATATCAATTTAATAAAATAATTTCAAAATCGACATTAAAGATCTACCTGATTCTACACATTGATAAATGCTCGAGCTGAAGATTGCTAAATCTTCAACTACCAGAACTGAACTAGAACCCTCTTCCTTGTAAATGAAAAAATTGAATAATTCATCAATTTTCATACCATGACCGGGATCGGCTTTGTAGCAGCGAAGCTCTGCTGCAGTTATCACACAATGCATTTCTCCAGGCTGACTTATATCGATAGATTTAATCTTAGTGGTTGATGCATATAGGCACTCCTCTTTCATATCAATCTCAAAAGTATATTTAATTCGAACAAAAGTTGATATTTTTCCTCGTGTTTCTACTCTTTCTATTTAAAGACAATCATTCTATTTGTTACATATTTCAGAGCTTTTAGGCAAATTTATGAAGTGTGTTACAGACTGCGTAAGAAGGTTGGTAAAAATCATATAAACATCGGAACTAACAAAGATAACAAGCAGCTGAAAACTCTTTTGTAGTTCCTGTTCAAGTAAATACTTAAACCTTCACCTCAGTTATTAAGTGTATGACTTAAATTAGGTCGCAAAAGCTTAGTCAAATAATATTAATTAAATTAATTCGACGTAGTTAGCAGGGAAAATACCAGTAGAACCATTATTTCTACCTGTCCACCAGTCATCGGATGTTGCAGATTTCTGTAAAATATCAATAACATCACCTTTTTTAAAAGATAAATCACCGCTTTGTTCCCCTTTAAATGTATAAAGAGCAATTGCTTGATGTGCATTAGTTTTGGGAGCACCTCCGAAATTGGGTTTCGATGCAGATGATGGTCTTACCGGCCCATTACCAGATAGCCTCGTATTACTGAATTTCAGATTAAGGTTATTCATATCGTCATTGTGTCTTCTACTTCTAGAAGAAGGGTTGTCGTAAATATCGTCTTCCCACGCTGATTTCCTGCTGCCCCCATTGTGACTGCTATTATAAGAAGTCTGTCTAGTTGAAGTATTTCTTCTCCTGTTATATCTTCCGTTATCAGCTGAATCATCCGAATAATCATCATCAGAATAGTCATAATCATCAGAATGGCGTCTTGAACTATAACTTCTACTACGAGTCCGTCTGCCAGAAGCTTCAGAAGTAGAATCAGAAAACTCGTCTGGAATGTCATCGTAGTAGTCGTCATCGTCTAAGTCATCACCCTCATACGGTATTCTATTGTTGAAAACCCGACTTTCCAAAACTTTCATCAAGGAATCACAAGCATGGGGAGGGTCTACCTTACCTGCTAATATATATCTGGCTTTGCAATTATTACCGTAAAACTTTCTATTCGCCTCTCTTCTTTCAAGTATAGCAGATCCTTCTAAAGACACACCAGCAAATAAACCTTTCGTTTTGGAGTAAGCGAACACAGCAGCAGCTCCCCCAATAGAAGCAGTTCCTGCAGCCTCAGCATTTCTACCCAATGGTCCCGCAGCAACTGATATATTCGTACCTAAAGTAATCGATCCAAGTTGAGCGAAGGAATCCACTGCAGCCTTGCTATTCAAAATGAAGACAAAATCAGTCAATTCCGCTCCAATCTGTCCTCCAACTCCCGCACCAGCAGTCACAATAGCAGACGGTGCAGACCAAGACCCATCGGGCAACCTTGCAACAATCACACCCGAACCGGCTCTTCCTGAAAACAAGAAACCTGCCTTCAAAACAGTGATAATTGCTAAACCCTTTGCATTCTTTAAAACATGAGCAGGAATAACTTGGTCAGGCCCCACTACTTGATTTGGTTTAACGAAAGAAGCAAGCACCTTTGCTGCTTTTCTATATTCTTGGTTAGTACATATATTCTAAAATCTTATCACGGGTTCATTATTACATACCTTGACTCGCTCTTTAAGCTTCTTGGTATCGGATTGTTAATTCCCATCTTGCTCCAACGCCTTCTTGATCAAAAATATCTAAACTACTTCTGAACTCAAATAAAAGCTTGAAAACTTTAAAATGAAGCAGAGAATAATACTTGTATTATTTGTATCTTCTTCTTAGATACGGCGTCAGCGAACCCCAAATTCTTTTCTTCTTGGACTTTTTTATGCTAAGAATTACCTTTCTAAGGATTAAACATCATTCGAGAATCTTACCGTGCCTCCGAGAAGGTGTCACAAAAGACCCTCATAAAAAACCTCAAAATAGCTTCAAAGTCTTTTTAGCCTAAAAGGGATACAATATAGATCCCTGGATCTCTCAGTAAAACCTACGATCCATTCGCTATATCACTACTAAAATATATATTTCACTAGGATTCTACTAAGACCATCGAAACTTGTTATCTGGTGAGATCTATATGACAGAATATTGCACCCAAAAGAATGGAAGCAGGGGATAAACGGATAATAGAGTAACGATAGTGGTAACAAAAAACTCGGTAAAATAGGAACTTAAGACTTCCGGTGACTAGCCATCTATACTGCTTATTAGTTTATTTCACTTATGCTATCTCATAAAGAGAGATTGGTGATGAAGGTCGCAACGCACAATTAGATTCATATACGGCCAATTTGCTATGAAAAAGGTGGACGGCAGCTGAAACCAAAGGAGAACAACATTACAAGACTAGGACCCTTGAATGATATTGGCTTATAGGAAAAGGTGGAATTAGACTTTCTTCCCATTAGCCAACCTCTTCCGGCAATTATCATTTTTATCTGTAAACCTGCATATAGAACACGAAATAGCTTTAATGCCCTTTGATGCCTAGTTAGCTAAATGGACAAAAAAAAAAACAGGATCAACGTCCTGTGTAGCATTTGTTATTAGTATGTCTAGCATTGAAATTCAGAATATAGCTCGGGAGTTGAAAAGTAACTTGAAGCAATTCCCTAACTTTCCAAGCGAGGGAATCTTGTTTGAGGACTTTTTACCAATTTTTCAAAAGCCCCATCTATTCAGCATACTTGTGAGAGCTTTGAAATTGTATCTTGGAGATAAGAAGGTAGATTATGTTGTGGGTTTGGAGAGCAGAGGGTTCCTATTTGGTCCCACACTAGCCCTCGCATTAGACGCAGGCTTTGTTCCCGTCAGAAAACAAGGAAAGTTACCAGGACCCGTGTATAGCTGTGAATTTAAGAAAGAATACGGAGTAGACAAATTCGAGATGCAGCAGGATGTGATCCCGGAAGGTTCAAAGGTGGTTATCGTAGACGATATTTTAGCAACAGGAGGTAGTGCACATGCTGCTGGAGAGTTGGTATCTAAAGCGAAGGCAGAGGTTATTCAATATTTATTCGTAATGGAGCTTGATTTCTTGAAAGGAAGAGATAATTTAAGTGCTCCAGTTTTTACACTCTTGAGTGGTCAAGAAAAGAAGCTCTCAGAGTAATCGTTGTATTATTAATCGATGTCTAATTGAAGCTAGTGTTTAGTCATTCATTCATTTTTAAATTAAATATTATTGCAATATTTAGCCATAACGAAATCTTAATACACAAAAGAAGTAACTAATCTTAGGTCTCAAATGGCCATACCTTGCTGTCCTTAAATTATCTCAAAAGATGCTCATTATCCACTCTTGAAGATCAAAAATGCTAATGGACCAACATAAAAATATATAAATGAACCTTGTTCATGTGTAACATAGCTACCGAAGCTTTTGCCTACTATAACATGCCACGTTGCCCCATATAAAGCATCCATTTCTTTCTTAATATAAGTTGCTATGTCTTTTTCTATCTTATAGGCCATTAAAGTTTCATGAGCGAGTTCAAACACCTTAGTTTGGACTTCCTCAGGCATATCTGAAGCCTTCAAGATCGCTGAAAAACGTTAGTAAAGAGCTCTTTTTTTATAATCATTCTTATAGTCACATACGAGTCTTGTCTTGAAATTCAGACATCTATTATCTATCTGATACGTGTCGAATTTATGCTTTTCCTCTAAGAGATGGAAAGAGTAAAAGATCTATTGTTGATTTGTTTACGCAAAAAATATAAAATCTTATGGAATCCAGTCATGATCACTTAATAAAGCTCAATACCGCTCTTAGATAAATTTACGTACTATTGGAGCTCAGGGTGATAGCATGACCTCACGGCGGTTCGTTATGGCCGTTAAATCCTATTAGCTCACGATTCAATTGGTTATTATGCCGAGGTTTAAGCTCTATGAGTACTTTCTAAGACATCACTTTAATGAGAGTATAAGACAGTAAAAGACCGTTGAAAAATCCTAGATCACTACATGAATAGGAGCATAAGCTAGCCATAAACAGCTTTTCTGTTGTAAAAAGCGTCAAATACTTCGGCAGTGGAAACAAAAAAGACTCTGGAGCTAGAGACATTGGCATATGAAGCATACATAGAGGATTTCAGTCATTTATATGTCCAATTGAGGCTCCGAGAGAATACGAAAGCGATGTGACAACTTGTGGGTTCTGTGTGGATCCAGTATGATGCCAGTATGATGCCCCTATGCTTAACATAGTCTGATATGTAACCCTCGTCAGTCTCACAAGGCTTGTTTGGGTACACCGATGTGTTATTCCGCAACCAAAACCTCGTAAATTGATCACTGATAACGATGAGATGCTTTCTCCTAGGAATTCAATCTGAAGAACTTTCGCTAAATGTAGTACAAGGGATTAAGCGACCTTTTGTCTTCAGTCACAGAAGTCATCTTTCAAACTTTCTCTCTCTGTCAATCCAAGAATTCATCCCACATTTACCCAGGATTTATCCAAAGAACTATACCAAATATACAGCGAAGAATTATCTCTTTAACTCTCTCGGCCTTTGTTCTAGAATCTCTGTAAGAATATTTCAGTTAGGCTCCCTACGGATAGTATTATTTAGTGATATCGAGATATCGAGAACCATATATTTTGGATCTATATAAGAGCTTTTCTTTCCAATACCAAGTTGCAAGGCAAAAGTTAAGCATTTAAATACTAGATCGGGAGAAATGGTGACGGATAGTGGTATCTTGAATGTGGCGACACATTATCATAAGATTGCACATATTAAGTTCATCGAATTTAGTATCTATTCGTCATCTACTAATAGTGATCAAGCTTTGCTACAGTTGGAATTAAATATCAGATACAACAATCCTAATATTTTAATCACATATTACAATAAGAGTTTATACTATTTCAGAATTGAGGATGAAAAGCCAATAGAATTCGCTGACGACGACTGTCTAGAGCTTAAGAGTACACAAAAGGTAAGCGTTGAAAACTTATCTAATTCTCCAAAGGGTAACAATGGAGATGAGATGTTAGCATTTGCTAGTATAAGCTTCTTAAAGGCTGTCAAAAAGCATATATTGTTTAACTTGTCACGAAATCATATAGTGAGACTATTTGGTAATTATTCAGTTGTGAATCTGAATGGCATCAACAGCTTGTTGTATTTAGACCCAGTATTATTACAAAATGGTGATCTTCTCATATCAACAGCCATTAGAAAAAGACTAGAATTGTACGATTCATCGGCATTGAATCTCAGTCCAGATTCGAATTTTGTTATATATCTCATTCCTTCTGGAATAAGATGCCATTTATTTGATAATGATAATTTCAGCAAAAACTTCGTCAAGAAGTCCAAGGTTGATGACCTTATAAAGCTAATACAACTTTGCACGGGATTGGATTACTCGAGCGAAGACATGTTGTGGGTAAAGCTCACTCCAAACCTCAAGCATTTGAATAACCAAACTTCGAGAATATCGAAGTTTATACATCTGGTAGAGAATAAGAAGTTCATTTTATGGCCATGGGATTTATGTTTATTGCAGTTTGGGAACTACGAAGAATCCGTATCAGATCTAATGGCTAACCAATCTGAAGACCAAAATCCGCTTGAATTGATATCAGATTTCATTGATTTCAACATATCGAATAATAGTAACCTTCCTACGTCTTCGCATCAGCATACGATGAGCCTTTCAAGTGTAGGATCTACTGGCTTGAGTTCTGCGCCTCATAGTATCGGGCACAAGGAAACAATGTCTATGATGAGCACACTTGAGAGCGGGCAGGCGGCTGGGGACGTATTTGATGCTCCAAATTCCGATCTTACAGGCTACTTCATTAATAAAACACCAGATGGGAATCCTAAAAACGATGAGGAGCAGCCCAAACAAGGTGAGCAGAATTCTTTTCCTGAGCTTGGTGACGAAAATCAGAATGACGATAGCCAATCCAAAGACGATGATATGGAAATAGATGACTTATTTGGGGACGGAAGCGACTTAGATGATTCTTCCCAGGAAGCTGTACCAGAGGAAGAAAATATTTTATCCGATAAACCTTCAGAAACCTTCAATGTGGATTCCAAGCTCGAGAAGTCGATAGGTGACGGATACGTAGATGGAATAGAGAATACGAGGGAATATTCTCCGAATAAAGATTCTGAAGAACAAACTCAACCAAAGAAAGAGCAAGATGACGAAGAAGCGGAAGAGGATGAAGATAAATTAGGTGACTTGTTGCTTGGAGACTTCCTGAGAAAGAAAGAACTAAAGGATTCTATTACTACTTTTATTGACATACCAAAAGATCAAATGACTGTTAAAAAAAACCCGACTCCAATGTATAACGATCCTGGCGCCCCCTTACCTATAGCTCAGACGCCAGTGATACCGCAGACAATGAGCACGTCTGTAAACTCGTCAAACCCTCCATCATCTTCAGCTGCACCTGAGGATCAAGGTAAATCTGTCTTTTCTCCGATTTTGTTTAATCCTATAATCAAGAGTAATATTGATTCAAAGTATGGTAAGGGAGGAAAGTTTTATGTTGAAAAGGAACTGTCCATCGATCCTGACAAAAAGAAGCAACTAAGAGCGACTAGTGTTAGCGGTTATGACCCTCCATCAAGAGATATAGATACAACGAGAAACTTCTCTTCTTCAGATTCTAGCGAGGAAAGTGACGAAGATGAAACTTCTATGCCAAATTCACCTCCTTTGAAGCTCAACACATTAAACGAAAGTTTCATTAACCAACCGAACTCATTTCAGCTAAACAATACAATAGTTGAGAGACAAAACTTGGGATTCAGTAGTCTGAATACTGGGGGATTTGCTTCTCCCATGTCGAATATGGTAGCAAAGTTCCCTACTCAGAAAGCTGACTCACCCTTTATTGCGAACGAGCCTAACAATTCTTATGCTTCCATAGAATACGAGCAACAGTCGTCTTCTCAAATACCTCTAAGCATTAATTCAGAGCCTGAAGGTTCAGGCAAAAGTTCAACTGAATCTTCAAATTATTTACCTTTGATATTGAGGAGCATTAATGTGTCGACTATCCCTACGTTCTTTCTTTTAAATAATTTGGTAGACACAAGTTTGATACCAAATTTCAATATTCATGATGTCGACGTAGAAGGAGATTTTGATAGCAGTAAGAACCATGAAATGCTGCTTAAATTTAACAACGTGAGTGAATCGATAAAGTTCTTGAGCTCACATATAATTTTCGACTTGGGTCTTAACAATTTTAAGAAAAACATAAAAAGTGTAAATAATACTGAATCAAGTACATCTTTAGTTGACTATGAAAAAGCGGACTATATTTTTGAGAGTAGTTTTACCAAGTTGTTCCCTTACAGTTATAAAGTAGACTTGAAAGAGTTTCTCAATGGAATGAGGACCGAGCCCAACAATGAGTTGAAAGATCAATTGAACTTTCTAGGTCAAATATCAGAGGATACTTCGGATCGTAACACGAAAGTTAAAAGGTTAAATAACATTGAATGGAATTCCTTCAACTTGACTACAAGAAATAATGAAAATTTCGAAGAGTATAGCACCTTGATGAAAGAAATAGTTGAGAGTCTGGCTATTGAAGATGAAACTTTCTTCAGATTACCGGCTTCAAAAATAAGAGTTCACAAGAACGATGCGATCATTAATTTAAGCTCTACGGGAGTAAATTTCTGGAAATATTTAAACTTCTCTCCGCTTCATGGGAGAAAGAATTTTCAAGTTTTGCTTATAAGCGAGAATGGATCATTCAACACAGAATTCTTGAATTCCTTAATATACAACTACAGAGATTGTAATTTTGGGGATATATCGAAAGTAAATCTCAAAACTTCAGATACGAGACCCGATTTGGAAAGCATCAATGATGGGTTGTTGCTATTCAACAAAGAGAATGAACAATCGTATAATAGTTTTTACAAACAAGTTAATGTTAGATTGACTTCATTGGTGGAGTTAATAAAGTTAGCTTTGATCAATAAGACCAGTGGCTTTGAGTTTGATCGTCCATTCCTTTTGCTATTCCTTAACTTCAATGAGAACTTAAATTCACTTCTCAAGATAGCAAGCATTTTCAAGAACTTTGAGAACGCTTTGAAAGATCATCAACTTCCACTTGTTCAAATGTTCACCAAAGTTTTACCAGGTGCATTTTTTGTAAAGAGGATTAACAATCAATCACATCTAAGAATATTGTCTACGATTAACACGTCAAAAATATCTATGAATTTGTATAATCAGTGTCCTAACGATTTGGAAAAAAGAAGCTATTCGAATACTACATTTACAAAATTGGTTAGAGATAAGCCAAATGCAATTCCGTTCAGATCCTTTAACAAAAATTCAAAAGAAAATGAAAATTCTAGTAACGATGATATCTTCCTCCATTTGGCATATGAAAGATCAATCGACAAAAGCTGGATCTCTGCTGCATGGTCTGATCCTCATGGGAATGTTACATTCACCAAATCATGGTGCTCAACATTCGATAAACGTAATGGGGGAAAAGGACCAAACGAACTTGAATCAATAACTGATGAGATGTGGTCCATTTCAATAGAAATCTTCAAGCGTCTCTCTGATGAAGCAGTCAACAAGCCATCTGGCTTTGGAGGAAGAAGGTTCTTAATTTTAACAAGGATCAACAGCATCATTCCAGATGATGAGTTAATTCATTGGAAGAGACTTAGTCTGAAACAGAATGATGTATCGTTAGTAGTTTTGTCTGTCAATCAGTCACCAAAATTGGTATTCTCTAAGCTGTCCTCACCGAAGGCTAATGAATCGAACACCCATTTACAGCCTCAACAACAGAGACCTCAGGATCTTTCTAACGACAGACTTCTCGATTTCCCTTCCTTTAGAAACTATTCTGTGAATTCATCGCCAGCTGCGGTGGGCATGATGACGTCTCCAGCCAATAGTTTCCAATCGCCTCAGCAGTTCTTAAATGTACCTGGCATCTTTTTGTCTCCACAAGATATCGCTACCAATGGTGCTATGAATAGCAACGGAACCAATATAGATTCAAACCTTACTATTTGTGACCCCAGACGTGAGATATTCGCCGCGGTGCCAGAGGTTCCACTACCTTCATTCAACTCACCTACAAGACTAGGTATGAAAATTGGGTACCTTTTGAAAGAACTCGAGACGAACGATTACTTAGTCTTCGAAGTGAGCTTGCTTAGCTGCTCGAGCTTTTGGAATACTCGACTGCTAATGAAAATAATTCTTAATCATTACAAGAAGCTCATTGTGTTGAATGACATTTTGGGTCTTCGAGACATCGATGCCGAAGTTTCGAACGAAGATCCGTCTTCTGATAAGTTTAAAAAAATCGAAATCTCAAGCACAATCCCATGGCACATTGCTGCTGTAACCAAATCCCTAGACTACCTAGTTCATGTTAACGTGGAGGACTAGTATGCTCATATATATCATCAATATCTTCACCATACTGCATATAATTAATAGTTTACGCGTAAAGTATCTCTTTGTTTACAAACAGAAAACCATCGAGCCCTATAGAGTTGGGAATATCGAAGTTTCAGTAGAATTCAAAGGAATGTCGATTGGTCAAATAGATAGAGATTTCACGAATGCATTTGGTAGGCGTGGTAGGAAAGACTACGATGATTTAACTATATTTTCAGACAACGATTCCGAGGTCGATATTGATAGTTTAATTAATCGGTCAGTGGAGTATGGGAGATCTAATATAGACTATGGTCAATTAGGGCGCTCTCCAAGAAAATTCGGTCTTTCTCCCTCTAAGAATTCAAATAATGCTTATCAAAGGCAGGTTTTTAAGGCAAGAAATGGGTCTAATAGTTTATTCAGTAGCCCAACAAGAAACAGGGTCATAGATAAAGAAAATAGTAGTTTGAATTTAGATTCGTTTAATGACTATGGTTTGGATAGTGATCTATGGAAACAGTTAGATCTGAAGATTAAGCCAGCAGCCTCCGAGACCCAGTCAGTTTTTGATTTGGATGCATTGGACGACGATGACGACGACGACGACGATAACAAAACTGAATTGCTCATTCGTAAAACGCATAGACTAATAAACTCAGTTCCAAGCTCAATATCAAGCAGCAGAGAGAATGAGCATTATCTAAAGTTATTGCGTACATCGATTGACAAGTTGGTGAAGCAACTTGAAGCAACCAAGAAAGAAAACGCACAGCTTCGTAATAGGAAGTTTGAATCTAAAAATAAGGTTTTAGAATCGGCAAATAAAGCCTTAGCGAGAGAAAATGAAGATTTACATGATCAGAATAGTCAATTGCGTCGAAAGCTAGAGCAGAGGGTGCCAGAAGAAAACTCACAATTGTTGAGGGAAAAAGATTTACTTAGAGATAAATTAGCAAAGTACAAGAAGCTCTTCGATGAAGCAAATGAAAAATTAAAGTCTCAAACTTCTGTGAAATCTGAATTACATAGCCCTCCAGAACCAGGCATTCCAGACAGCAAAGATAATAGTACTAAGATTAAGGCAGTCAACTTATATAATGAGCTTGCTGGATTATTTAATAAAGAAAGTATTCCTACGGTTATGACACCTCAAAAATCAAAAATGGAGACTGCAACAGAAGTCGAAAGTAAGCTTGATACTACAAAGCAAAATAACTTGACAATGTTGAAACTTTTCGAGGATTTGTTCGAAAAGGTCAAAGATGAAGAAAAAGATAGCTCACCCAAGGCAAAACTGGCAAACCTTCATAACGCCAGATACACTGACTCGGGGAAAGATATCGGGAAAAATCAAAAGAAACATAGCGAGAATAGCCCCTTTGAGATATCCCTGGACGTTGAGAGATCTGAAGTGCCTTCCTCTGATAATCTGACTGCTGAAAATGAGCGTGAGCGGGACTCTAGTAACATACTCGGCAAAATTTTGACTACAATGGATATCAATAATGAGTTATACTGCAAGATCGTAAAGCTATTAGAAACCAACAGCAAAACAAAAAGTGAACCTGCAAGTGCATCCAGTGATTATAACAAAAACTCAATTTCAAGTGCTTTCATTGAGCACGAGGCTCTTCTGAAAAGTACAGGTTCTTCAAGAGATCATCTTGGCGCCGAAAACATGAATACTGATACCACAAGTTCAGATGCAAGATCTCCACCTGCCTCTAGAGATAGAGACAGAGATATAATTCTAAAGTGCTACATGTGCTGTCAGGACAAGAATCAAAACCAGTGTAGACATCAGCATTATCATCATAATAACAAAGAATATCCCGGCCAAAATCTGCACGCCAAAAGATCCTGCAAGAGGTGTCTGTCTTTAGCTTCGAGTGTAGACTCAGATGCTCCGAAGGAGAAGAATGATACTGTTAATCTCATGGGTGAGTATAAATGGACAATATAAGAAGCCAGCCGATATATTTCGATGGAGAGCTTAGAGCACTCATAAACTGAATCGACATTCTGGTCACGTTCCTATTGATTTCCTCATCCACAATTCAAGGGCTCTAGCTCGCGCTGTATTTTGCATTTACTAATTGGCATATTATGTTGTTCCTCGTGGAGGTTTTCCCGTTCTGAGATCCTTATGTCACGAAATTGCGTATGTTTGCTTTGCAGCTGCGCTTTAAGTGCTTAAAAAGTCTTATTGCACTTGTAGTGTCTTAATCTAAGTTTATATTACTTCCTATAATGGCATGTTTATATTTGATCGGAGCGACTTTTGTGTAAGGTTCCACGCGATTGTTCCTTTTTGGGCATTTAAAAACATCATCAAAAATAGTACCCACAAAACAGTAAAATACATGAAGATCGACGAATTATCATAAGTATTGAAGATATCAGGGTTTTTGTTGCTTAAGTCTTAAGGAAGTTGCTAAATATTAAGGGTGACTCTTCAAGCAAGAAACACGGACAAGAACTACGGAAACTATAATAGAGGAACGAATAGCGGATTGGAGGAGCAAACAGCGACAGCAGTTATAATAAAGAGAAACGGAATTTGGCGGAAGACAATCAAATCGAAACTACAAGTAGGATAAAGTCGATTTGCAGCTAGAAGAAACTACGGAGCTAAAGTTAGTACAAGCAGTCTAGTGCAACCATGCCTCAAACGATCAACAAAGAGAATGAGTACAGAATGACTAGGTCAAAGGTAATTCATAGTCAGCTAGATGAGCAGTTACAGCGGCAAGCATCAGCTCAACAGGTTCAAGTCTCTAGCCGTCCTGATAGCACTTTGCCGGCCTCACAACCGGGGTCTTCTGATGACGTGGTTGTCAACAGCCGTCAATACTTGGGTGACGTTTCGAATCAATACGGGGCCAGCGCTATGGGATCAAAGCCAGCCCATACTAGCAAAAGACGACCATTGGGTGGTGATATTGCACCGCTCCAGCAGCAACGATTGATTGTGAAGCAAAATGCTGGAACAGCCAATACTCACGCACAAAAGCTCACTAATTCTACTAACACACATAATAATTCCAACGTTAATAAAAACGCTACTAATACGGAAAATAATCTAATTGCATCGCTTGATATCAAGGCATCGAGCCTGTCTTCACTGTCTTCCTCATCTGCGTCTAATACAGAAAATAGAAAAGAGTTAGCTATTCCGGCAAGATTGCCTCAAAAGAGACAGGCAACGGAGTCTTCTAATAATTTGGTTGAAAAACTTCACATCTCAAGTAACTCCTCATCATATAAGAAGTCTAGAATAATCGACTATGAGTGGCAAGATTTGGATGAAGAAGATATGGATGACCCACTTATGGCCAGTGAATATGTTAATGATATATTCAATTATTTCAGCAATTTGGAAACCAGAATGCTTCCAGATCCCCAATATTTGCTGAATCAAAGACATCTTAAACCTAAAATGAGGTCAATTTTAGTCGATTGGCTAGTAGAAATGCATTTGCGATTCAGATTGTTACCCGAAAGCTTGTTTCTTGCAATTAATTTGATGGATAGATTTTTGTCAATAGAGACAATTCAAATTGATAAACTACAACTTCTAGCGACTGGATCGTTATTCATTGCGGCCAAATACGAGGAGGTGTTCTCTCCATCGGTTAAGAACTATGCTTATTTCACCGATGGATCATACACGGAAGATGAAATCTTGCAAGCCGAAAAGTACATTCTCAAGGTCCTTAATTTTGATTTGAATTATCCAAACCCAATGAATTTTTTGAGAAGAATCTCTAAAGCTGATGATTATGACATTCAACTGAGAACCTTAGGAAAGTATTTATTAGAAATTACTGCAATTGATCATAGGTTCATAGGGATGAAACCTTCCCTCTGTTGTGCATCTGCAATGTATTTATCAAGACTAATTTTAGGTAAGATACCTGTCTGGAACGGTAACTTGATCCATTACTCTGGTGGCTATAGACTTAATGACATGAGAACTTGCATAGAACACATTTTCCAGTTTCTTGTTTCGCCTGTTGAACACGATGAATTTTTCAAGAAATACGCTACAAGAAAATTCATGAAGGCAAGTATCTTATGTCGTAGCTGGGCTAAAAAATACCTTGCTGAAGGTAAAGATTTGCTTGACGAAAGTTTGTCAACTCTGAGAATTAACCTTAGCAGTTAATTCTAGAACTTGCTTTAGATAATAACTAAACTACAAATCTTTACTTGACTCCTTTTCTTAGAATATCACACAGCATTGTGTGGAGCATTCCATCAGGTTGACGTAAGAAAGATTACGAAAAACTATGAACAAGAATATGGATATCTTCCTTCATTCTTTTCATAGTATTTAATTATGAAGTTTGCATACCTCATCACTCTAATGATGCTTTGGATGTTTATATCCGTAGGTAATATGTTATAGATCTTCTCTACTTACTTACTTATCAACGTCAAAAGTTTTAGAGGCACTCTAGTAGAAAAAAAAAAAATAAAGCTAAAGGCGCGTTATTTATATTAAATACATTAGGCTGTTTATCATACCTTTAGAGTAAGTAAACACAGGGAAAGAAGATGTTCGAGGGTTGTTCATTCTTGGTAATAAGCTCTGAACCCTTCAATAGCGATGATGAAATCAAAAGGGTTACTCGAACCATAGAAGATAATGGAGGAAAGGTATTTAGAAAAGAAGAACACGATAATAGTCAGAATTATTTGAGCGATAATGTGAGCTCTGTAATACATCATATTGTTACACGAAGTGTCGATTTTATAGAGTATAATACGGCAAAGAAATGTATGGTCCCCATAACGTCTCCTGAATGGGTCTTTGAAAGTGTCAAGGAGGGCAAGCCTTTAAATCCTAAGAAATTTAATCCTGACCCCAAATATTTCATGAAAGACTGCTTTATATGTGTGGCAGACAATTTACCTGTTGGGGATAAGGAAGCGATATATGGGGGTGTCCAGGCATTTGGGGGACAGTTTTTTGACGAGTTAACGAGGTATACTACTCATTTGATTGCGGTTGACTTAAGTAACGAAAAGAGTATCATTGCATTAAGTGCTACGGGCCAAAGTAATGGTGTTGATGATATAGATATAAAGATAGTAAGTCCAAGCTGGATAGACGATTGTCTCAAGTTTGGCCGAAAGTTGAGCGAGACGTCATATTTGATGTCAAAGTCGAAAATTGGCGATTCCTCCCAAAACGAGCAAATGGTTTCGCCATCTACGCCAAATCATTTCATTCAAGAGAGCCAGGAGGTTCCTCCAAACCATTTTGATTCCAACTTTTTTCAAGGCAAGAGTGTTTATATCAAATCGGATTATAAATTATCTGAAAGATTATTTAATGCAGTGAAAACATTGATTGAACGTCATGGTGGTAAGATATTGAATAATTTTGACGAAGAAGAGGTTGACATCTACATTGGCCAGTACAGAGCTGGCGAACAGTACGTGAAAAGCTGCAAGTCTAACCGAATAATAGTGGCAAACTTGCAGTGGTTGTATTCGATTATAGTTACAAATAAATGGGTTCTACCATTGAACTCCAACTTTCTTCATTATCCAATTCCCCCAGAACCTTTGCCTAACTTCAAAAAGTTGAGAATTTCGGTAACCAACTATAGCGGTGATGCTAGAACCTACTTATCTATGTTAATAACCATCTTGGGAGGCACATTTACCAAAACGTTGACCAAGGAAAATGATTATTTGATTGCAGCAAAACCTACTGGCAAAAAGTATGAAGCAGCAACAAATAAATGGGCTAATAGAGCCGGAGGTACCAATGTCAAGGTTGTCAATCATATTTGGTTGGAGGAATGCTTTGCGAATTGGAAATTGCTTGACCATAATGAGCCTCATTTTCAGTATCTAGGAAATGGCGAAGGTGTCGAGACTCTATTGGGAAAAACGAAGCTCGACGAGCAGGTATTGAAAAGCTGGTATACAAAATCTATGGTAGAGACCACAGAGGGTGATGTTGATGATAGTTGCAGCGAACCAGAGACTCGTCAATTGATTAACGAACTGACGAGTCAAGCTAAAGCCAATACAAGAATCATTCCAGCTGAAGAGGAAGATTTTCCTCAGTCATTTACGAAATCATTTTCAGAAAAAGAAACACCACCTTTGTTGCCATCTCCCAAAGATAAAATTATAAGTAACGCCACAAAAGATGATGAAAGTCCTCCTCTTGAGCAAAGACTTGGTGGCAGATCTGCTGCCAAGAAAGCGGCGGAGAAATTGCATTCAGATATGGCCGATTTGAATAATTATAAAGAATTATCGAGGAGTGCTAGAAAAATGAAGTCATACATGGAAGAGCTTGAAAACTCTTTGACTCCTAAAAAACGCCGGAGCTCTCTCCCTGAAGATGAAACTGAAACTGTTGAAACTCCTGAGCCATTTAAAAAGAAAACAAGGCCCACTAAAAGCACTAATTCTGACTTCCAAATCATCGCCGTTATGACGGGATGTGAACAAGTGCTTACTTTGTCGAAACCTGATTCAGCAAAGTTGGCTAAAGCTGGAATCAAGGTATTGACAGACTTATCAGAAAAGTACGACATCAACACTTTAGTAGCTCCAAGAATCTTGAGAACGGAAAAGTTTTTGAGGAGTTTGAGCAAAGTCGATAAAATCATACATCCTAATTATTTGTCTGATATTCTCAGCAAAGGAAATTTAGATACATGGTCTTGGGATTCAATATCAAAAGAGTTCAACATTAATGACTATTCTCTTGACAAAGTCATAGCAACTAAAGAGCTTAATGCTGAATTAGGAATTGCTGCAAATGCCAAAAATGGGTTCTCAAATCTTTTAAAAGGAAAGAAAAAAGGAGAATTATTTAAAGATATGAAGTTTAACTTATCAACGAACTTGAATGGTGGCGTCGAAGTCATTTCAAGAATCCTTAGTTCTCAAGGGGCAATTGAAATGAGACCCGTGAAAACAATAAATGCATCGAACATTAAATCTCTTCTTCAATCGGTTGACGGAATTAAAATAGTCATTGCTAATAAGTCGAAAGATACCAAACTAATCAACAACTTCAAGAAGATTGAGCCTGAGGGAATGATCATCGACTGGGACTGGTGTGTGAAGTCTATTTTTAAAATGAAGTTAGAGAAGCTCGAAGATTTCATCTTATAGGTATAATAAAAGAGACGTTCATAGTAAACTTATTTGTTGTAACATAGTATTTGTACATAAGATTTTATGGACTATTGTCACTTTAGATCTTTATGATCTGGGTACAATAATTCTTCTAGATTAAAACTAGAAGAAATCTGTTACTGTAGCAATTGAACAATATAAGAACAAAAAGCAAAAGTAGACTGAAAAAAAAAAGAGTAAAATAAGAAACATGGAGTAGGGAGTATATCAAATATCTATCAAGCTTGGTCCATCATAACCTGTTCGTTGCTGTGTTTGAGAATGAGCATTACCGAACCCATATCCTGTGTGAGCCGGCTCCTGACGGGCTTGAGTCTGGTATCCTCCTCCACCAGTCAAGAAAGGATTACCCGTAGTAGTCGTATTTAGTTTAGTATCATCCTGTTGCTTGAATCCAGTACCACTCGAGTTTATGAAGGTTTGAGTTCTTGTATGTTGATGAGGGATTCTTGAATCACCAGTATTACCAAAAGTATCAATTCCAGTACCTTGCGATAAAAGATTATTCAAATCTGCGTGTGTGGAATCATTAAACTTTGACGAAGAAGTAGTCTGGGGTCTAAGCTGTTGTGGTTGGGATGTCGGTTGGGACGTCGGTTGAGTGAAGAATTGGGGTTGAGCCTGTTGTTGTTGTTGCTGTTGTTGTTGTTGATACTGAAGATCATTAAGAGTTTGCGTGTTTGAGTGCACAGGTTGAGAGTTTGATTCTGAATGCAACGCAAAAGGGTTGTTCGTACCGGTCTTGAGTGGCTGTAATTCAGGTTGCGGTTGAGCTTGTTGTAACTCCTGCTGTTGAGGCTGTCCAAAATTAAAACCGGTAAACTGATTTGGTTGTTGATAAGTATTTTGATATTGTTGGTACAAACCGGTATTCATAGGGTTTTGTATAGGATTTCCAAACATGTCATACTGCTGAGTTTGTTGCGGCACCACAGTGTACTGAGGTTGCTGCTGCTGATAGTACCCAGTAGCCATATAGTATTGCGGCTGTTGTTGTTGTTGCTGTGTATCATTTAAATCTAGTAAATTATCGTTCTGTTTTTGTCTCCTCATTTCCTCTTCCTCTAATGACAACTTTAGAGCTTGCTCGAGATCAGAATCATTGTTAGTAGGGGCTGCATTCCGATTCCTCTCTTCTTCAGCAGTGAGCCTGGACATTTCCAAAGCTTGTTGCAATTCATCATCATAAGGATCATCTCCATTTCTAGAACGAGAGTTTCTCCTTCTTCTTCTTCTACCAGTATCATCAAGACGGCCATTCTGGGATCTAGCAGCAAGTTCTCTTTCATGTCTCAACCTTTCATCGTCCCTCAATAATGCAACTAACTCTTTTGCCTTGACTCTGATTATTGCTCCCTGATCATTATTGGATTCGTCTATGTGGATAAACTCCCGCAAAGTCTTGATAATGTATAAGTTGTCTTTACACCAAAGAACACATTTCTCCGACCCATATCTCACTAAGTAGTCCAACACCGTCAAAGACTTGGCGATATGTCTCCAGTTTTTCCCTTTGTCATTGAGACGCCTGTCCAACATATCCATAATTTCCAAGAAATCAGTTTGGCTCTGATAGGTATAAGAGGCTATTTCTTCCATATCAAACGAAGTAGGGCCCGCTGGATCGTTCGACGTTGCATTTCTAACCATAATTTGCACGGATGAGTAGCCGTTGGCCACATTCTTTATCGTACGAACAATCGCCTTGGACATATTGCAATAATATTCGTCGATATGTTATACGTGTGTAAAATAGCTTCTGCTAACAGCAATTCTACGTACTTTATTATTAAGACTCTTTATCTTCACGGAGCTTCGAGTGGCAGAACAAGTGAAAGGAAAGACAAAAATGACTATGTTATATACAGGCCAATGATGATGATGGGCTATATCTTCAGCAAATGGAGTTGAAGAAAGATACTAGCAAGGGAATAAATGGATCGCGATGTCAGACTTTGGGTTAAGATGGTGTATTAGAAGTCATTTAGAAGACTCTGGAGAACGCCCTAAGCCTCTGGACTCTACTGTATCTAAAAGAGGTTTCAGAATGAAAAATATTCACGTGACTTTACAATTTAATTAAACTTGCCTACAAGGGGTTTAGTAACAGCATAAACCAGCACCAGGAGACCACAGGTACTCCAAATATATCGTTTAATAGTCGGCTCAACTTATTGCACTAGCCCTTAGTACCTTCTTGTAGGGTGCTGCTCTCTCGCCAGCTTCTCACAATTTTTCAGACCCTCGCTGGAAAAATTTCCACCTCCCACTCTAATGCACTTTTCAATATGGCCGCAACTATGAGAGTCTATACCACATCCTGACATGTCTTGAAAGACTCCATGAGCTGTTAATAACCTAAATTGTCTTCTTTAGATACATTTTAAACTCTACACGTGAAGAGAAGCTTACATAATTTGTCGACGAAGGAATTGGAATGGGTCGGAAATTAGGGGGACGTAGATCACACTTCCATTTGCCATTACTTTGAACAGTAATAACAAAGTAACAAAACTCCGTAGAAGAAGACAGTCAGAAGAAGGCAGTCGATTATAGATACTATTTGAAAGAGATAGCCAGACAGCGGAGCCCGTCAAAGAGCTTAGAAAAGAATTAAAGGAAAGTAAGAGCTCAGACCGTCGCGAACGCTAGTGCAACTGCAAAACTAAAGAACTTTACAGAGGCTATATCTTACCTGTATAAGTTATACTAGACAATTTGAAGAGTTGGGGCTGTTTCAGTGACTTTAGTTAAGCTTTATTAGATAAAGTATTAGATAAAGACCGTACTGGACTAAAGGTATCTAGTTACCAATAAGCGAAGATGAGTGACGTGAGAAGATGTCGTCGTTGTAAAAGGAAGAGAATGGACGATGAACCCCCTGAAGTGAGATTATACAAGACTTGCGCCAAGTGTCGAATTATCGAAAGGCAAAAAAAGAAACTGAGGAAGCCATTGGCGGAGGAAACAATGCTTTATGGCATGAAACAGTTTCAACAGCAGAGTCAGAATGGTACGTTAGGAGCAGATGAGATATTCATGGACGATGAAATTTTTGACGGAAAGGTGAAAGCTCAAGAGATGTCTGCTCCAACTCCTAGTCAACAACAATTCTCGTTGTATAAATTCCTGTCTGCTCCGACACAGAGTGGTTCAACTCCAAGACATACGCCATTGTCTCAACAGACAGCGCGACCATCTCAACCATTCTACAATAGCCAGATTCCACTGTCTCACATCGATAGATCACAGCAAGTGGACACAGTAAGACTGCATTTGGTACAGCCGGCCAACAATGTTTCAATGCCAGTAGATAAGGTTTCAGCTGCTTATAAACAACCAAAGAGTTGTGAAATATGCTCTTCAAAGTTGGATTCAAATGACGATCTCAGTATGAGCTATAACTTGTGCTCAAAATGTTATACTAATCCATATCGGTTGAATAATGTGTTTGGAAATTTTGATGAATTCATTTCTCAAATACAGAAGAACAGAAACAAAAACTTAGAAAACTATGTTTTTGTGAAGGAATTAGATAACAATTTCCAAGGTAGCTTAAACCTTCATAGCAAGAATATAGCCAATGAAAAGCAGTATAGGGATTTGCTATTGGAAAACATCAGAATAATTTACTTAGAACCTGTGATTGCTGCCATAGTTAATAAGTTCAACCATGTTTCAACAAATACAAATGATCCTAATCTATTGGCGACTAATTTCCGAAATGTTAATTCCATAAAATGCTGGTACAAATGTTACAAAGATTCGCAACTAAAATGCAATTCAAGCTTGTATTTGAACTATAATATAAACTTCAATTTACTTATTATAAAGTTCAACCACCAAGTGCACAAGCTTTCGAGAATCTATCCTGAAAACTTCATTATAGTGACGGAACAAATAGTAGATGAGATGAAGGAGAAAACCGAGAGAGCTGAAGTAGATTATAACTTCCACACAGCTCATTTAGTCTATGAGAAGTTGTTCTCTGACTTGAGCAAATTCAACACTGACATACAGACCTTCATCAAATCCTTAAATAAAGAAGACTTTATTAATGACTTTATGAACTTCAAGCGTTTGACGGAACCCGACAGCAGCAAGGTGGCCAAGCCACTTGATTCTAAAAAAGCAGATGAAGCAAAGCCGGAGAATGACGCTCATGACGGAGTCGTGCATGGGAACGATGTCAACGGAGATGAAGACGATGAAGAAGAAGAAGAAGAAGAAGAAGAAGAAGACGAAGAGGATGACGAAGACTCAGAAGAAGCACACGAGACACAAGATGGAGATACTGAGTCGGAGAGCGATAACAAACAAGATCAATTTGGTACAGAGAAAGACTCAGAAGAAGGGGATCGCATCCAACAACGCGAAAATGTCCTTAGCTCATCGGAAATTCACTCTGGAATTACTCCTTCTAACGCAATAACTCCCCAAAATGCCGTACCTTCTGGTGCAAACCTAGATCCAGTCTTCAATCATTAGTACTTTTATAGATTATAGCTCTTAGTTTTATTCAAAATTGTATTTTTAGTAATTTAGTTGATCCCTTCCTTTACCTTTTGGGCTTCGGGGCTTTATAGACAGACAAGAAAAAAAAAAAAAATAAAAAGCCAAGTGGGATCAACTAATTAGAACACGTTGATTCAATCATTTTAAGGGCCACGTTAAAGGTTATTTGTACAGCAGAGGATACTACACGGTCTTTGAAATGAAATCATCAGTCGTTTTGTTAATATCTCTGTTGGTCAACTTGATCAGTTGTATGTGGATAGATACCAATAATGTCACTACAATTAAGGAGGATACGGCGATAATCGCTAAAGGATTGTTGAATTATTACGAGGGTACAACTTATGGAGGGACAATTGGAATGTTTACTTGGCCATACTACTGGTGGGAAGCTGGCGGAGCTTGGGGATCCCTTATTGATTATTCATACTATATGGAAAACGATACCTATGTGCCATTAATCAAAGAGGCCTTGGAATATCAGACAGGAGAAAACTATAACTATATACCTTTGAATCAATCTGTAACTGAAGGTAACGATGATCAAGGGTTTTGGGGAATAGCAGTAATGGGCGCAGCTGAGAAGAATTTCAGTAACCCTACAGATGAGAAAAAAGCGTGGTTGTCCTTGGCTCAAGCGGTCTTCAACACTATGTCAGCAAGATGGGATGAGAAGGAATGTAATGGAGGTCTTAGATGGCAAATTTTCGAGTGGAATTCTGGTTATAACTATAAAAACTCTGTATCAAATGGGTGTCTTTTCCACTTGGCAGCGCGTCTTGCAAGATACACTTCAAATGACAGTTACGTCGACTGGGCTGAAAGGGTCTGGGACTGGTTGTATAACACTGGTTTACTCACGGAAGGAGAAAACTGGTGGGTTTATGATGGTGTTAAGGTCGAAAATTGTTCAAAGGTAACGAAATTGATCTGGACATACAATCAGGGCTTAATGATGTCAGGTGCAGCATATTTGTGGAACTATACTGCTGACACTGTTTGGCTCAATCGTACAGTGAACTTGGTCAATGGTGCTGAAATATTCTTCAAAAATAGTTCCATACAATATGCTGACGCAGTGATGTACGAGAGAGCTTGTGATCCAACTGACAGTCCTAATTATAATTGTAACCAAGATCAAAGATCATTCAAAGCCTACTTTTCTAGATTTTTGGGCTTGACCTCAGTGATGGCACCAGTGACAGAACCAACTATATCAAACTGGTTAATTTCATCGGCGAATGCCGCTGCTCATTCGTGCTCTGGTGGAAGTGATGGTGTCACTTGCGGCTTAAATTGGCTCAATTCGACTGGATGGGACGGTGTCTGGGGACTCGGTGAACAGATGGCTGCTTTAGAAGTTATGACAAACTTGCGGGTTCATGATAGGCCCCCTCCATATACTGCCAGTGATGGCGGTTCGTCCAAGGGTAATCCATCAGGTGGTTATGCCATTTTAAATACAGGAGTACCACCATTAACTTTGGATGGTGGAGACAGGGCAGGTGCTGGCATTATTACTGCTCTTATAGGAATTGTTTTAATAGCCACTGGTGTCTGGTTGGTTCTTTAGAATTCACGGAGGATTTCTTAGAATATTCACGAAGATTCACCTTTATGTTCTGATAATAGGAAGCATAAAGGTATACCATGGTCGTATACCACGGTTAGATATGTAAAAGAAAAACTTTAAATTCATATTTTGTAGAAATTCTATCATTAAATAAACGCTGTTATCGAATTGACTAATTTCCTTGTCATTTGTAATTATTGCTGTCCTTATAAAGTTATGATATTCAGTATTCTATTATCGAGTTTAAGATAAAAACATTTATACGCGGTGGCAATTATAGAAAGGCTAAAGATATTGGTTCAATCAATAATATAAGATGGGTTCAGAAGATCAATTCACTTCTATTCAGTGGGATAGAGATGATGTTATTACAAATGGATCACCAAGCAAGCAAGAAACAATAATTGAGGAAGAAAACTCAGAGAATGCAGATGATGATGACAAGGAAACACACACACAGGAGACGTCAAAAGCACCGGAAGAACGTGAGGAAGACGACCATCAGGAGTCGAGTTCACCGACTCAGCAGGTGCAAGATACTTCTGAGTCAGCTTTGCTTGCGAGCGAAACTAATGATTCTGTTGACAATGAGCTGCCAGACAGCCGAGTTCGCCAACAAGATCAACAACACCTGGAAGCAAAGAAGCTTTTTGAGCAATATCATATACAATGTGCTGTATCGAGCCCTATGAGGGATTTGGATAGTTCTTCTAAGCCATATATCTCCTATTTGATAACCACTACTACTAACAATCCATCTATTAAAAAATTGGCTTCAAGTGGTGATAGCAATGTAAACCCACCAGAAAGTACGAATAGTGATGAAATCACCGTTAAAGTCAGAAGACGTTACGATGACTTTAGATGTTTACATGAGTGTTTGATTAATGACTATCCGGAGTATTTGGTTCCTCCGTTACCCTCGAAGCTGAACTTCAAATATTTGACCGGCGATACATTCAGCATGGAATTTGTTCACAAACGATTGAATTCTCTTAATAGATTCATAAGGTATTTTGTACAACATAAGATACTTTCACAGTCATCTGTTTTTCATTTGTTTTTAAGCGATTCTGCTGATTGGACAACATTCATCAAGAACCTAAAGATTAATAAAATCGACACAGAAGAACCAAGTGGTTTTGTCAACAAGGTCGTAAATGAAGACCTCACGGAAACGCTTATGAACTTTTTAACTCCTTCAAAACATAAGAAAGAAACAAATAAGGATATTCTTGAGATAAGTGATCGGTTGAAGAAGTTATACGAAAATTTGATAAAGTTGGATAAGATATTCTCAAGGTTAAATAAAAGAAATAATGATTTAAGCTCTGACTATGAACAATTCCTGAAGCAGATTGCAAAATTGGCGGTGCTTCAGGACCATGCGTCTCCCGAAAGTCAATTAGCATTAAATACCGCTGAAAGTAATGGATCACCCAAGCATGATATGGATAACGAGGATAACGATCAAACTAATACAAGCTCTTCGAGCAAGCAGCATGAAAATGGTAATGATAAAGATACTTCAAATGAACATCTACATGAGAATGAATACAATAATGAGCCTAACGAATCAAATGGGTTTGACTTTGATACATCCCATATTGGGTCATCTCATAATCCAAGAGATTCGGAAACTGCTATGATGGCAACGAACTTTAAAATATTTGCTGACTCTTTGTCCTACTTCCTGAAAAATTGGTCCAACTTACACAAGTACATTGATGAGTCTTTCTTAGTTTCCTTAAAGGATTGTTCTAGATATATCATTGGATTAACTCATTTGATCGAATTTCAACATAATAAGAAAATTGATCTACAGGTATTACATGAGTACCTATCCAAGACTAGAAGTGAGTTGTCGGCGTTAAATGGAACTGGTTCAGCCAGGCATGCCCCACCTACGCCTGTTGTGAACAGCCATTCTGGTGGACTTGTTAATAATACAACTCAATTGATTAGGGATACAATTTCAACGTCTGCTACGACTCACATCGCTTCATCATCAACAGAAAATAAAGCAGCTAAATTAGAGGCTAGAATAAATCAACTAGAAAATGAAATTGATTTGCAAACTAAACTTGTAGCGGATTTGACAAGCAAAGTCATTAATGAAGAATATCCTGCTTGGGACCGCTTCAACAAGAATGAGCTTAAAAGCTCAATGTTGGGTCTTTGTGACGAACAAATCAAACTTTACAGTGGCTTAATTGAAAATTGGTCTTCAGCAGAGGACAAGTTAACAAAGAGATTAAGCGAATTGAGCACCTAATTTTGTCTTATCTATTTCATATGAAGCGTATATACTAATGTTTTTATTCTAAAAGTGGCTGAACTGATCTACGAGGTTCCCGTTACTATAATTCTTTTTATCAGTTTTCAAGACTTTATTATCTCTTCTATGAGCATAGTACATACTCTTCTATTTACCAAAATCCTCATTTCACAATGAAATTTGTATGCAAAAAGTTGATTTAAAATATCTTCAAAGCGTCAACAATTACTATTTCTTTCATCTTTGAACTTATTCTTCAACCATCATGATCTGTATTCTTCAACCGATCATCTGCATCATTTTCGGAATCTGAATCCCCTCCATCACCTATGTTGAAAAGAGTAGAACTATTAGAATTCGATGGCTCATCATGTTTCTTCGTACCCTCAAGTTCCTCATAGTCGGGAGGATTTGATTTGAGAGGTGCGGCGGATGCGCCTTCATTATCTAATTCAAAACTGTCGTTATCGCCATGTTCATTGTCCGAATGGCTAAGTAGAGATAAATCATCCAACTCAAATTCATGACCTTGATGGTAACCTCCTGCAGCAGTCTCTTCATCGGCATTTTCATCGGTAGACAACTGTTGTGAAATTGCAAGCATATAACTAGTTTCTGTGGGTCTCCATAACCATGCAATACATATAAAGACACCGAAAAATACCACGGAGGGCCAGAACTCGAATATGAAAAATGCCCCCTTCCAGTGTTGCTCAATCATTTCAGTAGATGACATACTCAAATAAATAAATGAAGACAAGATCAATCCTCCGAAAGTTAGAACCACAGATAAGAAAATGATTTTAAATAAGTTTTCGTACAACTGCAACTTTATAATTTGTCGTTGCTGATGCAAATTTGCCGTGGTCCTTCTGATTGCAACCAAAATACTGATATAGTAAATTGTTAAAGTTATCCCTATTGGAATCAAAGGAATCAAACCAAGTAGGCCATTCATACCACCAGATTCGAAAGAATTAGATGATATTGTAGTAGTCGAGCTTCCAGTATAATAGGTGGAGATAAGATATCCTGCGGATGCTAGGAAATGGCAACCAGCTAGAATTTTACACTTCAACATTGTTGGTTTGTCCAACTTCAAGAAGACCACACCATATCCCAATGCGATACAAAGAAGCAAGAAGAATGAGAAGGTGATCTTAGTTGAGTTCATTAAGGAAAGAAAGACCATGTAAAACTTTGTGAATTTTGAGGTAGGATTCTTCGTTCTATTGACCAAATCGTAGTATGACCAAACAACAAGAGTATCAAACGTTAAAAACCCAAGCATCGCTAAAAGGTATTTTTGCAAAGGTAAAATTTGGTTCTCCTTTCTTTTTTTGAAGAACTGAAATCCAAATAACGCCAAAGCTATAGCGTAGCATAAGGTCAAAATACCGTAAGCTGGCAACTTCGGAATTTCACTTGCACTCAAGTGACCATAGGCATTTTGAAAATTAATAATACCCTTGTACTTCTTGTGAGCCATACTGTAAGTTGCAATACAATAGTATCCTGTCCTATGAACGGTGTAATTTATATGTGCATTCCCAAAGTGAGTCAATTGTGAAGTCATGATAGTAGAATTAGTGACGTTTGCATTCATCAAAAATTTACCTCTATGTGACTTTTCACAAAACCCAGCACTTATAGCATCATCATCACAGATATAGCTGTAATGGCCATTTCCTAAATCATGGCCAATATGTGATATGTCCTTATATTCAAATATCACAAAGCTCACACTTATATCTTCGCCGCCATCGTCATTTTGTTTATGTTTCTTCGAATCATACTTCTTCTTGTTATATTCGTTCAACCTGATTCCAATGTGAGGCTTCATACTTCCTCCCCAGGCATCCTTTGAATACATACCCGAACATACCTGGGAACTCAAGGAATTGTCAAATTGAATTTTATTTGCAAAGGTTAGTTGAAGAAACCATAAGCACGCCAAAAAGGAATACAACCGAATCGGTATGAACATCTTCCTTTAATAAATCTGAAAATTTGTAAAGTAGCCGATATAGATCTGTTATTCCTAATGCACCTTTGACTTGGGCTCTCGGTACGACATTTGATTCACTGAACGTCTTGGCGATTAATTTGTACAAAAGTCGCACGACATAGTTATCCGATGTCTAGATCTTTGCCTGTCAGATAGAAAGATGCGTCGTAGATTACGTTGAGGAGACTAAGCTATAAGTACATAACGAGTAATTAGGTTCCATCGAACATCTATAAACCAGTCCAAATAGAGCCACCATCCCTGTTTACTTCCAAGCCTAAGTGTTCTACGCTATTAGTCCACCTGATCAAGTGATCATACAAAATCTTGATTTGAGTTAAATCTAATATTCTAGGCTGGAGCCACGTAACCAGTAAGACATGATCTAACTGATTAATCTGACCCTTGATAAGACCAAGAGAGAAACACTTAATGATTATATGCTCCACATCGTTCAACGGTGTGCCAGTGAAGTTACTTATCTCCTTAAACGTCAATTGCTTATTTGCTGTCGATTTCTGAGAAATTAATTCTAATAATGACATAATAATAATCTTTTGTTTTAAGAATACTTCAAATTTGGTCAAAAATGGGCATTTTTTTAGTCCGATACTAAGCCATTTGTTGAATTCCGGTAAATTTCCAGAGTTCAAATTGATTATCAAATGATATAACCAATTATACTCATTATCCTTTATAACGTTCAAGATATTGTGTAAAACAAGTTCTCCGAAGTTATATATCTTGTCTCCTAGAAGTGCTGATATACATAAGTCATAACATAACTTGATTTCCTCATCATTCAGCAAATTATCTACCGAAGATAAGTATAAAAGACCGTTCAAATAAAATTGGTTATAATTCTCATTAATCTTATAATATTGACAATTGGTCAAGTAAAAAGCGGCATTGATTTTGGAATTGAAATTGCTTTCGAAATCAGCATTATTGAATTTCGAATTTAAAGCATCTAAAATCTTTTCAGCGCTTGGAATGTCATTCAATAATAAGTAATACCGAGCGAGTTGCAAGTTAATATATATCAATGATTCGTCATTTTCAATTACTTCATCTAGATTGTCGATTTTTGATGATTGATTTGATTTGATTTGTTTAATATAGAAATTCTTAGATACTAACAAATTCTCAACAATATCTTCATACTTCTCATCAAAACTTTCAAGAAGGAAATCAGTAGCTTTAATCGGATTAAGCTTCAGGAGAAGCTTCGCTACAAAACCATTGTAGATTTGAAATCTCAATTGCTCTGATTCTGGAATCAGGAAAAACTGCTCTAAGGACAAAGTCAATTGGTGCCATAACTTTCGCTCATAAAAATCTTCCAATTCGTAAAAGATTTGTATCAAATCTGAGTTTTCTGTCTCCGACCTCATTGTGGCCAACACAGTGGAGATGTCATTATCTAACTCCATTGCTGACATTTTAGGCTAATTGTTAAAATATATTAAATAGATATTCATCTTAATTCATCTGTGTATAACGATTTTGATCTTGCCACTCGAACAAAATGTTAGGCATCTAGACTTCCTAAAACGGAAGTAATTAATAAAATAACGTTACGCTATTAAATCATATATATATCGTTAAATATTTCATGTCAATGACTATCGTCGACCAAATAGTTCTTAAAGTCATCCCAATTGTGCAAGTTTTTTTCAAATAATGCTTTTCCATTTCTAATGAAATCTAACATCATGATTAGCCATTTCACCTCTAATTTTTTTAAGAACTCATGAAAGTTCACATGAAGTTCGTCAGATAATTTAACTATATCATTGTTGGATAACTCAACTAGTTGATCTAGCTTATCTAGCTCTTTTTCTATGTGACTGATTTTATGCTTGAACTGACTGTTAATATCCATACCCTCACTCATATTCGAATCATTAAGTGAAAATTGAAGTTGCTTTGACCCTCCGAATAGGCCGTACCATGAGCCTTTCTTTTTGAGACCACGTCCTTTTTTCTGTCTTAACTCTATCTTTTTCAATGCTTTGCTAATAGTCGGACTGCTTGTTTCCAAGTCTCTCAAGTTATCTAATTTCACCTGGGAATCAAAAGTTGCATTAAAATTCGATAATTCGTTAATCTTATTGAATTTCAATTTATGAACTAACTTAAATTGAATAATCTTGAATTTGTAAAACTTTATTAATTGCAATGCAGACAGATAATACTGAACTATTTGAAACACAGGCTCCTGCCATTCTGGAACAAAATTTTCAAGTAAGAATCCTTCAAAGTTTAAAAAATTTGAATCCACAGTTGACCCCAACTTTTCAATTGTGGTACTTAGCTCAGTTGATTGATTATCATAAATCTGTAAGGAAAAGTTGTTTAAATTTCCCCCCAATTCAATCAATGTATTAATAATTGATTTCAAATTTTTGGAAGTCCTGGAATTTAGCTTATTCAAATCATTCAAAATTTTGATATTCTTATTAAAGAGCTTTTCAGAAAAAACCAAGTGTTGGGGAATTTCGAAAGAGAACTGTGATTCGTGGTCAAATGATCTGATTTGGTCATTTAATCTTCGAACATCATCGTTGAGCTTCTTCAAAGATGATGCGCTATCGGTACCGGAATTGAACTCAAATCCATTCACCACTGGCAAGAGAGAGTATAACCCATTACGATCGGAAGGATCTATGGGATTCGCCAAAAGCAAATTGTTAGGAATAGAGTTGATCGGTGGTTCATTCAAGGCATTGTTCCAATGCATTTCATAATTTGGATCAAGAAACTTGTATAATAATGGGCAATGTTTTATCCTTTCAATGCCTATTAAATCTTGCAAAAATTGCTTGAAGTACCTCTTTCTGCTTTCAATCATAGTAACTTCATTGGAGTTATTAATTGAGTTCACTAAGTACGTTATTATCGAATGCTTTGCCGGAATGGGAGGTAAAACCACAGAAGGAAATAATCTAGCCAAGTTATCTCTAAGCGATTCAAATTCACTATATCTCCGTTTGACTATAATAGGTTCGCTATCCGCAACTGACAACTCAATAGAATATGTGATTACAGACGTATTTACCAAGCGTTCACACGAAACGATGTCAATTTTCAATCCTGGATCATTCACAAACTCTTGAATCCTATTAGATAGCCCAATTGTACTATTAACTATGTTATTATGCAGTTCATCGTATTCATTCTTGCCATTATTATGATTATGATAGCTAGTATTAGTGTTGTTATTATTATTCAAATTTCCATAGGGATCATTTAAAATAGATCCGTTACCATAAAATGACGGATTATTATCCTGCTCTATGTCCTCAAACAACGATTCGTTGGAATTCATGTCCCCAACGAGATACTTGCCACACAAACACTTACAACGCAGTTTATGTCTAAACTTTCAAAAAAAGATTACCGTGACTGCATACAGAGATAAAACGGAGTCCAGAGATAAAGGAGCAGCCCGAAGCACAAGGCTAGAGTATTCACCTGGAAGAGACAAGCTCAGGCAAGCTACGATGGGCGAGAAAGAATTTGGGGACGACTCTGATTCACTTGCTGACAACACATGGAGCCAGATACTTAGGAAGAAGAAACGTTAGCCATAGCAAGGCTTCTCATGGAACAGAATCACTTTACAGAATCATTAGATACGTACATAGGCATGTTAACTTTATAACACCTCAAATACCCCGATAAAGTCACGCATTTATGTGTGTATTTTCTTAATGTAGTTCACTGAGTAATCCGTATCCTTGTAAAATCTCGTGTGCCTGTACTTTACGGGCACTCGACTTTGTCCATGAACACTGGTACGCGAATAGCTTGAATGCTGCAGAACTCTTTCTTGTTGCTTGAACCTTTCTTTCTTTCAGCTCTTATTTAAAGTGATACACTTAAGATCTGCCTTGTAGTTCACCGAACATACGCGTAAAGTGTGTGGCTCCGTGGACAAACTTCTCCTCGTTTTCCACTCAGATATACTTAGCGGACGTATTAATACTGATATTCATGAAGGCTTCTGTAGCATGAGACTATTTTAAAAGATGAAAACTTAGGATCTATTTAATCATCACTCTTCTTCTCTATGGCTAGGCGGCCCTAACTCCTCTGGCTATTCTGACTCCTTTGGCTGCTCTGGCCTCTATTGTTTCTTGGTGAATTGTTTCTCGATATCGTAGCTATAAATATGCGAAACTCATTACGAATCAGGAAAGAAACGTGCTAGCTAAGTATAACCTTAGATTAGGCACACAACTCCACCGAAAGTCAAGAAAATAAACAAAAATAGAAAAAAGCAAATATTTGGAGCTGAAAGAAGCATAAATCAAGTCTTGAATATAAGGAGAGTACGGTGAGGCCTCAAAATACACTTAAGTGTCTGATAATTTCTTGTGTGTTACTTATTTTCCTTATAATATAGAATAATTATTATGTACGGTCGATTTAAAGCAGTAATAATAGCTGCTGTGTTGATAGTGTTGATAAATGCAATCTTTCTATGGAATATAAATTCGCATAATATTAAAGGGGACGGGATCCTGAAAATAATCAATACATCAAAGAATGAACTAGGGCTAACGGTGTATCATCACGATCCTAAAAATAGATTTGTGGTGATGGAACTCCAAAAAGATCCATTACAAGAAGGCAAACAGTACTCTTCGGAAGGAGATTTCTTGAAGCTGACATCTAAAGGAGCCCCCTATGATATTCAATACATCCTGAGTCATGACAACGCTGCTCAGTTGAATTTTGTTGAAAAGCAGATGGAGAAAAATTTTGAAGCCACAGGGCTGGAAAGGATAGAACTGGAATCTTCATTCCGAAAGAGGTTCAAACAGTTTTTTGAAGATTTATTGAATGTTATAGATGAGAGTAAACCAAAGATTCCTTCTATCAATAATGATGATCACTACAGAATCGCTAAGGATTCGAACAGTTTCCCCAATAGAGACGGCAGAGTAATGCTTTATGGGGGAAACTTGAGGGAGAATTATCTTCAAGAACCTGTTCGGACAAAGGCCATGTTATCCAACTATTTAAGACTATCTGAGAACGAGTTAGATGACCTAAAAAGATCACATCATCATTTTTTTGAAAACATGCCTCGTGGATTCCCTCCAGAGCTCTTGCAGTTGAGTAAATTCAACAAATTTATGAAAGGTGATGGTATTGTTATCTTAGGTGGTGACAGATATAATCAGCTAGCTTTATTATCAGTGAAAGTCTTGAGGTCCCATGGTTCCAAATTGCCTGTAGAAGTCATTATGCCTCACAGGTCTGATTTCGATGCTGAGTTCTGTGTTAACATTCTTCCAAGTTTTGATGCAACTTGTAAGATTATGGCAGACTATTTGCCAGATTCATTACTAGGAAAAATTAAGGGCTATCAATATAAGAATGTTGCAATCATGATTTCATCCTTCAAAAGAGTTTTGTTTTTGGATGCTGATAATCTCGTATTAAAGAATCCAGATGTTTTATTTGCTAATGAACCCTTCACATCCCATCATTTAGTTTTATGGCCGGACTTTTGGAGGAGATCAACATCGCCAAACTTTTACGAGATCGCCGATATAGAGGTTGATGAAAAGTCAAAAATACGAAATAGTTATTTCCCTGGAGATGCTAGAGGAACAACAAAAGATCTGTCTCACTTTTCATTTCACGATTGTAAAGGTGCAATACCCGAAGCATCGAGTGAAACTGGTCAAATATTAATTAATAAAGAAGTTCATAACACAACATTAATCTTGTCGATGTACTATAATTGGTTTGGACCAGACTTTTACTATCCATTATTGAGTCAAGGAGCTGCTGGTGAAGGAGACAAAGAAACCTTCATCACTGCTGCCCATAAATTAAATTTACCCTTGTATCAGGTCAAGGAGTTCAATAGAGAATTCGGACCTGTAAATGAAAGAGGAGGACATGAATTATACGCTATGGGTCAGTATGATCCTATAATTGATTATATTCAATCAAGAAACAACGAAGATGAATCACGGATTGACTATCACTACCCAGAAAAGCCAACTTATGCTCAAAGCGATACTGACTCTACAAAGAATAACTATAACTATCATCTTTATAAATCTTCCAGCTTATTGTTTTTGCATGCTAACTGGCCCAAATTTTATTTACATGAGATGTTTATTCTTAATTCTTATGGAAGAGGTCCTCTTGTTGATGAGAAAAGAAGGAGATTGTACAATACAGAACTAAAGAAGGAGTTAGGTTACGATTTAGAGCTTAATTTAAACAAAGAGCTAAAATGGTGCTACTGCGACTTAAGAATTGGCCTTCAGCATGTTCCAGATCCTAACGGTGAAGAAAGGAAGACAATATGTAATAATATAAAGAACCAAATAAGTTTCCTAGAGGGCGCTGATTAGTTTTATATACATATATCTATATACATAAGTATACTCAACGTAAACTTTAGTATTCACGATCAGCGGAAGTATAGAAACTCAACTATAATCTCATTATCATAAGTTATCTCTCATGATCTTCTTAGTGAATTCGGTTGGTGAAGACCAATGGATAAAGATTTTTCCGCACTCTAATTCTGGGTATATTTAATGGTCGAAGAAAGTTAAAATGGAGAATTCCAAAAGGTCTCAACATGTCTTCAAAATATATTGATAACGCAAGAAAAATTCTTTGTATAGGTCGTAACTATGCTGCCCATATCAAGGAATTGAATAACCAAACTCCCCAAGAACCCTTTTTCTTTTTGAAGCCGTCGTCATCCGTTTTGAAACCTAACAGTGGACCCTTCTTAGTTCCTAAAGGTGTTGTGGTTCACCATGAAGTGGAATTAGGTATTGTGTTAAACAGGACACTTTCGAACTTATCGCCAAACTTAACGGCAAAGGAAGCTTTAGAATATATAGACGGTTATGCGTTGACAATTGATATGACTGCTAGAAATGTTCAAGACGAGGCAAAGAAGAAAGGCTTGCCATGGTCCATTGGTAAAGGTTTCGACACTTTTTTGCCAGTGTCAAATTTCATACCGAAATCTAAGATCCCTGATCCCTACAATGTGGAGCTTTCTTTGAGTATCAATGGTGAAGTGAAACAAGACGACAAAACTGATCTCATGATATTTCCTATTCACAAGATTCTTAGTCATATGTCATGTATAATGACTCTTGAAAAGAATGACTTAATCTTGACAGGTACTCCCAAAGGAGTGGGACCAATTGTTCCGGGTGATGATATTGAGGCAACCTTGAAAGTAGACGGAAAGCTTATTGAAGAAATAAAAATCCATGCTGAGGAGAAGCCAGGTCCTTATCAATATAAAGAAGTATAGAGTCTATTAATGTCTTATATAAAAATGCCTTCTGTAGGTGGCAGGAATTGTCTTAATATTATTCCTGCTTCACTCATTACGTTATGACTCAACGTATCCATCGAGTAACTTTGAGCATATACAACTTCTTTAATTCCACTTTGCACTATTTTAATTGAACAGGTCAAGCACGGACATGTGTTACAGTACAAAACACTGTCTCCTCTAATGCGGTCTCTTCCAGCTTCCAACAATGCGTTTTCTTCGGCGTGCAAACACAAGCATGTTGATAGACCCGCACCGCTACCTTGTCCCTTATTGCACCTCTCGCAACCTCCCTCATTACAATTCGTTAAATGTCTAGGAGTTCCATTATATCCCGTAGCAATAACTCTATTTTCTCTCGCTATTACGCAACCTACTCTTCTTTTCATGCAATTGGATCTCAATGCTGCAAGATCTGCCAACCTCATGAAATAGGAATCCCATGTCGGTCGTAACCTAGATTGATCTCGTAACTTTAATTCGCTCAACTTGATATAAAGATTCTTTATGGAGGAAGAAGTATTAATTATCTTTATCTGTGCTTGATTGTTAATTTCGATTAGGGGATTGGAAGAAGCAAACAATAGTTCATCATTCTTGCTAATGAAATCTTCTAGGTTAGTTCCCGCATTTGAACCTTGTCTCAATAAGTAACGTCCATACCTTAACTGTATTGGCGCATCTATGGAAATGTGAAGAAAGAATGGCCGTTTCTGAAGCTGGTGTAGCATTTGTATATCGCTTATATGTGATATCACAAAGTCTTCTCTCCACCGTGACGTGACGAATTCTAACATCTCTTGAAGATCAACGAACCTTTTAAATGGATCCATAGAACAAGCCTGAATAGATCCTTTCGATGCTTCATCAACTGGAGTTTTGCTTAAGTTACCGTTCTTCTCGACCTCAAATTCTTTCTCTTCGCTCAATGTTATTTCGGAACCATTGAGAAATTCTTCCTCATTGTCGTCCAATTCGATCAATTTAAATCCCTGAAAGGTTAAATACCTTGTGACTTCTGTCTTCCCGGAACTTAGCGTCCCCGACACTCCTATCAACATCTCTCGTGCTCTTCTAAACTTCTAATCCTATAAAAGAATACTATATGTCATAAAAAAAGTAGCGCGTATTATCAAGATATCAATATCATCATTTTTGCTGTAGAATTTATATCAAAAGAAGAGTTAAAAAAGATAAAGAAGATATTGCTACAATTTTATAACTACGGACTTGTGGTTGGATATTGTTCTTTAAATATCAATTGACATTAGTGTTTCAAGAATGAAGTCCTGTTACTTCTTTATTGTTGCTTTAACATTTGTGGTTTGCAATGTATATGGTATAATACATGAAGATGGATTCTGTGCTATGTATGGAGATTGTGGAAAAAAGTCAATTTTTGGAGGCTCTTTGCCATGTCCTAATAGTACTGAAGCCGTAATTCCGTCAACCAAATCGGTTGAATTGCTAAAACAAATTTGTGGAGACGACTTCGTGACTGATAAGGTATGCTGTACCGAAGAGCAGATTTCTAGTTTACAGTCAAATTTAAACAAAGCAGAGCCAATTATTAGCTCATGCCCAGCATGTCGAAAGAACTTCTTCAATTTCTTTTGTGAATTCACCTGTTCTCCAAACCAATCCAAGTTTATCAATATTACGAAAACAGCTACAGCAATTGACACGAAGAAGGAGATAGTTACTGAATTGGATTTTTTTGTTAATCCAGAATTTGCTGATCGCTTCTTTAATTCTTGTAAAGAAGTGAAGTTTCTGGCAACTAATGGATACGCTATGGATTTAATTGGAGGAGGAGCAACCAATTATCAAGACTTTTTGAAGTTTTTAGGAGACGAGAAGCCTCTTCTTGGGGGCTCACCCTTTCAAATGAACTTCAAATATAATATGAGTAAAGAACTGAAGCATCAGGGGCTACAGTTGAAAGGTGGTATCATGAGAGATTGCGATGACTCAGAGTACAAGTGCGCGTGCTCCGATTGTTCTAAGTCTTGCCCTTCGTTGCCAAGGTTTAAAGATTTTGGGACCAAGTGTAGAGTGGGTAAGCTACCATGTTTTTCATTTGCGGTAATAATCGCATGGTCTTGTCTAGTTTTAATAGTGATAGGCTATCATGTATTTCTGGTTAGGTCAACGAAGTTTGAATCTGAGGATATTGAAGATGATACCATTTTCGCTAATACGAGTCTTAATACTGCTAGTAAGGTTTCAAATAGTCTTCAAAACCTATTTCTCACGGGAACTAAAAAATTTTTCAAAGGAACTGCTTTTTTCTGTTCCTCTCATCCATTACTGACAATATTGATTAGTCTTGCGGTTTCCTTCTCATTATCGCTAGGGTTATTGAAATTGAATTTAGAAAAAGATCCTGTCAATTTGTGGGTAAGTCCTCAAGAACCTGCTTTGCATGAGCTTAATTATTTCGAAGATAATTTTGGTGAATGGTATCGAATTGAACAGTTGATTGTTAGTTCACCAGATGACCAACCGATTTTGAACTGGGATAATATTAAATGGTGGTTTGAGAAAGAACTCGAGCTACAGAAGCTTGATGGTGTATCGCTCACTGATCTTTGTTTCAAGCCTTTGGGAGAAACTTGTGCAGTTGAGTCCTTTACCCAATATTTCCAAGGTGACATCGGTAACCTTAACGAAAATAATTGGAGGCAGAAGTTGCAAGGTTGTACAGATTCACCTGTGAATTGTCTTCCCACTTTCCAGCAACCTTTAAAGAAAAACCTTCTTTTTGATAATGATGACATTTTTAATGCGAGGGCCTTTGTTGTTACTATTTTAATCAACAACGACCTGAAAGATTCGAACTACACTAGTATGGCTGTTGATTATGAACATGGGTTTCAAAAATGGGTTTCCAAAATAAGACAAGAGAGCAAATTGAGATTCAGCTTCAGTACAGAAGTCTCATTAACGGAGGAATTGAATAAATCAACAAATACAGATATCAAGGTAATAGTGATTTCATATTTATTGATGTTTCTATATGCTTCTTTGGCACTTGGACGTAAATTTCCGACTACTGTCAAAGCACTAACAGAAACCAAATTCCTGTTAGGATTAAGTGGTATTATTATTATCCTACTTTCTGTTACCTCTTCAGCGGGATTTTTCTCTTTCATTGGCTTGAAATCGACCTTGATTATTGCAGAGGTAATACCATTTTTGATTCTTGCAGTTGGGATAGACAACATCTTTTTAATAGTTAACGAATTACGTCTTGCTCAACAAATCTTCCCAGAAAATAATACTGAGCAAAACATCTCAATTGCTTTAGGGAACATTGGCCCTTCATGCTTTTTCAGTGCATTATTGCAAGTGTCTATGTTTCTATTAGCAACGAGAGTAGATATGCCGGCAGTTAAAAATTTTGCGTTCTATAGTGCTGGAGCTGTGACTATGAACTTCCTTTTGCAAATGACGAGTTTCATCTCCTTGTTGGCTCTTGATGAAAAGAGAAGGGAGTCAGGAAGATTAGATCTCTTTCCATGGGTCAAAGCAACAAACCATTTACATTTAGAAGATCACGATTTGAATACAACAGAACAGGATGAAGAAGACATTGATGACAGAGGAATCTCAAATTTTATCAGCAAGTACTATGCTCCATGGATACTATCTAAAGTAAACAGTAAAAAAATATTAGGAATTTTCATTCTATGGCTTGGAGTATCACTTAGTTTATTGCCCCATATCAAGCTAGGTCTAGACCAAAGAATTGCAATTCCTGATGATTCTTATTTGATAGATTACTTCAATGCAGTTTATCAATTTTTAAACGTTGGTCCACCTATTTTCTACGTCTTAAAGAACTTGGACATTACAGCAAGAGAGAACCAGCAGATGGTTTGCGGTAGATTTTCAAGTTGTGATCAATACTCTGTTGCTAATATATTGGTTCAAGAATACAATAGAGGCAACAAATCAACAATTGCTGATCCAGCGACTAATTGGTTGGATGATTTCTTGAATTGGCTCAATCCTGATTTGGACCAATGTTGTAGGTTTAAAAAGAGCTCGCCGTTTGATCAAAGAGAATTTTGCCCTAACACAGCACCTGAGAGGATGTGTCAGGCTTGTTACTTGGACCATAAACCTCCATATAGCTCAACTATGGAAGGATTACCAACTGGAAAAGAATTCATGTTTTATTTTGGCAACTGGATTGAACAACCGAGTGATCCATGTCCATTGGGAGGCAAAGCGCCCTATGGAAATAGCATCTCAGTCGTGGATAATAATATCGAAGCAAGTTACTTCAGGACTTCCCATTCGCCATTGAGATCCCAAGACGACTTCATAAATGCCTACAAAAATTCTCTCAGAATTGTTGAAGAAGTGAAAAAATATAACCCTGGCATAGACCTTTTTGCATTTTCTCCATTCTACATATTTTTCGTCCAATATCAAAACATAGTGTCCTTGACTTTCAGCTTATTAGCTGTCGCAGCACTAATCATATGGGCCATCAGTACCGTGGTTCTAGGGTCCTTTGCATCCGCAACCATCTTGGTCATCACGGTCGCATCCATCTTGATCAATATTGGCGGGGTCATGGCTCTTTGGTCTATATCGTTGAATGCAGTTTCTCTAGTGAACCTAATTATATGCGTTGGATTATCCGTGGAGTTCACTATCCATATTGCCCGTGCATACACTCTAAGTTTACCTGAATTGCTGTTCTCCAATGAAATCTTCTTTGGCTCTCAAGATACTCAAGTAATCAAAGCCTACAATGCATTAACTAACGTTGGAGGTACAGTTCTTCGTGGAATTACCCTCACGAAAGTTATCGGTGTCTCTGTCCTTGCATTTTCATCCTCCAAAATTTTTGAAGTCTTCTACTTCAGAATGTGGGCAGCTTTGGTACTGATAGCAGCCGTTCATGCTCTTTGTCTCTTACCCATATTGCTTAGTATGTTTGGAGGAACCTTCGTAACTCATCGCAATTCAAATGTTGTCAATCATATCGATGAGATAACTAACACATTTTAAGGTACGGGTTGCTTAGGGTTACCTAAAACGGTCTATTCGTGGTAATGATAAACGAGAGTGCAGCTTAGCTATTTTTGTCGTGGGTACCTTTTTTTGCGATGGGAGCCAGCCGTCTCTGACTTTTTACTCGAACGTGACCTCAAAAAGACGCTTAAGAACTATCACAATTTTAAAGTATATAATCTACAGTGTATAGATAATAACGGTTTCATCCATCTATTGAATAAGATAGGGAACTCAGTTATAGAAATCAAATGTCAGCAAGCTACGTTTTTAAATGGTAAGTTTAGAATGCTTTACAATGTGGCTGGCATAGCAAGACCCCATCCGTGGGCAAATGAACAGCAAGAATGGTGGAACAAGAAATACTAACTGAATATAGGCCAAAGGGCCCCAAGGAGGTCATTCTCACTGGTACATTTGACAATTGGTCGAAGTCATTGTATTTGGTAAAGCAAGCGGATGGGTCATTTGAATTGACTGTTCCGTTGCCGTCAGATTCTGACAAGATTTTGTACAAATACATCGTAGATGGAGATTGGTTGGTGTCACCAAATGATAAGATTTCCAAGGATTTAGAAGGAAATGAGAACAATTGTTTAGAAGCCAGTGATTTAGTGGCATTGAATGGCATTGGGGAAGCCAGCATACCAGAAAGTGGAGGCTTACCTGTGAAGACTTCCACAGCTCCAGGAAACAAAGATGTTAATACTACTGTCCTTCCCACCTCTGAGGGCCAGCAAACAACTCTTGTTGGGGAGCCTGGTATTCAAGTTCCCAAAGACCCGGCTGCAATTTCTGCATTTACTGAAGTCAGGGATGTGGACCCTAAAACGTTGAATGAGCCTCCATTGACTTCTGAAGAGAAGAAGAAGCAAAAGAAGAAGGTCAAAAGATCCCAATACAAGGCCAAAAAGAAGAAGAAGGCGGCAGAAGCAGTGGTAGGAACTTCTGGTACTGGTACTAGTGCTACTGAGACCAGTGACCATGATACTGAACCAGAGCGGGCTACACCAGAACCATCCTCGAAAGAAGGTGCATTTGTCCCTCTTTCTCTTGACCAGATAAAGTCAGATACAGAAAAAGATAAATTGGCTGACAAAAGGATTGATGATATTGCAGTTGCGCCAGGTAGGGAATCGGCATGGAGCAATAACGAAAGTCCTGAGGTATCAAAGGAACCAAAGCAATCTGATGATGAAGCAAAAGAAAAAGCCACGGAAGCATTTGTCGCTGCCGCAGGAGCTGCAGGAGTTGTTGGAGCCACAAGTGCTGTACTTGCTTCTGAAGCTGGTGCTCCCAAAGATATCCCTCAAGCTGGTTCAAATGCGGAACCAGAAACGGCTGGCAAAACTGGTGGTTCTTTGAACGATGGTTTGCCAATCGAACCTAATCCAACCCCAATATCTCCTAGTGTTGCTGCAGTGAAGTCTGAAAAGATTGACGATTTGTCTGGTGGAGACCTGAAAGATTTGACAGCTTCTAAATTGGAAGAACCAACAGTATCTGAGCCAAATGGCGACGCCAGTGCTGTAGTTGTTACCAGTGCCACCGAAACAGTGCCGAAGACCCTTGATCCGAATGCTCACGAAGCAGATGAAAAACCTGGTGTTTTATCTTCAGAGGAGCCCGTAACTCAGACTAATGTGACCGCTCTTGAATCCCAGGCCGAGGGCGAGAAGAAGCCAGACACAACTACTGGTTTGAGAGATGAAGTTACTCCAGAAAAGGAAGTTGATGCGGAACCTATTTCAAAGTCAGAAAAGTCTTTGGTTAATGACGATGAAGAAATTGTCATTGCTCAAGGTTCTCTGAGCCAAAAGGAACTTGCAGCTGCCATAGCGGCGCAAGAAGGTGATGTTACTGTTGAGGAAATCAAGCCGACAGTATCAGAAGCTGCCAGGTTAAAGGAAGAGGCTAAATTGCAAGGTAATCCCTCCAAAACCGCACCAGAGACCGAAACTTCACCCTCAAAGACACCTGCAAAGACTCTGGGTAAGGAAAAAGTACCAAAAAAAGAAGGGGAAAAGAAGAAGGGCGGCTTGTCCAAGTTTTTGAAAAAGATATTCAAGTAAAACTACAGCTTGGATTCTTTACAATTTTTTTTTTTTTTTGACACCTACTGTTTGATCGAGTGTTTATATCCAAGTTTGTTTATTACTATTTAATGTTGAATTCTCTCTTGTTAATCTTATTTTTTGTCCGTCTTTCTGTTTAGAAGAGCTCAAGGGTTGTATGTATAATTAAATCCAATATACGTCTGTAATAGTATTATTCTGTATCTGGTAAATCGACAGTGCCGATTATTGAGACTTCATTTGACAGTACTTGTGTCATACTAACTGCTATATTACAAATAAACCTTCATCAGGAAATCTAGTTCTTGCGCTAAACATTTCAACTTAGCGAGCTTCGAACTGTACCATTCTTCTCGTTCTTGCCTTATAAATTACTCTGTGACCACATTCTTTACATCTGATGGCGTCGCTCTTACCTAAGGAAAATGAGGTGGCACACTGAGCACAATTGTATTTAACACCAAGAGATTTGTTAGTCACTTGCCCGTGCGCTGCATGGGATATAGATGCTGGTGCTGTGAATCCTTCTCTTTGAGGTGATGACATATTAACTTTTAGATGCGATTACTCTTTTTATCTAGTTATCGTTAACTGTATAATATTTGAAAATTTTCAAACATTTAAAGTGATGATTTCTGGAGGTGACATCGGACACAAAAATGGAAAACTTTCAAAAAATCAGACAGACATAACTGAAAGAGTAGAAAAGCCCCATGATATAAGCTGATGAGCTCTATAAGGGATGCTATTACCAGGGTAGCACGGTCAGTTCGAAAAATGGAGCTGTCAAGGGCTGAAAAAGTTGTTGAACCGTTAGTGAGAAGTAACGCTCTTGGTGTACCCAAGATTATAGAAATGGAAGACAGGAGCTTCAGTAAAAATGAATTGAAAGAATTCAGACCATTGATCACAGATTACCAAAGAAAGAGATATAAAGATTTTCTACTGCCTTTAAAAATGCCAAATTTGAAAACTTTCAATCATTCTACGTCTCAGTTTGACGAACGGTTAGCTAAGTCGAATTGGGTAAAGAAGAGAAGTAAAGATCCATATAATGTGCTTGAAGCACTTAGGATGGATCGACAGTCCTTCGAGATAATGATCAACTATCTAGTCGAGATCACACCTGAACATTTAAAGCTCAAACTGTCCAATAATCAGAACATTTTGAATTCAATAATGGTGCAACAAGAAGAGCAAGATCAACAAAATAAATTCCCGATTACAAAGCATGTGTTTGATGAAATTCCTCCAATGCCACATCCACTAACAAAGGAGTCGTTCCAAAAATACATTTACCGGTTGACTCATCTGAAGTACTACTATCGAAATTCTCTGTCTTTAGAGAATGGAATCATCCCAGAAATCTTATTGCATACCCACAAGTTATCAAATGATGAATTTAAACCATACAGATCAGTCCACACTTACAACTATTTAATCAAGTTTTTTGGTTATGACAAAAACCAGAGTTCTTTCGCCCGAGAAATGCTATTAGTCATGAATAAGGATGGACATAAACCGAATACTGACACCATAAACAGTTTATTAAAATTGTGTCAGATCCACTCGCATATAAGAAGTACAACGAACACATATCAAATAATCATGAAGTACTTGAAATTGAGCCAGATCCTTAATATTGAAATCAACCTTACAACTTATAATAGAGTTTATGACTCTATCAGTAACATTTTTCTCAAAGAGATCTTTTTGAACAGAATTGCATCGATACCTTTACCTGTGCTGCGGAACTTGATACTCCGAATCATTGATGATTACCTGAAGACCACCACAGATACGAAACAACTCACTACTTTCATAGAAGACGATTTAGGTACAAATTGGCAAGAAGATGGCAAAATCTTCAACAAGTTGGTTTTGCATAAAGGTATCAACCTTTCTAGCAACCAACAGATTACAGAATTGGTACAATTTGCGCTTGACAACAATCCAGATCAGTATACCATCAAATACCTTATGGAAGGCGTTGTCAAGAATAGCCAATTGAAGGATAAAATGAATGCATTAATGATAATCTATGCCAAAACATCGCGTATGTTTGCATTTTCCGAGGTTCCTGTGGTTTACAGATACTTGATGTCCGCGATAATTAAATCAGACTACCCAATTAGTATTGTTATTTACTTGATACGTGGTCTAGTCTACGATTCAACAACCAAGTTAGGCTTGCCTGTTGAAATTATTCGCTACGGCAGCTACCAAACGCAGCCGGAGAATTACAGGATCGTCAAAAGGATCGTAGGTTTTGACTTATGTAGAATTGAAGCTCAGATGCAACCTTCTGAAGAATCTTCCGGATGCCGCAGCCGCTCTAGCCGCTCGAGCCGTCAGCCTTGGTCTGCTTCATCATCTTCATCATCATTAGATTTCGTATTATGGGCAGCTCCAGAGACTAAACAATGGACCAAATTGTTATCTGAACTTGCTGCAATAGATCCTCACCTGTCTAGTCTTGTTGAGGATATCCTCAAGTCTCTACAAATTAAGGGCCCGAACCCGGTTTCGCAGCCAGCTCAGAAACGATATCTTCAGCAACAAAAGGCTAATATTGCACACGCTAGAGCTAGAGACAGACTTAATCGCCTCGAAAAGGGATCCCAGCTCTATATCGAGCACCAGCTATCTAGTAGAAATCTCGTTGAACCATCCCGGTAATGATCGAGAGCAACTCTCGATATACCCATTTGAGTAATCCCTTTTCTATATCAAGGTATGCTGCATTATATACAGTGAATACAATAACACCGCACCAAGAATATGTAAAGCACTGATTGCTATGCATTTCTTTACCGTGACAGGACCAACCGATTGCCAATGTAGAGTCTACTACGTTACTACGTTAAGTAGATAATGTTGTTGAACCGGGTCTTACTACTGTTGGGAATAACAGTATTTCGAGACATGGTAACATGCAAGTTACGTCATGAGCTCATGGCAGACGGGGAAGAGTAAGGTGTAGAGTAGGCATTATGCTACGAGGAGTAAGGGGGTAGACGGGCTCACATTCTTGGACCAGGTAGATCTTCGAAAAAATCTTAGGGAGCCTTTAACGGAGCTCAATAAGGTTCCAATCGCAGATTAGTGTCTGGCTGTACGTACAATACGGCATCCGTATGTACCTCTCTGCCGTAACAGCCGTAGCGGGTCCCGAGTGTCTCACTTTTCGAGGATAATTAACAACAAGGCTGCGTGTGTCCGGTTTCAAATGCAGTAGGTAGCACTGTATCTGTGACTGTGCTATAAATGGAAGTAGAAAAAAAAAGGTCTTCACCTGCCAGATAGCGAACCCTTAAGTAGGGAGAGAAGATAGCAAAGTCGAAAAAAAAAGACTAGCAGAGCAGTCAAGGGAAGTAAAGTCAAATATTAGCACGTACAGCTATATAGGTAGAGGGTAGGCGACCTGTAAACCAATAAAAGTTATTTATTTAACCTACTGCATCGAAGTAATACCAATCGCTAAAAGTAAGGAGATCCAACAATAACATAAATTGTAAAGGAGAAAAATAGAAGGTAAGGTACTTACAAAGGAAGTAACAGAAGGTTCATTTGAATATTCTTTGACTATACTAGTGTGAACAAGAAGCATTACAACTATGAAGGCGGCAGTTCTCCTTTCCTTGGCGGTATGGGTTTTTGCACCAACAACCGAAGCTTTGAGCTTGGGGTTATGCTCTACGACCAACTTAGGGTCTGACATGTCGACTGATGAATTTATGTCCAACGGAAAGTGTCACGATACTTGCCAATCGAACGGAAATGCTGTGGGGATCGTACAAGGGACCTCTTGTTGGTGTTCTAACTATGTCCCTGAGGATACAGTTTCTTTGTCTAACTGTGACGATCCTTGTCCGGGTTTCCCATCAGAGGACTGTGCTAGTAATGGATACTATGGCTACATCGTCATATCAACCCCTAGTGGTACTCAGGGTTCTAAAAGTGCTTCGAGTACCCAAGATTCTGGCAACGCCAGTACTAGTGCTAAGGATTCTAGTGATAACAGTTCTACCGACCAAGATGATCTGAATCCATCTACTTCACTGAAAGACAGTTCGCCAGGTACCACGTTGGTGACTCAGACGACCCTTGTCACTCAGACCCAAGAAAGGAGCGAAACTACAGAAACAACAGTATATAATACTCAAGAAACAAGTATGATGGTCATTTCACTGAGCCAATCTTCTGCTTCACCCTCAACTTCGAGCTCCTCGAGCTCGACGCAATCAAGTTCCAGCTCCAAGACAAGCAAGAATGTTCATCCCACTACAATTTATTCTGTAAAAACTATAGAAAACTCCCAGTCAGAAATTGTTAGGACAAAGTACGTTACCAAGCTGACAGATGATAGTGACTCTGTATCTACACAATCAGCATCCTCAGACTCTTCTTCGAACTCAGCTTCACCTTCAGCAAGTTCATCAGGAGCGGATCCTACTTCTGCATTATCATCATTGCATCCCTCATCAAACCCATCTCTGTCGCAAGATAGCGGAGCATCTAGTAGCGGGTCATCAGATGCTCAAAATAAGAGTTTTTTCGATTCAAAGGGTAAGGTAGCGGGCACATTCACAGCTGTTGGCGTTGTAGTTGTTGGTATACTATCCGGAATATTATATTGCTGTTGTGCATCCCATGGCAAGCACGATGACTACAGCGATGAAGAAAACCAATACTCATCGGATGAAGTATCGACTACCGTAGAGAAAACAGTTGCTGACTCCAAGGGTGCTGAATCTTTAAAGAGAAACGATTCCTCGAAGTCGGTATTTGCGATGTTTTCCCCGAATCCTAACTCAGGCGTCGGCAGAAGTCAATCAAAAAAGAAACTCAATCCCAATAAACATTCCAGATCTGATTCCGGAAATTTAGCAAATATGGAACCAATGTTTCCTATAACGGAATTTGATTCCAGATTGGACCCTGATAGCATGTTTTTAAACACAAATGAGAGCCGGAAGTCTTTAGGTGATGATATAGATTATTCAAGGAAGTTGAAGATTATCAACCCTGAGTAGGGTCATTATTTATGAACGAATAAGACATTTCGAGACAGCTTTTTATTAGAGATATGAAAAACAAAAAAAAATAGGGCCAAGATATTAATTCAGGACTATATCATATTTGAAAAGAACAGTATTATAAGTAAAAAGTAAAAAGTGAAAAAAAAATTTAATCCAATGGGTATTGGGTCAGGGTGCTTAGAAACTTGGCATTTGCATATGTTCTAATCTAAAAGATTGGGCGTTTAATTCTTTAAATTAATTGTTGAATATAATAAACCTATGAATTGTACTATTTAAAATTATGAAGTGAACTAATCCTTATTTGGAACTGTAGATTTGTTCTTGTATGTAGGCTGTTTTTCATAAGCATTAGGACTTGGTGCTCTCTTTGGAACATCACTATTTTCCCTTTCGGGACCATGATCATGGTCATGGTTATGGCATGCATCACTGGAATCACTCAGATCACTGTCTGAATCACTATCCGAGCTGGAATCAGTACTCAGTTCGCCGAAATCCCTTTGAGGATGAAAAATACAGCAAATCTTAGTTTTCTTCTTATTCATGTTTTCATTATCCACTACATCTTCTTTCCATCTTACCTTCTGCTTTGACTTCTTCTTTTTCTTTTTATCCTTCTTTTCTGTCCCATTCAGTCTCAAGTGAAGAGTTGCTGGAGGAGCCGGACTCTCAACCTCAGTTTGAGAAGGCGTCCCTGCGTTGCGAGACTGCTCCATTAGATCTCTTTATAATCTATTCGGAAGGGATTCCAAGCACTCAATTTTTTGAATTTCTTGCTCAAATAGCTGGAATAGTTGCACTGTTGAATTCAGAGTTTATCCTGCAATGCTCTTTTTCTATAACAAAGTCTTTATTGCGTAACCTATGAGGATTCTATTAAAGTTGCCCTCTGGACCTCTGTATGTATTACTTACGTCCTTTTAACGTATAGTTCAAAACTTTCTTAAATTCAGAGCTTCAGCCAACTCTTTGTTGGTTCGTGCGTTTTTATATTACTTGATCTTTCTTAAACCTTATTTCCATGTATGAGTGCTCGTGTCTCTTATTCTCTTATTAAAGTATACCTTGATCTGAATTGTAATGGCGTGCATATAGTCTATACCTTGGTCACTGACAAAGACTGCCTCCGTGAATTATCGTCGTTTTAGTGTTTGCCTCCCGGTGGCCAAGCTGGCTAAGGCGCGAGACTGTAATGAGTTCTCCTCAAAGTGATCTTGAGATCGGGTGTTCGACTCACCCCCGGGAGATTTTCACCAAATATATTGCCTTTATGGCCAAGTTGGTAAGGCACCTCACTAGTAATGAGGAGATCGTCAGTTCGAATCTGGCTGAAGGCATAAATCGGTCATTTCTTTTTTCCAAATTGCTCAAGTTCAATTCTTGGCGCTAAGAAAAATGAAATAAGGCCATGCTTTATGAAATTAATACATTATAACGGACATCCCAGGTGACCTTGCGAGATTCGGCCAAGCTTGAAAAGAATTGGAAATTAAACTAACTGACATTAAGAGGCTTGGTTTTCAAGAAAAGAGTATAAAGTAATACCCCCAGATTTAAATACCCATTTGTATCGACTTAACAGTTACAATTTTGTTACTGTTAGAATTTTAACGAAGAAGAACTTATAATAAGAAGTTATATTTCGTTTTTAGCTGGACTTTCAATTTCATTCACGTATCGCAGCCCAAAGACGATAGAGAAATTGGCTTAGCAATATAAGCGGATAATCGGAGCATGTCTATTAATTACAATCTTCATCCTATGACATACTTTAATGTCAATGGAGCAGAGAGATTTGGTGACGAGTTAGATCTTGACGTGGATAATATATCTACGATTTCACCAACAAACACCGCAAGGTCAGATAATTCTCCACAGATATCATTTTCATCGCAGTCTTCTCCAAATTCGCCATTTAATGACATGAAGAGACCTAGTGACCCTGGCCCTCAGATTAAGGTAGAGGGATCTTCAGTTATAAAAGATTGTTCAAGTAGTGGGAATGGAAGCAGCGCTCAACCTAAGCCGGCAAGAAAGACTTACCACAAGGTTACGGCAGAAGATATGAAAGGACCTTTCATCTGTAAGTGGCATGATTGTGGGGAAGTTTTTGAGATGCCAGAGGTTTTATACGACCACTTATGTGACGAGCATGTAGGGAGGAAATCGGCTAACAATTTGTCTTTGACCTGTCACTGGAACGGTTGTGAGACTACAACTTCCAAAAGAGATCATATCACTTCTCACTTGAGAGTTCATGTTCCTTTAAAACCATATCACTGTGAAATATGCCCCAAGAGTTTCAAGAGACCACAAGATTTGAAAAAGCATTCCAAGGTTCATTCTGATGATCATCCAAAGAAATTAAAGAGATTTCAGAAGCAATTACAAAGGAATCAGGAAATAGAGTCGAAGTCTAAGTCTTTTCCTCAGGAAGATTTCATGGGCTTCGCCCAACCTCCTGATGATGCTGACTCAAGGAAAAGGAAGTTTGACACTAATTATCAACAAAATCATCATATCATCAATAACGTTTTGAGTGATTTCAACTTTCATTTACTTCCACAAGGTCATGAACAGCAAGACTCTGCTAATAAAAAGTTTAGAGTCGAGCCTAATTATAACCTCGATGTGTTCAACAGATTGAATACTTTGACGGACAGTAAATCGAGCTATCAATCTCAACAACAACCTCAAGCTCAATATCTGGTTCAACCTTCTCCCCTTCCCACACTGATCGGACCTAGCTTAAACAGCGGTAACATATATGAAGCCGAACGCTTTTTCAAGAACTTGTCACATTCCATTGACTCCCAGTATCAAAACCTTTCAAGGGTACCTCAACAATATTCACGTTCTGCCCAATACTACCCGCATTACCAGCAAGATTCAAGCTTCTTGAGTTCAGCAGCGCCTCAAACTTTGCCCAAGTCATCAAATACCCATGTTTCTTCAGATAGTCAACAGGTTCAAGGGTTTTATCCTACTCTCCCACAGTTGTCTAACGGGAAATTTTCAGGTGGTTCTTCATATATAAATGCCGATATGATGGTAAATAACAATAATGTTGGACATTACCCTAGCTATCCACAAACTGGAAGAAATACAAATGACTCTAATCAATATCCAATGTCTATGGAATTCGGAGGAGTTTCGCTTAATCAAAGATCTGGTCAAAAGTTGTCAAAGGATGATCATAAAGAGGATGATGATCCTGCTAGCGCGCTAGAGAAGTTATCCTTGAAGGAAGGTCAATTTAATATTGATGATGTTATAAGACATAAGGAAATCGTGAGAATGGTTTGTGAGTACTTAGCTTATTCGAAAAAAATAATTCAAGAGAAGCAAGACCACGAAAATAAGAAGGTTGAAGCGAGAGTTGAAACAGGTGGAAAGTTATACCCAACTATCACCGCTTTTTAATCTATTTTTCCATTTACTATATGTTATTTTTTTTTCTGGTCCTTGGGATTCATCTCATGGGCCTGAGCAGGGAAAAGCGGGAGATTGGCTACATCTCTCGAGAGATTTAATTCTTGCTAGCGTAACTTGGGATTCTATTTATGTACATGTTTAAATATGTGATTTAATTGAAGGTTTCTTTTAATATTCCGGATCCAAGGACTTGGGTACCCTTGTAAAGAACTACATTTTGGCCAGGAGCCATTGCTCTGGCCATTTCTTCAAGTTCGATGATTAAGTTAGTTCCGTTCATTTGAATTGACTTAACAGCATTGGGGGTTTGAAGAGATCGAAACTGAATGGTCAAGTTCGTTTCTTCTAAAGCTGGCTCATACTCATTTATTAGCCAAATCCAGTCTTCAATTACTAGACCTCTCTTGTACAATTTTTCATTATTATTACCTTTTACGATTACTAATTCATTTGACGGTATCCTCTTTTCGCTAATAAACCACGTTCCCATATAAAGTGGATCTCCCTGAGGCATACTGATTCCAGCTTTTTGTCCTATCGTCGCCTGCCATAATCCATCATGAGTACCCCAGACCCTACCGTCTTCAGTAATAATATTTCCTGGATTTGGCTCTATATAGTTATTCAAAAACTCTTTGAAATTGTTCTCGTCTTGAGATACAAAGCAGAGCCCTTGAGAGTCTGGCTTTTTGGCTGTGTATAGGTGAAGAGAGTCGGCAATTTCTCTTACTTCAGGTTTAGTTAAATGGCCAATAGGCATCAATAATTTAGGTAATACTTCTTTCGGAACACTGGACAAATAAAAGGACTGATCTTTCTGAGCATAAAAGCTTCTGAGTAGTTGAAAGTTTCCTGTTGGAACATGCTTCATTACTCTCGCATAATGACCAGTAGCTAACCACCAATTACTATTATTGTCAAATTTCTTAGTTAAATGCTCGATCATTTTTCCAAATTTAACATACCTATTGCAACCAACATCTGGATTAGGTGTCAAACCTTTCCGGTACAGCTGTATCATAGGCTGGAAGACATCACCCCAATACTCCTTTTCAAAATTAACTCTTTCACATGGAATCTTCAACTGCTTGCAGACTCTTTGAACATCATTCCAATCCTCTTCAGTACATCTAGCTGTCTGTGACCAGTTTGCCATATATATACCTCTCACTTTTGGAAACTTTGAAGCATAAATACTTGCAGTTACGGAGGAATCAACCCCAGAACTCATCGCTATTACTATCTCATCCTCTGGTTGTGGAATCAGGTTAATGTATTCGTCCGATATTTCATTATTTTGTACAAGGGAAGAAAGATTTGATATTCTCCGTCTCTGATAAGAACTAAATATTGATTTAAACCTTCCTAGTCTCGATAATATCATATAAAGATTAAGAAGAAAAAATTTTAAGGTTGACTTAAGTACTCTGAAAATTATTAAATCGGTAATTTTCTTGAATCCGATAGTCTTGTGATCCTCGATGCTCACTCTGACACAAATATTCGAACAAATGTTAGAGCTATAGCAAGCAGAGTGACTTGAAGCCAATTTGACCATTCTAAGCTAAAGAGTTGATCATCTATTAACTTGGGCCGAAAAAAAAAAGAAAAATAGTATATAGTCTTTGTTGAGCATTTCACCCACAGTCCTCTCTAGCCATCCAATCATGAATATATATTTCACTAAAACTAACTGGGAGAATCACTTTCATCGAATGAACTTAAAGACATTTAGACACATTAATTACTAACTTAAGATCTAACATTAATCTGGATCACTATGTGGGACTTCATGTAACTTGTGACTCTCCGTTTATTTATTTTGTCTTGGGTCCAATAACCATGACATAGCCAGAACCCATTGTCGCCATTCTGAATGTTTTGTTTAAAAAAGTCTCTCAAGAACTATTATAAAAAAGCGTCCATGTTGATTTTACAATGCAATGCAATGATTATGTAAAAGCTTTTTGTTAGAGGTTCTTGGAGCTGCGTTATCTCTCTCGTTTTGGAAATCTGAGCTTTGTCTGTCTTTCAACACAAATGGCCTCTAAGTTCATTTTTATTTTACAGAGCATCTAAGCTAAGGATGTATATTTTAAGGCTTAATGAGCTTCACTTTCAATATGGGCACAATAAAACTAATCTCATGTCTATATACTCTATTCTCCATTGTTATATGGTTGCGAAAAAGAACAAGATATGTAAACTGCAAAATTAGCAACATCGAGACAAGAACCTGCAAAAACTTCTCTAAAAATATTTTCACAGCATCCAAGTATTCAATGCTACTGATAAAGCCACAGCTGAAATCATGGGTAAAAAAGACAAAAAGTCAAAGGAAGCCAAGAAGTCCAGAGCAGCTGAAAAGCAGAAAAAAAATCAAACAAAGGCAGACAGCAAGAGCAAAAAGCTCGCAAAAAAATATGGAGATGATGAAGATGATCAAGACATAGATCAGATTCTAGAACAATATGCTAAGGAGCAAGAAGAATTTGAAGCCGTCAATATTGAAGTATGCGACAGACCAAGTAAGAGATTAAATCCAACACTAGTGGCGAACTCAGCTCAAGGTAAAAGAGAGTTGATTTTATTCGGAGGTGAAGTAAATGATGGATCCAAATCTCGATTCTTCAATGAGCTATACGTGTATTCTGTTGACAATGACATCTGGAGGGTGATAAAGTCACAAAATTCACCATTACCAAGATCTTCCCATGCAATGTGTGTTCATCCATCTGGTTTAATATTAATGTTTGGAGGAGAATTCTCGTCTCCCAAGCAATCGACTTTTTACCACTATGGTGATACATGGATATTGGATTCCGATACAAAAGAATGGGGAAAGTTAGATAAAAAGAAGAGCCCTAGTGCGAGGTCTGGGCATAGGTTAGCAGCATGGAAGAATTATATCATGTTATATGGCGGTTTCCGTGACTTGGGTGCCACATCTACATATTTGAATGATTTGTGGTTGTTCGATATAACCACGTATGAGTGGACCCAGGTAGAATTTCCTCCAAATCACCCCATTCCAGATCCTAGATCAGGTCATTCTTTCCTCCCCTGTAGTGACGGTGCTATTGTTTACGGTGGGTATTGCAAAGTAAAAGCAAAAAAGGGGTTGCAAAAAGGAAAAGTTCTATCTGATTGTTGGCTTTTAAAGATGAAATCTGACCCTAAAGCTATCAGATTTGAAAGAAGGCGTAAGCAGGGAGCTACACCTTCCGCGAGAGTGGGTTGTTCCTTGGTATTTCACAAAAATAGAGGTATCATGTTTGGCGGTGTCTTCGATTATGACGAAAGTGAAGAGCAATTGGACTCGGAATTTTACAATAATTTATTTTCTTATCAAATTGAAACAAATAGATGGCATAATTTGTCTCTTAGGCCTAGAAGAAAGAAGCAAAATCAAGTGGTTAAAGAGAAGAATAGAGACGAAGACCTCGAAGAGATTCTTAATTCTATATTAAAGAAAGCTAAACTTGAGGACAATGAAGAAGAGACTAATGATATATCCCACATTAAGAAATTGAAAGAGCAGGAAGAGCAAGATGAAAAAGAAAACGAAAATACTGTAGAGTACCCAGTCATGAACCAGCTTCCACAACCCAGATTTAATGCCTCCATTTGTGTTCTTGACGACACCTTGTACATTTTAGGAGGTATCTTCGAACGAGGTGATCAAGAATTTTGTTTGGATTCTATGTATTCAATTGATCTAGCTAAATTAGATGGCGTGAAGGTCTTCTGGGAGGATCTCAGTGATTTGGAGCAAGAGCAAGTGAACTCAGACGAAGACGACGATGAGGATGACGATGATGATGATGGATCTTTTGGTAGTGGTCGTGATACAGATCATGATGATGATGACGAGGATGAAGACGAGGAACCAGAGGAAGAAGAAGAGGAAGAAGGGGAAGAAGAAGAGGAGGAGTTCCCAGATCCCCGTCCATGGTTACCACAGCCTAAACCTTTTGAGAATTTGAGAGCATTTTATATCCGTACTGGTGCTCAGTTTTTAGAATGGGCAATTTCAAGTAACCGAGATGCAAGAGGCAAATACTTGAAAAAAGCAGCATTCGACCTTTGTGAAGATAGATTTTGGGAGAGAAGAGAGCATGTTAGTGTAGCTGAAGACAATTTAGAGCAAATGGGCGGTGTCGGTGAAGTCGTTGAGAAAGATACTTCTAAAACAAGCAAAAGAAGATAAGTCAAATCATTGTGATAATTTACATAAATAGACTATAATAGAATAGTAGATAGAAAATGTCATCATAGCATTATTTAGATAAAAATATCGTTCTAATGTTTCATGCAAAGTGTATACCAACTTGATGGAAGGCATAAAGTAGCTTTAAAAAGTCTGTTTGATCAAGTTTAGATGCTCTCTTGTCAGAATATTCGGTCTCAGTCAACACCTGTTCTATCTTCTGCTTGATAAGGTCCTTTAAATCCTTCTGGTCGACAAGCATCGAGTCATTACCGTCTTGAGCATTTTGAGCAGCTAATACACTCTTGTAATTTTTTTCCAAAATATCAATGACATTATTCGACTTAAAGCCAGCTGCAATCGTTTTATTCTTTCTCACAAAGCATATTCTTAGCAAGCCATCCCATTCATGAAAATCTAAGTTCGGCCTGGGATTCTTAACTTCGATTCTGACTACTGACGACTCGACCTGAGGAGGAGGACGAAAATTATTCTTGCTGACTTTCATTATATGCGTTACATTTGCCCACATTTGAACATTTGCCGATAATCTGCAATACAAAGCGTCCCCAGGTCTCGCCAACAATCTCAATGCAAACTCTCTTTGAAACATGAGTATCGAAACACGAGGTGGCCGTGGCTGATTCAATAACTTAAATACTAAAGGCGAAGAAATCTGATATGGAGTATTTGATATGCAGACATCAAAGTAAGGGAGTTCTGTCTTTATAAAATCGCCCAATAAAATATCTAGTTTTTTCTCTTGTGGAGTACCATGGACTCTTTTAGTAAGTTCTGCTGCCATTCTGGGATCCATCTCCACTGCAATAACCTTCCTTGCCTGCTCTAAGATCCTTACCGTCAAGTTTCCAGTACCAGGTCCAACCTCTAAAACAGTATCACTTGGCTTTATCTGAGCCTTATCTACGATTCCTTGTGCTACCAATGGATTCTTCAAAATATGCTGACCAAGATTCGTATTGAATTTAAATACAGTGTTCATATGCTTTTCAGCAGACACTGTTGCTCCTTTCGCCGCATCTGTACCAAATCTCTTCTTTGGAGCCTTCGCCATTTGTAAATCTTTATTTGAGAATCTCTCAAGCTCAACCACTATGTTAGCCTATCTAACCTCATCTCTGCTCTCGATCTTTTTTTTTTTTAAAAAAAAAAAGCCGCAATTTCCTGAAAGGCTCACCTGACGTAAGTATCAAAACATAAACAACACTAAACAAATCTAAAACTATTTCGAGCAGCAAAGTGATAAAAGAGAGCAGGGCAAATAAATTGCTTGAAGAAGCCCATTATAAGCACTAGATCACTTAGCTTGTATAAGATCAAAATCAACAAAGCAGTTTCTTCAAACTTTTCGTCTTCAAATTCCCAAATTAACCACAAACAAGATGCAAATATGACTTGTACTCAAAGAGACTTGCTGCTAAAAGATATACTAAACTCGATACTCAAGTTCCATTATTTTGATGAGATAGTAGAAATTTCAGAAAAGGATCTAATTTCGCATCATGATGCCCTTAAATTGAACAAAATAGTTGATTATTTGGTTGAGTATGTGAGAGGGTTGCTCGAGGTTTTTGATGATATCAAGACTCGTGATAAAGAAGAGGATTTAGAATGGTATTACCAAGGTAGAATAGAAGTGTATGAGATTGGACAAAACCTAGACAGTATAGATTCTATCTTATCTCAAATAGTGGGTGTGATTGACAAAAACATCAACCAGAGCCATGTCGACCAGATTTTGTCGAAATGTGAGGATATTAGTGATTTACTTCTTAATGCTAAAGCCTGTGCAATCATGTGTAAGAAGAAAGCTAATGCATCTGTCAATTTTAAGGAATTGAAAGAAAACACAATTCAATCCTTAGACAAAGAATTAGATGATTGTTTGAAAGAACTTGAAAGTCTCTATGAAAGAAAGCTTTCTAGTCCTAGAAAGTACCTTACAAAGTTTAATTTACAAGAAATAATGACGAAAATGAGAATAAATGATCTTTCGCTCGGAAATCAATTACTGTTAGAAACAATAAGGTTGCCAACGTTTAATGAATTTGATGAATCCCTTTATAATGATTATATGACTTTAAAAATGAGAATTGGCCCTCTCGAAATGTCCCTAGTGTATTTGCAGATGAGAATAGATGAATTTAAAGCTGCGTTTGGATTACAGTTCCTTGGAGCCACTGAAAATATATTAATCGGATACAACGAGGTTCTCAAGAAGTGGGACTTTTTTCTTTTGGAATTATCCAAGGTCAAAAAGGTGACATTAGACTGTAAGTGGGTCGAAATATTTTCTTATTTGATCGACGAAATAACAAGTAATTGTGACAGCTTATTAAAGCAATTAAAGACTGATCTGAATGTTACCGATGATATTGGTAGGGCCTACAAGCTTTGTTCTAATTCGATAACATTAATCACAAAGGCTTTTAATGAAAAAATTGTTTATGATAACGATTTGTTTGTTCGATTCAATGAGAGCTTGTTGCAAATTTGGAATGAATTAAATGATATTCTAACAAATTCAACTCAGGCTCCAGCTTCGATTGGTGGTGCTGCAACGTCGGTCTCAGTTGGTTTAAAATCATTCCAGATTGTTAAGAAGGTTAGTGACTTGGCAATCAAAGACTCTATGTCAAACGGATGCGGATTCGATCTACGACTTGGGGTAGAGACCACCAAAGTGCCCTTCAGTATTGAGAAGAGAAATAGAATTAGGGATGTATTCGATGAAGATCCAACTCTTAAGGGTAAATCACTTAAGAATGCATTCGCAAACTTCACACTTGGGAATGAAAGAGAAGATGATGAACTCACTTTAGTTAATAAAACTCCGAACCTCCAGCATGAATCTACAATAGATACGAGACTAAAAGATAAAATTTTCGATTCTAATGAGTTCTTGAACAGCCTTACCGAAAACAAATTAGGTATTCCTTCTGAGATTCCAATTATTGCGGCTGATTACTTCGATCGCAGATTACCAAGTATCAAGAAAATGGACAGTTCAAATCTATGTAAAATACCTACGATATGTCCAAGTCACCGCATCTTTCAATCACCTGTACGAATGTCTCGTGAACCTTTGGCAGTGACAAAGCAGTCAACTCAAAGGGCTTCGATTGGATTGACGTACTCGGAAACTGACATATTTCGCCGACCTTTATCTAGAAACACATCTCCGAATAGGTATCCTTCGAGGGATAGTTCGCGCTCAGGTTCATCATTAGGAGGGACTTTTACTCCTGACTTATCCTATAAACCAATACAGACTAAGCTGAGAACCCCATCATTTAATTCAACTTCTCCAGAGCGACCCCCTTCCTCAATCGGTTCAAGGTTCGACGAGGAACACTTAGTTCAACCCTTAAAGCCCATCAAACCTACCTGGAAGTGATAAATAAATTATTTATATTTACAAGCATCATTAACTATAATAACATAATAGCATATTTTAAATTCTCATTTATCGCCCTCTTTTTTGACCTCCTTCGACTCACTTGGCGCCATGGTTTTGCTAGTAAACCCGTCCAAAAAGAAGTCTCTTCCAAACAACTTGTACATTAAACTTTTCCGTTCCGTTTCCCACTTCTCAGTTTCACCAAACTTTCGTACCTCTTTACCTTCTAATATCTCTCCTTCTTGCACTTTTTTGGTTGATTTGCCTTCTAATCTTCTGTATAACTCATAAGAAGGCATCAATATAAGAGGAATAGACAAAAGAACCAAAAAAATCCCCCTATATCTAGTTTTAATTTCTTTCGGTGCCTTCTTCCAATCTGCTCTTCCAGTCTCAGCAAGCTCTTGTATAAATTCTGAATTCCTAGCTTTTCTTTCAGGTTGAGCTTTAGATTGCCACCCCACCGTCGCCTTTCCCTCCTTAGTGAATGGTGTATTTTGAAACTTATTCAGTTTGTTAGTCATTGCAGTTGAATCGATGCTTTATTAACTAGTCGAATCGGGTTAAAATTAAAATTCTACTTGTTTACATTTACAGATCACGCCAAAAACCAAAATCGAACACCTAACGCTAAACTTTCTTTATCCAATTAACGAATTTCTAGGGCAAGTTAAAGTAGGGATATGTCATTGAAACAGTTATTAGAAGAGCATTTAAAAGCACATCCTACGCCAGAAGCTAAGATTTCATACGGTACAGCGGGCTTTAGATCAAAAGCAACCAATTTAGATTATGTCAACTATACGGTTGGAATTTTAGCAGCCCTCAGATCGAAGCATTTTAAAGGAAAAACCATAGGATTAATGGTTACTGCATCTCACAATCCACCAGAGGATAATGGGGTGAAACTAGTGGATCCATATGGTAGTATGTTAGAATCTTCTTGGGAGCAACATGCTACAAATCTAGCTAATAGTAGCCACGATGAACTATTGAAGACTATTGAGGGAATTGTGCTGACATTCGGAATAGATATGGATCAAGAAGCAAATGTTGTGGTTGGAATGGATTCTAGAGACTCGAGTCCAGAATTGACACAGTCTTCCATTGATGGACTCAAGAGCATTCCGTTTACTAAATATACTAATTATGGCTTATTGACTACACCTCAGTTACACTATTTGACGAGAACGTCTAATGATCCATCCTTTGGTGAAGTATCTGAAGCAGGATATTATTCAAAAATTACCAAGGCATATCAGAATATTTATAAACTTGCAAACCTAGAAGGCAAGTCTGACGTTACAATTGACTCAGCCAATGGTGTGGGTGCCCCAAAGATTTCTATTCTATTGAATGATTATTTACTGAATGAATTATCGTTTACATCAGTGAATGAGGCCATCAGTTTGCCTGATCTCTTGAATTACGAATGTGGTGCTGATTTTGTAAAGACAAACCAAAGACTACCAAAGAATGTCGAAAACCCAAAAATCAACATCCTCTATGCTTCATTTGATGGTGATGCAGATAGGTTGATCTGCTATTATCAAAACGAACAAGATGAGTTCAAGCTTTTAGACGGTGATAAAATAGCCACTCTTATCGCAACTTTCTTTCAAAAAATTTTGAAAGATATCGATGAGTCGAAATTGTCTCTCAAGATAGGTCTAGTTCAGACAGCTTATGCTAATGGAGCTTCCACCAAATTCGTTGAAGATGTCCTTAAAATTCCTGTTAGCTGTACACCTACAGGAGTTAAACATTTACATCACGAAGCAGAGAAATTTGACATTGGTGTCTACTTCGAAGCAAATGGTCATGGAACTGTTATATTCTCTCCTGATGCTGAGGCCAGTATTTTCAATTTTGAGAGCTCAAATGAAAAAGAAGAGAAGGCAATTAGGATTTTGCAAGAGTTTTCAAAGCTAATTAATCAGACAGTGGGGGATGCTATCACTGACTTGTTAGCAGTTTTGATAATTATGAAGTTACTTGACCTAACCCCAGAGGACTGGGAAAAATCATACAAAGATTTACCTAATAAATTAATTAAAGTCATTGTTTCAGACAGATCTATTTTTAAAACTACAAATGCTGAGAGAACTTTGGTGGAACCTGAGGGTTTGCAAGAAAAGATTGATGAACTCGTCAAAAAGTATCCACATGGAAGGTCGTTTGTTAGGGCTTCTGGAACGGAAGATGCAGTAAGAGTCTATGCCGAAGCTGACACGAATGAACATGCAAATGAATTGGTTAATTCAGTAGCAAATTTAGTGAAATCATAAGTAATTTTCTCAAAAACCAAAATGAATGGAACTCTTTTATTATTCTTTATTATCTCAGTTACTGTTCATTTTCTTAAACTCACCAGGAGTCACCAAATTTTTACGTAAAGACCAGAGACCTCTTCGAAGAAACTTAGCTCTTTCTTCTAGCCTTCTGTACCAACCCTCATTGTCGCCGAACTCGGCATCCAACTTACCCTCGTATACTACTCCAAGACCCTTCTTTAGCATTTCAGCACTGACATCTCTCTTCCCATTCCACTTCCAAACTTGTGCCCGTGCAACCACACGTTTATACTGGTCAATTGAGTAAGGTGTAATAGTGACGCTTCTGCCTAAAAGATAATTCTTCAACCACGCCATTGCCTCTTCACTGAATGGCTGAGATGGCTTACCAAAATGTGCCCTTTCCGGAGCATCAACTCCACACAATCTGATCATCAATGTTTCATCTTTAAGATCCGATCTATTTGTTGGAACTTTCCTTATCCAACCCCACCCTAGAAGAACTCCTCCAGGTGTATGGTAAAACCTGAAATTATCTCCATCTCCTACCCTTGTAACTTTCCCGTAGAGCTTTCTTTGTCTATCCAAGATCTCGGGTGTAATATTAAGGTATGATGGTATTCTTTGGACATACCGTTTAAACAATCGATGAGATACAAATGCTACTGTCGTTAGACCAGCTGACATAAGTAAAACTTGAGGGTTCATCAATGATACATGGTCCTTTCTATAATCATCTTCCTCGGCCATATCCTTGAGCCTCTTAACGTGTAAATGTGAGTTTTACTCTAAGTGTCGTTTGAATCAAAATACTTTAGAAATGTTTTATGATGCTTTCCTATACAGGTAATTCTGTAATCTAACGAAATACCTTTATCCATATTAATATTTCTTAAGAAATATCAAGATATCAAAGCAATTGAAATGGTTCTCTCTGATGGAGAGTATGATATTGACTTGGGTGATGTATTTGGAAGACAAGAAAGCAGTTCGAGTCTAGCCATTCGCTATGATCTTGGGCCAAATTCATTAGATGAAGTGGCTAAATTAACCATGTATGAGAAGGAAAGAGATTGTATTTTGAAAGTGAGGTCTATAAATAGTATAGAGATGGATGAAATATATGAAAGTAGTTTTCATAAGTATAAATCACAAGTCAATGGAGTCAATGACCTGTTTTATTTAAATATGGTACCTGACAAGGATGGTATGCTTAAAATGAAGAGATTGAACAAGACTATGAAACTTGACAAAAAGCAGAATCATCTTAACGTAGAAAGAAAGCTTAAGTCGTGGCTAGAGCCCCACCAGAAGAATGAGGAGACAAAAGCTCCGCCAAAGGCATTAGATAAAACAACTGAACGGTCTACAGTAGGGCGATCAGGTCCGAGGAGGTTTGTCGCCTCGAAGCGACCACCTACTGTATCAGGGAATGAAGATAAAAGTACAAATCGGAGCACTGATATAAAGAGTCTGAGTGATCCAGAGACAGATAAGGCGCCAATAAAGGCACTCAAAGTTGCCGAAGAAAACAATGAACAGAATGAGAGTGGATCAGATGATTTCGATGATTTGGAGAATCAGCTTCAAGAAGTCTTGGCCAATAATGGCTCCAATGATATGGATGATGCTAGTGGAAGCAATAGGTTTCATTTCAAAGAAGCTATCAGGTTCAGTAATGAAGAGCCCCGAACAAAAACTCCGCTATTCAGTCCCAAACAAAACGGTAAACCCAAGAGTCTTTCAAGCTATTTAAATACCGGGGATGATAGCAGTAGTGAAGAAGAGTGATCATTTGGGTACAATTTTTTCGTGCAATTAGGGGACTGGGAAATAATTCATTAAATAGTCATGATTGTAATGACGTAGACATAATATATACAAGGTTAATCGGTTTATCATTTTCATCTGTTTCTTTAGACTCTATCTGCTTTACTATATCCTGCCCTTCGACTACCTTTCCAAAGACGGAGTGTTTGTTGTCTAGCCACTCTGCTGCTTGAGTAGTGATAAAAAACTGTGAACCATTAGTATTAGGGCCCGCATTAGCCATACTTACCATATAGGGTTCTGAATGAGAAAGAAGAGGATTGAACTCATCTTCAAAATTACCGCCCCACATGGACTCTCCCCCTGTACCAGTACCTGAGGGATCGCCTGACTGGACCATAAAATCTTTGATCACTCTGTGGAAAATGACGTTATTGTAATACCTCGATTCACATAGCTTGATGAAATTCTCTACTGTTTTGGGAGCTAGTTTAGAGAATAATTTAATTTTGATATCACCAACAGATGTATGTAATATGGCCCTAGTGATATCCTTTGGGGACTCGCTTTCAGACACCAATCTGGAACTATTTTCTTTTTGGCTCACATCAACTGTAGAATCTCCAAATACGAAAAAACTCTTTGAACTGACGGGACTTGCAATAAGAAGGGAGCCTTTATTCAAATTGGAGTTAATTAGTGGATTCTCAGCAGAAATTGTTTTTGATGTCAACGTTGTAAAAGCATTGTTTTCAAAGAAGGCTACTTGATTTAATCTTATATTCAACTCTTTTTGATCTTCTGATCCATAAACTTTCAATACTTGACCTGAGTCCATATCCAACACTTTAATTCCTAAGATTGATCCAAAGATAAGCAATCCCTTTGTGAATATAATATTTCGGGCTTTCATGAAGTTACCATTTTTATTGCTGTAGAGAGCTCTCTCTCTGCTGAGTTGTTTGTAATCGACAAGTTCCTCATATGAAGACAAGGATTCTTCAAACTTGTGAAGCAACTTGCCAGACCTTACATTAAATATCCTTATTAAATTATCTGGAAGAGAAATCGTCGCAAAGCTTTCATTGTCATCATTCAAGCATATACATGACGGTTGCGATTTGCACCTAACGAAGTCATATAAATCAGTACCTGATTTGTAAATGAAGTCTACGTTAGAAGGTATCTCAAAAGACTCCGGCGACCAATACTCTACTATTCCTCTAGTGTCAGCAGATATGAAGCACTCATATTTTGAATTGAATACCACGCTACTGATAGGGTTCTTATGAATGGACTGTATAAGCTCAAGTTCATCCAGCTCAAAATTGGCAAAATATAACTTATTACAATGCGCTTCGCCAACCAAGAAGAGATCTTTGCCTCCACTTTTGAAAAAACAATTGCTGTAGCATGTCTCAGTATTAGGGTAGAATTTCAAATCGAACACCTGAATCATGTCCAAAGAAGAAAGACTGAATATTTTGATCGTATGATCATCCTGGGCGACACTAGCCATCGTATTACCATCTAAATCTATTATGAGTTGGACTATTTGCTTCCCTGGATGTGCTGTAAACAGCTTCACGAGCTGCATTACCTCATCTTTATCCTTTTCGTTAGCACTTCTAGGTACATGAACTTGTTTAGACCAAAACTTCACAGTTCCATCGTTACTTCCTGTAGCCAAAATAGAACCATCTCTTGAGTTCGCCAAGCACGTTATCGTTGCATCATTTTCATAGACTCTATTATACGATTCACCTTGTGGAAGTCCCTTGAGACTATCTTTCGTTTCTAGTTTGCGTTTTTTCTTAATTCTCTCTATTTGAGGCTCCTGGGCTTCGCTCCTCGAGAATGACTTAACCTCCACAAAGTCTCTATCACCACCGTCATTATCTTCTCCTTTTATATCAGTATTATCTGACTTATTCCTTTTTGAGGTCATGATACTGAGAGATCTAAGTTAATCTATATTTCCATACTAAAAGTGTGCATTTCGCGTATCCATGATATTACGATTATATAGTAAGAACACTCACAAGTCTCTTTAATTATGGATGAATTAGCGTATGAGGCTCTATCAGAGAGATTGAATTTCTTAGAGGTTCAATTGTCATCATCAGATTTCAAAGAGAATGATACAATTTTGAAACAAATTACAACGTTAAAGCATCAATTGGGGAACTATTGTAATGAACACAATGAATTTGAAACATTGAATCGAATTATGAAAGATCTTGATTTATGGGAGAGAAAGGATGAGATCCCTGATAGCGCTGGTCCGCTAGAAGAAAGCCCCGTGGATGATGATGTGACGACTCTCGAAATGAAGGAGCAAATTCTTCTATCCAAATATCCCATTATAAGGCAAGCAATGAATGATTTGACTGAATTATCAAATATGGATGTCCAGAGTATAGTTAATTATACTAGTTCGGCTCAAGATACTACTCATGATTTTGTCGAGGATAGACAAAGCATCATGCTTAAAGCTCCTGAGCTTGAACAATTGACCGATCAGTTCCATCTATTAGTGGTGAAAAATTTACTCGTATTGGAGAAATATGCTAGTCTAGCATTTAGAGAAAACCAGTTTTGGACGTCTGTTAATGACAGAATGAAGACATTGAATCAAAGAATTAATCGATTGGAACAAAATAGTTTATTAAGTAATAAATACTAAGTATTAAGTTTTTAAAGTCTTTGAAAATATAATTAGGTGAAATTTAGCGGAGTTCCTGCTACGAAATAATAAAGGGTCCTGAAGAATACAGAATTAAAACAAGTGAATCAGATATCAATATATCCCCATCGAATATGAGCAATACGAAATAGCTTTTAAGGAAAAAAAAAACGTTCCATGACCTAATCAAACGATGGCCAAAAACATACTAACCAATGTTGATAAGAGAGAAACAAATGGCATTTGAATAATCATTCCGGCATTTTCTGATTGCTCTGCCACAGAAGGACTGCTTGAAGGTACTTCTACTGCGGGACTTGTTCCTACTACCGATGTTGATTCGACGGCACTTCCAGCTGGTGGAGAGCTGGCTACTTCCTCAGCCACAGACTTTGGAGTAGTCTCTGGAACTGTAGGTGAAGTCTTTGGCGCTTCAGGTGTACCTTCGGAGGTTTCCGGCACAACTGGGGCTTGAGATGAAGTCTTTGGCGCAATAGTTGACGTGATAAACTCAGTGCTATTTCCTGATGGCACTTCAGTAGTTATACTTTCACTCGCAGTTTCTGAGGGAGTGATTGTGATTGGGATTGTTGAGCAGGTGTGGTTAACACAGGTAGTGATTGTAATAACAGGACAAGACAGAGTCTCTGAAGTAACGTGAGTGGTGGAAGAGTTTGTTACTGGAACTGAAGGAGAAACAGATGAGGCACTTTCAGAAGATTCACATGGTGTGGTAGACTCGACTTCTGAGGTAGATTCAACAGAGGTCTTAGACTCATAAGTAGTCGACTCAGAGGGAATCACTGATTCAGATGAAGTCTCGCATTCTGATGTGGTTGTGTACTCAGATGAAGTCTCGTGCTCAGACGAAGTCTTGTGCTCGGACGAAGTCTTGTGCTTCAGCTTCTTATGTTCCGACGTGGTCTCAAATCCAGAGCTAGTCTCATGTGCTGATGAGGTGGAATGTTCCGTAGGTTTCGATTTTGTAGTTTCGTGGCTCTTGCTCTTCTCCTCCCATTTATCGTATCCTCTTTTCAAGGCTGATAATTCTTGATCTGCTTCTCCAATCTCAGAAGATCTAACGACGAAATTTGAGTCAATGTCTCTTGTTGGCTCCTTGAAAGGAGAGGAAGTCGCAAATGCGACCATCAGGGTCGAAATAGTAAGTACTTTTAATAACAACATTATGTCTTATAAATGGCTGCGAAAGAGTAATTTTCTTTTTTTTTTCTTCACTATGTTAAAAATTAAATCAACTGGATGAGATGTTATGCTATTTAAATATATACACAAAGAAAGTTAAACTTATGTTGAAAGGGTCAAGAATAGACAAAATTCAACAGCCCCGTAACATTGTTATAGATTTAAGGTAGTTTCATTGCAAGATCATGCACTTTTAAGCTTCCAATATCCGCACTTCTTTCCCTCTTAGCAGTCGCACCGCTCGCGTTTCTCTTGTAAGCGACCCAAAAATTACTAGTTAGAACATATTCCTGCAACCGATGCTCAATTTGGTTGCCAGTGCACTTCAAAACTAAGATAACTTCCTCGTTGCACTTCTTCAACGAGCCAAAGAAAAAAAATAATATTGGCCACGGAGACTCTTCTTACCTATCTTGATAAATAGCAAGCTACAGTATTGCAGGAATAACGAACGATTGCATGAGCTACAGTAATATACAATGAAAATTGCTCATGAACGAGCACTCTTATTAAACGGATATGGTCTTCCATACATTCAAACCGTCCCCACCTGTCGAAACCAAACAGCCAGGAATTTGTTTGTGCCATCTAACATCTTTGACATCCTTCTGCCAATGAACAAATAGCAATTGTGGTGGTATATCATGGAGTTCCTTTAATTCTTTTCTCTGGTTTGTGATTTCTTCGTCGTCTGCTTCTACTGCTAAATCCCATAACGTGACAGTATTGTCTTCGGATGAAACAGCAATGATTGATTCATCTAGCGGATTGAATGAGATTGAGGTAATAGGAGCTTTGTGGAACTCGTAGTGTGCAACGGGAGAAGGTGTTTCTGACGTAAAGTTCCGCAAATCCCAAACACCCCATGTACCATCATCGTGGCCCGAGGCCAACAAGTGGTTGATTTTATTAGACCAGGATATTACATTCACATCTGTCTTGCTTGCTGCAACTGAAATGGCGGGTTTATGCTTCTTAGACCTTGTGTCCCAAATTCTGACATATCCATCACAGCCTGCACTTGCAAATACAGTGCTTTCACCGGTAGACCATTGAATATCTTCAATTGAAGATTGTGATGCAAAAAATGGAGTTTTGTCAGTAACCCAGCTTGAAGTTGTCCTTTTGGTCAAGTATATCCTTCCCGAGCAATCACCAGATAACAATGTTCCAGTGTTTATCAACGGCGACCAATCTAATCCATAACCTTCGACATTTCCATGGGCCTTTATTGTATGAAGTGGCCTCTTAGAGGATTTTGGAATCAGAGATCCTGGAGAATCGAAAGCCTTCATTTGTGGTGCCAAATCAAAAATGTAAACCTCTCCACTTTCAGACATAGTTGAAGTTAAATATTCTCCGGTATCCAAAGCATGTGGAGATACTCTAAGTCTATTAGTAGTATATCTGAGTGGAATAGTCTCACTATCCATTATAGGATCACAATCTTCGTCATCCTCTTCATTCTCGTCATCCTCGTCATCACTTTCATCCTTCACTAAAGTTTTGGCCAATGATGAAAGCTTCATAGCTATCAATTCATTATCCTTCCCTCGAGATGCTTGAGTGGCTGTAGCAGCGTAAAGAGAAGCTGGATAGGTCCTTCTTTCATTTCCCAAAGTGTCTGGCAAAATATCAAGCGTCAAACATGGCCAGGGCAAGTTTACATTATGAAGCATCTCATAGACACTGGGATCTGCTTCCAAGACCTCATCAGGACCCAATGGCTTTGATTTATGAGGCAAATATATCGTTGGTTCTTCCTCGGACTTTTCCTCCTCCTTATCTCTTCGTTCAATCTCTACAGCATCTAGGTCTTCATCTTCATTAGCAGAGTCAATTTCCACAATCTCCCCTTCACTTTCGAATTCATCACCATAAGGATCTTCATAGTCTCCCATCTCGATGTCATTCTCTTTACCGGCTGAGGCGCATGGAGGTAAGGAGTTTTCATCGACCTTGATCGCACCATTACCAGACTGTTGAGTCAAGTCATCCGAAGCTGCTCTCTTAGACATAATGGACCTTTAGCTACTAAACTTTTGCCCTTTAATTAAGGAAATCTTGATGCTAATAATAAAGAAGAGTTTTTCAAAATTTTTTTTTTAGATTCTTAAAGACTTTCACGTGAGGAGCTCATCGCTAAATATCAACATCACCAAGCAAACCATAAAGTATCAATTGCAGTTAGAGCATTGGGAAAGAAATGGAAAGAAAGGCATTCCTTGACCAGGAGGCTCCAGCTGGATACGTTGCAGGTATAGGGAGGGGTGCCACAGGATTTACTACAAGCGCAGATACTACCGCAATTACATCGGCTCCGTTAGTACCACCGAAAGAAGACGATAATAACGAAGACGAAGACGAAGATGATATTCTCGATAACAACGTTGATTTGAAAGATGAGACGGGTTTACTTGCTGTGAGAAGGAATGATAAAGAAGACGAAGAGGCAGACAAAATATACGACGAGATAGATCGACGAATGCAAACAAGGAATAAACGGCGAGTGGAACCATCAGATGAAGCTGAAGATAGAGAAATTAAAGAACAGTTTTCTGATCTTAAGATGGGCTTGTCAAATGTTACAGCTGATGAGTGGGAAAATTTGCCGGAACCCGGAGATTTGACAAGGAAGAACAAAAGAACTCGATTGTTAGAGCAGCAAAATAAACGGTTTTATGCTGTCCCTGATGCAATAATAGCTGGATCTGGATCCATGGGCTCATTGAAGGAAGGCTCGACGAACTTTGAAACTATTTCAGCTGCCAGAGATAAGCTTTTAAGCCTGCAACTTGATAGTTTAGTACGACAAGATTCCTCTACGGTAGAAGATCAATATGATCCTGTGTTAGAACAGGAAACAGACTTGGATGATCAGATAGCAGACATTGAAAGAAGTAGATTGATCTTAACTTCATTGAGACGTACGGAGCCCAACAAAGCAAATTCATGGATCGCATCCGCTAGACTAGAAGAGCGGGCCAAAAATTTCACTTTAGCAAAGAAATTGATTGTAAATGGATGTCACAAGGTCCCTAATAGCGAGGATATTTGGCTTGAAAGTATCAGAATACATCAAAAGTCATCCGAGTCAACCAAATTGTGTAAACGCATTGTCCAGGATGCCTTGAAAGTTAATGCGAAATCAGAAAAGCTATGGCTAAAAGCATTTGAACTAGAACATGAGTCCGACGTTGTTTCACGGCGTCGTATTTTGATGAGAGCACTAGAATATATTCCTTCAAGTGCCGAGCTCTGGAGGGACTTAATTGGGCTTGAAGAAGATACCGAAAACATTAAGAAGTTATTGAATAAAGCTGTTGAATTGTGTCCTAAATATTGGGACTTGTGGCAGTCTCTTATAAACCTTTCAGGATATGAGGACGCGAAGTCTGTTCTAAATCGTGCTAGAAGGGCCTTGAACAATTACTATAAGGTATGGGTCACCGCTACGAAGCTTGAGGAACGTGAAAATCCGTCAGTTTCTCCTGGTAAGTTGACTAAATTAATGGAAAAAGCATTCAAATCTATTTATGAGAACAAAACAGATGGAGAAACCTTAAGCGCAAGACGCTGGCTCGAAGAAGCTGCAGAAGCTGAGAATGAAGGATTTACAATTACATGTCAAGCAATTGTATTCAATGCTTTGAAAGGATTTGATATAGAAAATGACTTCGATAACGCTACAAGAAATTTGTTGACTGAAGCCAAGTTTTTCACTGAGAAATCAAATTTTGAAACGTCCAATTTCATCTATCAGTGGATCATAGAAACGTATCCAAATAATATTAACAGCTGGACTGAGCTATTCAGCTCATTGAAGCGTTCAGGTAACGATCTCAAGCGTCTTTATGACTACTATGAAAAGGCAATAGAACTTAATCCTGAAATAGAACTTTTAAGACTCATGTACGCAAAAGACAAATGGGTATTGGGTAATGACGTAGAAAAAGCCAGAGAGATACTAGAAGAAGGCACTAAGAGCCTACCACAGAGTGAAGAAATTTGGCTTGCTAGAGTGAAATTAGAAATTAAAAATGACAATTTTAAAGCTGCTCAAAGAATTTCTTCGGAAGTATTAGAAGCAATTCCTGGATCATCACCAAGAGTTTGGTTTAAACATATACACTTGTTGAGGTTTCTTGAGCATAATAGTCACCTGCCGTCTTATGAAGAAGACATCCTCAGTGCTACTAATGAAGCTCTTGACAGATTTCCTTCCTCCGAGAAGCTTTACTTACAAAAGGGTCAAATTCTATTGCATGACCTAGCTAAACCTGATCGTGCTAGAGATACTTTCTCTTCAGGAGTTAAAGAATGCCCAAGCTGCATCGAATTATGGATATATTTGTCTAAAGTCGATGAAGTGTATTTAAATAGTTTGATAAGAGCCAGGTCTGTCTTTGATAATGCAATTTTGAAGAATCCTTCAAGCGACGTGCTTTGGAGAGAAAAGCTGGATCTTGAGAGAAGATGCCATAATTTAATCGCAGCAAGGCAGATAAATAATAAAGCATTAAAGGAACACCCAAGTTCTTCGGTGCTATGGGTTCAACATTTGTCATTAATTTCAAAGACATCAGAGAAAAAAACGGCTTTGCTCGATTCTTTGAAAAGTACTAATAACTCAGCAAAGGTATTGCTACACGTTGGTGTTATATTCTGGCATGACAATAAATACAGTAAAGCTCGATCTTGGTTTGAAAGAGCATTGAGTAGCGACAAAACAAATGGAGATGCTTGGGCGTGGCTCTATCTCTTTCTTAAGAATAATGGAACGGAGACGGAAATGACCGACTTAATCAAGGATTTTTCTTCTAATTCGGATGGCATTCGCAAAGGTGATCGCTGGAATGCTACGAATAAAGACCCTTCTAATTTAAACAAAAGTCCGAGAGAGATTTTAGATCTAGTATCTCAGACGTTAATACGTAAGCATTAGCTTTGTATATTTTCTACTTTATTTCCCAAGTACATACTTTTCATATATCTTCAAGTTCAAAGCGCTTAATAGGCAAGGTATCTGTCCTTTTTCGTTAACCCAATTGTCAACTAGATCCTCACATAAGCTTTTAAATTCGTAGTTGCCATACGCCTTTAAGGTCTTTGACTCAAGGTCTATTATTAAGTGTGCGTTGCCAACTGTTTCCTTATTATTAATATACTTAGATACAAGTTTAAGCCTAGATGCTAAATCGTTCGGATTGATTGGGCTTGGTAGAAACTCAATCGTATAGCCGAAGTATTTAGAGATTATTGACAAAATGTCCTTACTCTTCTTTGCATATATCTCTCGTAATCTATTATTACGCTTGTTGAGCTGATCTATTTTCTTCTGTTGTAATTCTTTGTCGTTTTCTTCTCGCTCAAAAACTGATTTTGGAATCAACTCCTCGATAGTGTCCTTCTTAACGTACTTTTTTATCAAATCTTCGTTTTCTTTCCTTAATGCATCTAACGTCTGCTGCTTAACAGCTTGATCTCTTGAAGCTGGATTTGATTTCAATTGTAAGATTTGCAACTGACTTCTTTTCAGCTTAAGCGTTTCTAAATTTTTTATCTTATCGTTTAATTCGCTCACTCTTCTTTCGAGATCCATTGTATTTGATCTAAGCTTTATATTTTCGTTCTCCAAATTATGAAGCTGTGTATTAATCGTAATAGTGATTGAGTCATCTCGATCGATTTTCTTTCTTTTTTGTCCAATTGGCGAGGCTCCTTTTTCTTTAAGTTCTTCTGATAGCTGTTTCTGTAGCTTACCGATTTCATTCTTATAGTCGTCGACCAATTTCTCAAGATTTGTCAAATACTGATGTGTTTCATTACCATCAGTTGGGTTCAGCTCTTTTTTATTTTTCAAATGAGCTTTGTCCAATTCTTTGAGCAGATCTCTCAAATACTCGATTTCTTTCGAGTTTAATAATTTTTGTCTCTCTAATTTATCGATTAGTTGATCCTTAGATTTTACTAATTCATACATAGACTTCAACTTTGGTTCAAGATCATTTTCAATTGTATCCTGTTGTTTTAAATTATCAGCTCTCATTGAGTTCATTTCTGCTTGAGCCTGAGAATACCTGTCACGAATAATAAGTTTCTCATCTTGTAGTTGTTTAAATACATTCAAGAATTTATAGATTTTAACTTCTATCGATTCTTTCTCATTGCTCTTTATAGAAGTATCCATAATTCTTAAAAAGTCTTGAAGTTTGGATTTCAACTCCAAATTCTCAATTTCCATTTGATAATATCTTTCCTCTAAGTTCTCCAAGTGAGTTACTCGCGACACCAATGATAGATTCTTTTGCCTGAGCAATTCAACAGAAGTTTTGTTCTGTAAAAGTTGATCGACTTTTAATTGAAGCTGATTATTTGTCTTTTGCAAGCTTAAATTTTTACTCTGTAAGGATCCAAGCAACTGGGTTTGAGGATTCGATGTTAATTGCAGCGATAAGCCACTTAACTTATGCGAGAGATCATCATTATAGCCTTGTAATCTGGCCATTTCATTCTTGAGACTCCTTATTTGCTCCTCTAATTCGTCATTGATCTTTAATTGAAAATTAAAATCTGACCTGACTTGCTCGTAGCGCTTTAGCGTGCTGTTCTGTTTAGACTCAGCATTTCTGCTCCACTCCTGAAGCTCGTGGTTCTCCTTGGTCAAGTTATGGACTTCTTGACGAAGAGATTCTAGCTTTGAATTTGATATCTGTGTCTGGTTCTCTAGCTTAGAATCTAATTCTTTCTTCTGTTCATACATGAAATCGAAATTTCCTTGCAACTTCTTCAACTCCTCATTCTTCTTTATCAATAGATCCTCATAACTTAATGTTGCTGACTCTTTTTCCAGTTGCAAAAGCTTCTTCTCTGTTTGTAATGTTGACAATTGAAATTGTAAGTTTGATATCGTTTGCTTCACATTCAAGGTAGAGTCTTCATTTAAAAACAGTCTAGGATCTTCCAAGAAGGATGAAGACGCCGTACTTGACATATGATGTTCTAGAACTCTTCTGTTTTATTATTCTCCTATTAAAGTCTTTATTGGCTCTATATCTAATTGTCGTGTGTATATATCACTTTAATGACAAGCTCGGCACCAAAAATCTAAACTTTACCGAATAGAATAAAGTAGCAATACTAAGCATCATACAAGCTTAAAAATGTCGAAAGTGTACGTTTTAAATACATCTGGCCATAAATGAGGTGATAGATTATTAACATCATGTTTTAGTCCTAGAAATTTTAAGTTATTGGAAGAGTTAGAGAAGGGAGAGAAAGGTTTAGGAGCAGAATCTATTTCATATGGGTTGAGCAGCCAGGATGATATTACCATGACTTATTGGAACGGAACGATCTTAGGACCACCACATTCAGTTCACGAAAATAGGATCTATTCATTAACTATAATTTGTGGTGAAAACTATCCGGATCAACCACCAAAGGTAAAATTTATTTCCAAGATCAATTTGCCATGTGTGGATTCAAGTGGAAATGTCATGCCAGACAAGTTTGATGCATTAAAAAACTGGAAGAGAACATATACGATGGAAACCGTGCTTTTGGAATTAAGAAAGACTATGGCATCTCTGGCAAACAAGAAATTACCACAACCTAGCGAAGGTTCCACTTACGAATGATGATACTATTTATACCGATTACTTATTGAAAGGGCTTACAGAATGGCCGTAGTCTGCTAGATATGCCTAGAAACTAATTTTTTTTTTATCATTTATGTTCATTTATGTTCATTTATGTTCATTTATGTTCATTTATAATGATCTTTCAGCTGGGATCGCTTAGCATCGTCATTTCATCTTACATCCCAACTCACATCCCAACTTGATGTTTAATTTTAAGGTTCACTGTAATGTCTACATAACGACAGTTGTATATATCTCCTTAGATCTATATAATAAACCACTATCCCTTGACATTTATCTTATATACTCATGATTTTATTTGGTGCCCCTATACGAAACTCAAGCTATTCATACTTAAGCGTCTTTCATATCTGACTCTAATAATTTCTTCAATTCCTCGTCAGCACTCAAAAAGTCCCGGACCTCCCTTCCATATTTTCTTCCGTCACTCATAATCCTATTGGTATCCGCATCAGTTATTTCGATGTTGATCCATTTCTCTGTCTTTGCTTTTTTGCCTTCTTCCTGAACTATCAGCTGTACAAGACAACGCTGGAAAAGTCTTTTAAATGGCAAACATATTATCTCAGGTGGTATTTCTCTATTTTCAGGATGTACTTTAAATGTACATTCATGCTGTGTTAAAGACATAAGATGGCACTTGTAATTCGAAGGATCCCTTAGTTGTGAGTCATATTGCAATTGGATATCACTCAAGTTAAATACTGGCGCTGGAGGTGCCATTATTCAACCTCATTACTTGATAATAAGGTTTGATTCGTTAATTTTTTATTTTTACGTGCATACATTATTATTTCTTTCAAGCGAAACACTGACAGAACAAAGCTGTCAAAGACTATTGAAACTGTGGAAACTGTGGAAAATGAGGCTTGAAATTATGACTTTAACTATAAACTTTATAGACAAGAGGCGTAAAAGAGTTCAACACTTTACGTCAATACCTTTCCTCTTTTCTGATTCTCTCAATTCAAACATCACTTGAGAACCCACGAATAAAGCTCCGGAAGAAACTATAAAAAATGCTATTCCAGATAGTGTATTAAACATAATGTTCAACAATGCTAACGTACCGTCCTTACCTAAACAAAACCCAAATAAATTTGCAATCATCATCATCCAGATATTAATAACTGCTCCAACTCCACATAGATACCTGAACCAGGGTTCATTCTGATACCTTCTACAATAAGCAGTGGCTAAAATCTCAGGAAGTAGGAACACCACAACCAACCAACCCCACATAAGTAATTTTAGCTCTATGTCATGCCAAATCGCAACAAAGCTGAAGACTAGTAAAGAATTGACAATTCTGTATTTCCCTCCGCCTCCAAGTGGTATATATATGTAACGTATCACCCATCTGTTAAAAGATCTATGCCACGCTCTCCAAAATGCCAAAGCTGAATAGTTATTATCCATACATCTAATCATGTTTTCAGGAGGATCTATTCCATCTAACAAGCTCCAAAATCTGAACAACCTCCATGGGATTAACAATTTGAGCCATATGATATTGAGATTAAAAAGACCGAGCATTGATAACTGAAATGGCGTATCCCCTGTCCAAGCTTTGGTCTTTGAAACTGCAACAACATACATAAAATGTAACAAAAACTCCATTACTAGGACACAAAATGCTAATCTAACAAGGTACACAAAGGTCCTCTTGTAATTCTTGACCGAGTTTAGTTGATGATAATTCGATTGATAGATGTAGTCATTGAATGTCAAAATAGGACCGGCGATGAATAAAGGAGTGTACGTGATATAGGCGATATAGTTCACAATATTGTAATCCTGTATTGGGATGGGTGCAGTTAATCTTTCTCTGTCATTGAAATCCGTATTTTCTAAAGAAATTGATTTAGCTTCCCCGTCTTTGCTATTTAAAGCTTTATCAAGTTCTTTCTTCTTCTCAAGATAATCCAAATTGAAAGATAACATTCTGAGTAAAGTAAAGTTAAAAAATACATCCCATCTTGCGATGATGCCCTTGAATCCATGATCAATTATACCAATACCAAATGGCACTGCTCTATAACGATCATTGAGAAATAATGACAGGATTCCGTATATCCATGTGAGCCAAATTGCAACCTTCCAAGAGGGCACAAATTGACCAATTGCATAATTTATTGAAAGATGAATCAAAATCCGAAACATATTAGTTCCGTGTGCAGCAAATAAGAATAAAATCCCAAAACCAAAGTCAAAATATGTTCTTTTCTTCAATTTCAAAACTGAATTGACCGCCCTACGAAGAATTACATGTAACACAATAAGGCCACAGAGCATAGGCAAATTATCTCTGAAAAACCTATATTGCTGGTCCGAATTGTCAACTTTTCTACCAAACATCCATCCTTGACTCAAAAGATGTTGGAAACGAGGGTAATTAGGGTTAGTCTCATTGGACGCGTCCATAGCTGTCTTATACATCAATGGAACGACGACTGCAAATACAGTCAAGTAGAATTTGAACTCGAGTGTTCCCCATTTTGACTTGCGATCTGCCTTGCTGATAATCGCTTGTCTTTTTGACACATCACTTGGAGGAAAGAGTCTCACATCGAGCGTTTCTAAGGAGAAAAAAGCAAGGAATTCGTCCAAAACTCCCATCTCAATTCTGGCAATATTTCCACTACTTTATGCTGAACGTGATTAATTGCCAATTGTTAGAAAAGAAAGAACCTTTGGATATTTATAAATATTGGGGACCTTAAATGTGCCAACCGTTTCTTGTATGCAGTATACAATATATATCGAACTGTCCAATTTTCACTCTCTCTAGTAATTGATATCAGTGATATTATATCGATAATACTCTACAAAGAAGTAGCATTTCTACCGTGATGAGTAAAGAAGAAAACTCTAACGGAAAAGATGGTTTCCAAGGCGATAGGAGACCGAATCCTAAAGGATGGACTCCTCCCAAAGCTCCATATAATCCATATGATCCAACTGACGCAAGACCCCCAGAGGGATATCCATCTGAGTTTAAAATACCCGGAAGTCAACCAGAAGGCTTTTCTTCTATACCCAAGAATCCAACGCAATATAAGAGAGTTAATGAGACCATGAGAAGGTTGAACTATACCCCTCGACCCATGTCTGAGCTCTATCCTGGACAATATAAAGTACTACGCAAGGTAGATACGAACCAACGACTTAACACAGGAACTAGGTGGTTTGGAATGTTTTTAGGTGGCTCGATAGTTTTTTACTGTGTGTTTTTTTATCGCTGGAATGATGGTTACGAAACAGTCTTGTCGGACTTCTACAGGACCCGTTTAAGATTGAAGGAAAAGATTATGCCTTTGACAGAAGAAGAATATAACGACTTGCACCATCCGAAGGGCGTCAATGTGGTGATAAAAAACGTCAGGGATTCAGAGTATATTCCTGAGACTCTTAGAAGAACCACTGAGGGTGAATATGCACTCAACAGGCCGTCTGAGAGGCATATGCTCGAAGCCCAAAGAATCCAACAAGCACAAGAAGAACAGATATTGCGAGAAATGGACCAGCACAGGAAATATGCAAAGGATTTGATGAATGAAGTAGGTAACGACAGTGCTCCCACAACTGCTGAGAACCAAAAAAGGAAGAAGTGGTTTGGAATATTTTAATAGGAGAAGGCTCACTCATTTAATTTCCATTAATTATATAACCTAACTGATCTTTTGTACATATGCATTAGCAACTTGATTTATATAGACATCAATTCAGAAATCATATACTAAATTTTTGCTTAGTGAGAGTCTATCTGTCTTTGTGGCTGGCAGAATACTGATTCCGACTTTATACAAATATGATTATACGACAGGTTCGTTTTCTATCTTAAGACCTTGTATGGGTATGATTGAAACATTAAAATGCTTGACTCTACTACTTTTGAAGGTGTGGGTGTCGTTGATATTCAGAAGTCTTCTGAATGCTAAGAGTTTTATTTCTTCAAAGAATGAAAGTACGGTTCCAAAAGATGAAGATATATTGCGAAAGAACCAAATTATAAACGCAAAAGACATAATAGACATAGCAGAAGCTAATGGGTACATTATTAGAGAGCATGTTATTACAACTAAAGATGGATATTTACTAGTGGTTCATAAGCTAGAAAAATCTGTGACTGAGAGCAAGGTCAGTGAAGATATAGTCTATTTTCATCATGGCCTACTTACAAACTCTGAGTTGTTTCTTTTAGGGGACAAACATGAGAAGAACCTACCTTTTCTTCTATTAGAGAGGGGTTACGAGATATGGCTAGGAAATAATAGAGGAAATAAATATTCAAGAAAGCATTTGAACACATCTGTGTCTGATGATAAATTTTGGGACTTCTCATTAGATGAATTTGCATTTTACGATATTCCTGATACTGTCAACTATATCCTATCCAATTATTCTCCTGGAGCCAAGTTAACTTATATCGGGTTCTCCCAGGGATGTTCTCAATTATTTGCAAGTTTAAGTTTGAACGCTAGTTTGAACACTAAAGTCAATTTATTCGTAGGTTTATCTCCTGCCGTCGTTCCACGAGACTTGAATCATCCTGTGTTCAAAGTGCTAGTTAAGGAAACTGCAAGAAACACCAACTTTTTGTTTAGTATATTTGGCAAGAGGGCTTTACTCCCATCTGTATCATTTTGGTCCTACATCATGGGACCTCAACTCTATGAAAAGGTAGTAGATACTTCCTTGTCTTTTCTTTTTGGCTGGACTGGAAAGAATATATCAGCTTCTCAAAAGAGCGTTGGCTATCCTCATATGTTTTCGAATTCGTCGGTCAAATCGTTGATGCATTGGTTTCAAATAATTCATGCAAAGAGATTCCAGATGTTTGACGAAACTTCAAGTTGTGGAAATTCAAACTTGTCAACTTTTTCAGAATGTCTGAAAAGTAAAGCTCATAAGGTTGCTCCATTCCCAATTTCACATCATTTAAACGTCCCGATGATTTTGTTTTACGGCGATTCTGATATTCTAGTGGATATTGAAACTACAAAGCTGCTTTTATTAAATCAAAATCATAGAATGAAAGACATGCTTCTTGAAGTGGTAGAATGTAAAGGATACGAACACATGGATACCCTTTGGGCAGACGATGTTTATGAAAAAGTATTTGAGAAGGTAGTTGATACTCTAGAGAAATCCAGACAAGGTATGCCAAGTGCTTTATCATCTGCCCTGACCTTAAAAGAGCTCTATTTTGAGAAAAAAGTTACCTAGAGAAAGTAAGTAAACGTCATTTTAAATAGATACTATATATATCTTAAGCATATAATCTTCGCTACATTTCTGGTGTATTTTACATCTCTGAGCGTCCCTGTAAAGTCCCTTGAAGTTACCCGCGAACCTCATCTCTCTCGCTATAAAAGAGCGAGGAGCCTGAAAATTTTTATATCTTAATAGTTCTTTAACGCAAAATAACAGCCACTTGCAACGCTAAAGCATTCCTTTGAGGTTGAACCCTTATGGAGTTCTGACCCATGACTATTGGGATATTGTTGTCAATCTTCGGATTGTTTGAGTGGACTGGAGAAAAATTGGGTTGATCTTGGGTGCAGCATTCCATCTGTTGAATAACTTGTCTTATTTCTAAGGGATTACCTTCGTGTACCCGTATGGGGAATGGTGCAATGATCAGCTCTACATTTTACTAAAATCTAGTGTAGATGAGTTGGGGAATATTACGTTAACATGGCTCATCGAAACAAATTAGTATTTAAAGAGATAGCCTTCGTATGAAAACTGCAAAGTTCCATCGCAAGTAGATAAGCAGCGTATCTTTTGTTTCTAAGTTTTTACTTTTTACCCATTGAGGGCAGTGTTAGGCTCCAATGGCGCTATCTCATCTCTAAGCATATTTTTACCTTCTCTTAACGTCTTCTTTAACTGAATTAATAGGGCGTGCATATTGTCCCTTACGTAAGTAAATATTGATTATCAGTAGGCATTCGATACTTCTTATAGTTGACAAGGTAAAGGCTCGAAAACATGGAATGAAGGTTGAAGGCTTCATATTTATTTTGATTTTCCTATTCAGCGTACATATTGTACCAGTAAAGTCACTCGATGAAGTGTTTTCACTTGAGATTAATGATGTAAACAAGACCTGCTCCAATGTCAACCAGATACCAAGAACTGATCAATGTCAATACGTTCTGCAATATTGTACATCGCCAGAGGATGTTTTGGGTAAAATTAACTATATGTCTATATATTATTGTGGGTTTTGGCCATTTTCGGTTTTTGAATTGGCGCTTTTCTTGGGATTTTTCTTCTTATCATTGGGCCTTACTGCTTCGGATTACCTTTGTCCAAATCTTTATACCATATCAAAGTTTTTACAGTTATCAGATAATTTGGCCGGTTTAACGCTCCTAGCATTTGGAAACGGTGCTCCTGATGTGTTGAGTACATATAGGGCCATGAGTTTTAATGCCAGTAACTTAGCCATCTCAGAGCTTCTAGGTGCTTCTTTATTCATCACAACTATAATAATTGGATCAATTGCAATACTTCATCCTATTAAAGTTCCAATGAAACCATTTATGCGTGATTCTGGATTTTTTTTGTCTGTGACTTTGATACTTTGTATATCGTTAGTTGCTCAATCTTTAGGTGTTTTTACTTATATTCTTTTAACAGTTTCCTATGCTACGTATGTGGTGGTTGTCATTTTTTCACATTCGTTTTTAAGAATAAGAGCAAGAAAAGTGTTACGAGACCAAAGGTTGAGAACAAACTACGACCTAGTTGAGAATAATAATCAAGATGAGGATATTGATGAGGTGTATATGGACAACTTCGCTAGTTTACCAACCATAGACCAAATTAGATTCAATATAAACGGTGATAATATCCATACAAATCAAATACTAGACCCTGAAGATGAGATACCAGCAGAGGAACTGTATGATCTTTTGAGAGCTCAAACGTCGCGGTTCCCCAGCAATGCTTATGGCCTCAAAGAGTTATTTAAAGAGCTTAAAAAGCACTCCAATACCCATGGTGCGATTCGTTTGGAGAACCAGCGCCCTTTGACTGCTCCTGTGGTATCTCAGAGTATTCAATTATACCAAGATCCATCCACAAAATCACAAACCTTCCCATCAAATTCAGGTCCTTATAGAGATGAACTGGAAGAAGAAAATGAAGAGCTTTCCTATGAAGAAAGCAGTAGTCACGCAAATAACATTGTAAACGACAGCGAAGAAGATCAAGAACTTTCTTATGACATGGGTCAGAGGATGCTCGTCGACGTTCTTGACCTTGGAGACTCGTTTTACATTAAACTTTTGGTACCATACTTAATCAACTTCACAGAAAATGATTTGTTCAACAAGTGTTATCTTGTATTTTCAACGCCTGCATTGATCTTGTTACGCTTGACTACGCCAGTTCGTGATTATACAATCATAGAACGTTTTCAAAGAAGGCAGAAGCAATTAAATGGCTCTCCATTTAATGCTGGCACCATAGCCGACGAAACCTCTCGTGAGGATGACGCAGATGTATTTGATTTCAAGTTTGACAGGATATTGGTATCAGTTCAAACCGCTGGCGCTCTTAATTTTATAGGGTATAACCTATTTATCGACACTAGTCATTACTGGATTCTATCATTTCCCATTGGGATAATTATATCATTGATTGTGTCTTATGGGGTCTTTATCGGCTACAACTTTGACCCATTTAGCAACGAGAAAATTTTGAGAATAAAAAGCATTAACTATTTCCTTGCATTATTAGGTTTTATCAGTTCAATTTCATGGATATCAGTGCTTGCCACAGAAATCATTAGCGTGTTGAAGTCTATCTCTATAATTTTCAACCTAAGTGACGAAATATTGGGAATTACAGTTTTTGCATTAGGGAATTCAGTGGGAGACTTGATGTCAAACTTGACAATTGCAAGAATGGGAATGCCATTAATGGCTCTTGGTGCTTGCTTTGGAGGACCTCTCTTAGCCCTCTGTTCAATTGGATTCAATGGCTTGTTATTGTTAACAAGGCAGGAGAAATTCTATATCGATGTCGAGTTGTCAAAGACACTATCGATTACAGGTTCAGCCCTAATTTTCAATCTATTAATTCTAGTAATAATTGTCCCAAGGAATGGTTGGGTCTTAGATAGAAATATTGGCATTATACTAGTTTGCAATTGGTTTTTTGCAACTACAATTTGCATTATTCTCGAATTATACTTTTAAAAATCAATTCATTCATTATTATTTGCTAAATACCAGTTAATCATGAAATAAAAAAAACCATAATCAAATAGAATTTAAATTTACTTAATCAACTTCTTCGACAGTAGGACCTGCATCACCACCTGGAGCACCGCCGCCTGGAGCACCACCTGGAGCACCACCTGGGAATCCACCAGCACCTGGAGGAGGAGCACCAGCACCACCAGCACCATATGCACCTGAAATTATTGGATTTGCAACTGACTCTAACTCCTTATGTTTGTCATTGTACTCGTCAGTAGTTGCGGCTTGTGATTCATCTAACCAAGATATGGTCTCTTCGATAGCCTTAGACAATTTTTCTTTGTCTTCTTCATTGATCTTATCTTTCATTTCACCGTCATTGATGGTATTTTTCAATGAATAAGCGTAAGATTCCAAAGTGTTCTTAGCTTGAATTCTAGCAGCTTCCTTCTCATCTTCGTCCTTGTATTTTTCAGCCTCACTGACCATTCTTTCAATTTCTTCTTTAGATAATCTACCTTTATCGTTTGTAATTGTAATCTTTTGAGTCTTACCAGTTCCCTTTTCAAGAGCCGATACATTCAAGATACCATTAGCATCAACATCGAAAGTAACTTCAATCTGCGGAACACCTCTTGGAGCAGGTGGGATACCAGATAATTCGAACTTACCCAACAAATTGTTGTCCTTTGTTCTAGCTCTTTCACCTTCGAAGACTTGAATCAAAACACCTGGCTGGTTATCAGCATAAGTGGAAAATGTTTCTGACTTCTTCGTGGGAATGGTTGCATTTCTTGGAATCAACTTGGTCATGACACCACCTGCCGTTTCAATACCTAACGACAATGGAGCAACATCTAACAATAATAAGTCTTGTGTCTTTGATGAGGTATCACCAGATAAGATGGCTGCTTGCACTGCGGCACCATAAGCAACAGCTTCATCAGGGTTGATAGACTTGTTTGGTTCCTTACCATTAAAGAAATCTGAAACCAATTTTTGGATCTTTGGAATTCTAGTAGATCCACCTACCAAGACTATTTCATTAACTTGTGACTTGTCGATCTTGGAATCTTTCAAAACCTTCTCAACAGGGTCCATAGTTGATCTGAATAAGTCAGCACATAACTCCTCGAATCTGGCTCTTGTAATTGAAGTGTAGAAATCAATACCTTCGAACAAAGAGTCAATTTCAACAGAAGTCTGAGCAGATGAAGATAAAGATCTCTTAGCTCTTTCACAAGCAGTTCTCAATCTTCTCAAAGCTCTTTGGTTACCTGATAAGTCCTTCTTGTTCTTTCTCTTGAACTCGGTGATGAAGTGATTCACTAATCTACTATCGAAATCTTCACCACCCAAGTGAGTGTCACCAGCGGTAGCTTTGACTTCGAAAATACCTTCATCAATGGCAAGTAAAGACACATCGAAGGTACCACCACCTAAATCAAAAATCAACACATTTTGTTCACCAGTCAGTTGACTCTTTTTGTCTAAACCGTAAGCAATTGCAGCTGCCGTTGGCTCGTTAATTATTCTCATGACATTCAAACCAGCGATCAAACCAGCATCTTTAGTAGCTTGTCTTTGAGAATCGTTAAAATAAGCGGGAACAGTGACAACAGCATCCTTAACAGTTCCACCCAAGAAACCCTCTGCTGTCTCTCTCATTTTAAGCAAAACCATAGAAGAAATTTCCTCAGGAGTAAACACTTTAGTCTCACCCTTGAATTCAACCTGGATATTTGGCTTACCTCCCTTATCGACTATCTTGAATGGGTAGTGAGTTATATCATGCTGCACTTCAGCATCACTAAACTTTCTACCAATCAATCTCTTAGCATCGAACACTGTGTTAGTTGGGTTCATTGCTGCTTGATTCTTAGCAGCATCACCAATCAATCTTTCTGTATCAGTGAATGCAACATAAGAAGGCGTTGTTCTATTACCTTGATCATTAGCAATAATTTCAACCCTATCGTTTTGGAAATGTGCAACACATGAGTATGTTGTACCTAAATCAATACCAACTGCCTTTGACATATTCGAAATTTGTATATTCAAATGCTTATATTATGTATACTATTCAAAAGAACGAAATGTTTAGTTCCTTTGTAACCATTCTTATATATTAGATATATAGTTGCTAGAACTTTCTCTTACTAGTGGGGTTCGCAACACTAGAACATTCGAGAATTTCTCAGAATAGCTACCCGTTTACTCCGTTTATCTTAATTGCTACCAGAATATGCAGACCAAGGACAGCTTTAAGGATAGATGCGGAAAGTTACTCTTTGTAGTCTACCCCTTCAGTAGTCCCTGGCACGTTTCTGTCAAATCTAACCTTTTTCCTTGGACCACCTTTGGGGTTAAAAGGATTCCGATAGTTTAGGCTGCGAAAACAGCTCCGACCCCGGCAATACCCTTGACAAGTTAAGGATCAGTTTAATTAGTTTCATACGCTACAGTCGCAATCAGGTTGTTCGCTGAGTCCATTAAAAAACACATTAGAGGTTACGCTATAATGAGATGGCGGTAGTCCAATTTGCAGGAGATCACGAACTTGTTCACGACGTAGCCATAGAGGGTACTCAATTGCCGAAGGTGGATGAAAGACAATGCATCCGATAATGTCCTTTGCTACATCAGCTCAATTGAACCATTCCTTCCGTGAAAACTTCGGGTCTCACTGACGGCTTTCTCACTGGGGAGGCAGTCACGGTAGTCGCGGATTCAAATTTACCGGTAACCACAACGGATATACTATAAGATCATTGATGTAGAGAAGTAGATTTACGGATACCTACGGAAGGGTACGATATGATCATCTGCTAACGGAATGGTTTTCAATTACATCCTTCTTTTTATTATTTAGAGAGCACAAATAACTGGATTCTTTAAAATTCTCTATAAACTTAAAGTTTCATTGGAGAACCCATTTTTAAACTAAGTGCGATTCATAAGTATTCCATAGATTACGACTAGCAAAAATGGGTCCAAAAGCCCTTTTTATTTAAACTAGGACGCGATGAAACTGTGCTTTATCCTACTACTAAAATATTTTTATCCCTAAAAGGTCGTCCTGCATAATATCAAGGTACAATAAAAGTCAGGATTCATCATGCAGTGCACAAAATATACCTGATTAGATATTAACAACTGCCCTATACACATTCTGAACCTTCGAACCCATGTTGCATTGTAATTAATAGCCCATCAGTAACTTGAAGGTTATATATTACTGATGTTAATTTCAATATCACTAAGTTTCTCATTTCGACCTTTATCATGAGTAGAATTATCCTCATCTACAATTGATTGAGATTGACCACGTATAAACTGCTTCATGCACAGAATTATCTCAAATCGGCCTTGCCAAAGTGGCATAATGACGAGATAAGAAGCGGCGATCAATAGCCATGCCATCATGAATGCAATCCACAGAGTAAAGAATCTTTTCGAGAAAGCACTTTTTGCAGCATAGAAAGATAATGGTAAAACAACGGCAACTCCAATCAAAAAGAACGCATTGAGTAATATACTTGCATAAGACCTGTTCCTCAAAGATTTCCTTTGCTTTTCGTCTATGTGCATAGCTTCGATTTCTCTTTCCAAAGCATCATCACCAGCCTCAAAAGAGTTCATGAATATGTCAAAATTAAAATCTGCAGGTTTTAAAGCTGATATAATTATAAAATAAATGAGGGATGAAAAAATTGATGCTATATTCCCCACGAATGTAGCCTCAGGTATCATAAGTGTGTCTTTGTTTACAAGCCCACCACTCCAATGGTAAGTGCCACCAATCCAACATACGATACCGCTTATAGTACCCAAAATGCATCCACCAACTATCGCTATGGTGGAAAATTTTTTCCAATATAAAGATAGCACCAAGGCACTGACTTCTGGTCCAAGGATGATACCGTAAAAGGAAATAATCCAACCAGTGCTAACTCCTACATAATTAAAGACAACAGCTAAACCGGACGACAAAAGAGTGAAAAACACCACGCTCCAATGTGCAACCTTGACAATTTGCTCACCAGTTGACTTGGAATTAATGTAATTCTTATAAATATCGTAGCTGAAAATCGATGAGAAAGCAATTAGCTCTGCAGAAGTAGCCGACGTAACGGACATGAAAATCATGACAAGGCCCGCCGCAGCTCCACTCTTTCCAAAAATTGTGTTCAAAGCATAGATAAGGGGCATTCCTGCATTGGTTTCAAAGCTACTAAGCTCATTAGGATAGGTAACAAAATTGGGATTTGTGAGTAAGGCACGAGATGCTAGACCGATGGATGAGCCTAGAGCCCATGGTACGATAAACCAGCATATGCCTCCCATTATATAGCCTGCGAACACCGCTGTGGTATCACTAGCAATTGCTCTCTGTGAGTATCCGGGATCTCCAAAGACAGTACTCAAACCACCTAATCCTACAGACCAACAGGTAAAAAAGAGACTTTTACTTCTGAAACTAAGAAAGCTTGTGCCCTCCGTAGAGGGGAATCGCTGTTGTACTTCGCTCAAGAGGTCCCACATTTTCCCAGGTGATCCAATATACTCTGAAGTACAATATACTTTAAAGCATGAAACCAAAATGATACCAAAAATTATAACGGTGTGAATCCAATCAGATATAAAAGTTGCTTTCAACCCACCAACAAGGGTATAAACACAAACTCCAAGTGTAATAAAAGTGAAGCTGCAACTACATGCATTCCAGTAGCGGCTGAAAAAGCTTGACTACCACCAAGTAAAAGCAACGATGAAACCAAAATGTTAGTACTAATGCAGTAGCACAAATAACAAATATGTCCCCATTTACCGAAACGAACATACAAGAGCTGTGCAACCGTGTGACACCCTGGTGCATTTCGCTTAATTTCGATGGCAAGGAGCACGAAAAGAAACACTTGAAATGTACCTATACAGGCGTACATGAAGGGACCTCCAATACCAAATTCGTAAGCCCATGCTCCAGAAGTCAAAATAGTAGCGGGCCATGTCCAAGCTGAAACTGTCGATGAAGCAATGAGACCTGATTTCACTGAACGCGATGCTGTGGAAAAATGTTCAGAGTTCTGAACTTCTCCAGCATATCTTTTCAAACCCCACGAAAGGGAAATCATGATGATAGCAAATGCGGAACCGAGGCCAAGAGCAAATCCGTACCCGTATCCTTGAGATAAGACTTCTTTCATTTTGTTGTGAATATGTGGTCAAAAATCAAAGGATTTGAAAAAACATTTTGTCAAGTTTATATCTTCCATCCAGCATCAATAACTAGAATTGTCAACAATCGACCTTATCGCTAACTATAATCTTTCGCTAATAGATATTTATCTCGCATTTCCTCTTCAAGAAAACACGCAATACGATTTGAAGTATATGTACCTCATGACGCAGCCGTGTCTCGCACTTCCTCTTTCGGACGTTACTTATCTATTCTTTTGGCACGTGAGAATATTTCAAAGCCCAGTGAATTAGAGTTCGTCATCTACTCCTTCAATCTCTTCACTTAGCTAAAATCGACATTAAGATAACTTATTTTGAGTTTAGATAGTTATTTAGGATCCTCATGTTGCTTACTGAAGATAGCTTGAATCATCAGCATGTGATACGATTCAAAGGTGCATATACATTTTCAAAGAATGTCAAGACTAGAAAACTTTCAAGAAGGGGATGTTACAATTGCAAAAAAAAGAAGATCAAGTGTGATGAGAGAAAGCCCTACTGTACCTATTGCACAAAGAGAAGTATTTCATGTACATGGCCACATAGTAAAGCTGTTACTAGGAGTCAAGCAGGTATAGTCACTAGCACATCGAGTGACCCAAATGGTAGTGAAAAGTCTTCCGAAAATAATGATAGTTCGAATTTTGTCATAAGCAAGCACTTTGACTCTGTTAGTAATGCCTATGAGGGCCTTATGAGAACTAATCTCGTACAGTGTTATTCCATGATTGAGCAAACAGTTAACGAGACCATACCGACCCACATTACTTTCTCCCATTATCAGACTCTTGGATACTATAGCTTTGTCGATGGGGTTCTAAAAAATCTCGCAACCTCATACTACAGAGAAAAGATATCTTTGGCCAAAGTATTAGAAGAGCAATGGAATGAGAGTACGATTATGAGGGAAATTTTCTTTACATGTGGATTCGCCTTCTTACTTTTTGAAGGTAACAAGTTTCCATCTATGATATATAAGAAGTATCTAAAAACCGTTTCTTATTTTATTGAGGTTATCAAAAGCGGTAATGTGTTAGATGATTTTTTACTCATAGAAGCAGTACAAGTCTTACAATTCTTGACTTTGAAAGACTTTTTTGTTGGAAGCTTGCAGAGACAGAGTATTAATCATCTTATTGCATTTTATAATCTCTTATTAAATAAAATTCAAAATATGCTACTGCAAAATATGAGAAATGCCAATGACGTTTGGAAGGAAGTACTACTCCGATATTCTTTTATGAGGCCGATAATGGAAATTTTTTTGATTAACTACTCATTTCTTTTATTATTTTGTGACTACGACCTTCTTGATAGCTTAATTCATATATCACTCGAGAAGGCCATATTCTTTCAAGTTAGCTTAACACTGGTAAATGAGATTGAAGATAATTGGTTCGACGAAGAGGTCTTTAGGATTACTAATGAATCCTTCTTGATATCCTCTAGGCTCACTTGGATTTTACGAAAGGAGCTTCCTTTGAGTGAAGAAAATAGAAAAATCCAAGTCAATGTACTCAATGTGTGCACATCATATTTGAATCTGCTTTTGACATTAAAGAAGAATTGTCGAAAGGCAGAGTTGCTAAGAAATATATTAAAAGGATGCATAGTATTAAAAAGCTGTATTATTATTTATAAAAAAATATGCAATCCTCATCTTCAAATAGGCGAGTTTGTTGATGACATAAATGATTTGATAAGTTATGTTAGCAATGCTGTGAATGATAATGAGATGTTGCCTGTATGGTGCTTATTCATAGGTGCATTGTCTTCCAAATCAAGTGACCAAAGGCTTTTCTTTAGATCGAGAATTTCAGAAATAGTTACTTGCATGAGGTCCTATTCTGTCCTCTCTGTTCTTAATTGGCTTGATAAGAATTGGCAATCTTTTGATGCTGACGTATTGTTTAACGATTACTTCTCGGGACGCTTATCAGAATCATTTTCCATTTGATCGAATATTTCCTAGATTTCGCACTTCCAAATTCGGAAATGGTCGCAAGTACTTAAACATGCAAATTATCAAGTTAATCTACATCTCTTTGAAGAATCACATTCGTCACTGAAATATCTATAGTTAATAATGACGTCTTCATGGAAAGGAATTGCTGAAGCTAAGAGAAATGCCGTTATTTCAAAAATTCCTCCCCAGTGGAGGTTAGATGCAATCCCCAGTGCAGAATCTGAACCAAATTGCCTTGAGATATTGCTGAACCTTTGCACACCTTTCGAACTTGAGATTGCTAATTCAACCGTTAAGAAATTATCACAAGATATAGCTGCAGGAAAGTATACATCTCTTTCGGTTACCCAAGTTTTTTGCAAAAGGGCAGCCTATTTACATCAGTTGACAAATTGTTGCAGTGAGATCTTCTTCGAAAGGGCAATCGACAAGGCAAAAGAATTGGATCAAATTTTTTCCAAGACAAAGAAAGTAGTGGGCCCCTTGCATGGTATACCGATTTCTCTCAAAGACCAGCTTAACATAGAAGGTCTCGATTCAGCTATTGGTTATGTAGAGCTAGTTAATAAACCGATAGAAAAGGGCGAGGTTTCCAATTTAGTCCGAATTTTGGAGGGCCTTGGTGCTATTCTCTTTGTGAAAACTACTGTGCCCATGGCTATGATGTCTCCAGAAACGGTTTCAAATGTCTATGGAAGAACTGTGAATTCCATAAACAGGATGGTGTCTTGTGGTGGCTCCTCAGGAGGTGAAGGAGCCTTAGTGGGTGGAAGAGGAGCTTTGCTTGGATTTGGAACTGATATAGGTGGTAGTATAAGAATACCTAGCGGTGCTCAGGGCTTATACGGGTTGAGATGTTCTTCTAATAGGATTCCTTATTGTAAGATTAGTAATTCTATGAAGAACGCACCCATACACTGTTCTGTGGTGGGTCCTATGGCAGTTGATTTACAGGACCTCAAGTTTATTGTGAAATTGATTTTGGAAACGAATCCTTGGGTAGATGATCCGAAATGTCCTCCTATTCCTTGGAGAGAAGTCAACGCAAATGAGAAAGCAATATTTGGTTATATAGATATTACAAGCCTCTCATATGTTCATCCTCCTGTTAAAAGAGCAATGAAAGAGGCTAAGGAGGCATTGATTAAAAGCGGACATGAAGTAGTTTCTATTACTCCTCCCACCTCGCTTTTAGATTTGGCCGCTGTTTCTACTAAAATTCTTTTGGCTGATGGTTTCAAGGAGATAGCTGAGGAATGCAAAAAATCCGGCGAACCCATACGCTCAGAAATACTCGGACTTGATGAAAATGAAGGTTTACCTCAAGAAAGTACTATTTCAGAGTATTTCAATAATTGTGGAAAATTATACGAATTTCAGCAGGAGTTTGACACTTATTTGAAACACTCAGGTTCATTGACAATATCGGGTAAACCAATTGATGCATTCTTTCTTCCTATTCAGACTTGTTCGGCCTTCAAGCCGGGAGACAGTGATATATTTTCAGTTTTTTGTACTCAGGTGTTTAACCTTTTAGACTATTCCGTTGTTACAGTCCCTGTTACCGTTTCAGACCAAGAGGTCGATTTTTTTGAAGAAAGTTACAATCCTTTAAACAAGATGGATGAGAAGCGTTGGAAATACTACGATCCCAAATTATGTCATGGTTCCCCTATAGGAATTCAAGTAGTCAGCTCAAGATATGGTGAGGAGATGGCCATTGCCATGGCTGAGGTTGTTTCCGAGAGTTTGGCAGTATTTCATAAAGCTTCTCACTAGACCTTCTTTTTGATCCAAGATGCTTTTGCTAACGCTTAAGACCGCGTTATGCCAAATATTTATATCTGGTAAATGTCAGTAACTATTTTTTCACTAGCGGTATCAAGTGCATATCTACTATACATGTTTTCACCTTACCTCCATGTATATCTAGGGAAATACTACTAGGAACTTTTAAAGCTATCTCAATGCCATGTGCCGTTTTTTTTTGTATTGGGTGAAGATCTCAGTCACTAACGTGTTTCTCAACTATTTCTGTTTTCTTATATGTGCTAAGCCATATGCTGATTTTGGCTTCAGATCGAAATTCTTTGCTGCTTCTTAGAAAATAATTTTTCAAGCGTGAGGTGCTACTTTAAAAAGTTTGTAAAAAGATATCTAATGATTGAGAAAAAGAATTCAGTCTGTCTATGGACACCTACGAGGTAGTCAATGTGAAAAAGAAGAGTCCTTGACTCTTGAATGAGCTCGAAGTAAAGTATCAGCATGCATATTAACTCCCCAGAAGACTTGAAAAGCAATAAGAGTAGTTGCATTCCACTTTTTTTTTTCATGGTATTATTTATATCGAATTAAGATTGTAATAGAACAATTTAGATAGGTAGCGGGCCATTTGTTATATCATGGATCGTAAGTTCATCAGACGTAAAGAAAGATTTGACTTTGCTCGTACCATCTTACATTTATTAGTGTATCAACTCATATGCGTTTACACATGCATCAATCAGCTCTAAAAGAGACTTTAGGCTGCTGTAATTAAGCACGCCTTTTACGTGTTTCAAAACACAGACGAATGCTCTGTTATGGAAAAGAACGCAAATAAAGAACTTATATTTACCCGTCGTTTCATCTTGCATCCACACTTGTCTCCACTCGTAAAATGCATTTGTACGCATTATCGGCCCGCTAAGATGTACAGCAATTGGATGAGGCTAACATAGAGATTTCAGGCATTATTCCCCCTGAAAAGAATATTCATACGGTAGATGACAGAGGTGTATAAGTAGAGTTTACATTACGCTTTTTTTGTGTGCCAAGACTTGTTTCTCAAGTACTCAGTTGTGGTTTATGCGATGATTTTTGAATAATTTTAATTTTTTTTTTTTTTTTTTTTTGTCTTTTTCTTTTTTCGTATAAGTTGCAGCCCAACGTTCTCACGGAATTTTTTCACCTTTTTCTTATTAAACCATACTGAATCTACACCATGACAGAGGCTGACTTAGAGCCAAAGATGGACTTTACAGATTCAACCAAAGAAGAGGTGGACCAAATCGGTATCAATCTAAATAAATATGACTCTCTAGAAAATTTATCACTTGAAGAGGGACAACTCAAGAGGAGATTTTCTACTTGGTCAGTTTTAGGCATTGGATTCGGTTTGACTAATTCTTGGTTTGGAATATCTGCATCACTCATTACAGGGATCCAGTCAGGTGGTCCCATGCTAATCGTATATGGTATTATTATCATAGCAGCTGTATCTTATTGTATTGGAATTACCTTATCAGAACTCTCTTCAGCAATTCCCTCAGCTGGAGGACAATATGTCTGGTCTAGGGTCTTGGCTCCAAAAAAGCATTCCAGTTTTTTTGCCTATTTATGTGGCTCATTTGCTTGGGCTGGTTCCATTTTCACTAGTGCATCAATGGCCCTCTCAATTGCAAATGAATTGATGGGGTTCTGGGTTCTCACTCACCCTAATCATATCATCCAAAAATGGCAACTTTTTGTCATCTACCAAATCATTAATTTGTTCTTAGTCCTCTTTAACTGTTATGGTAAACTTTTACCGTATGTTGCCAATGGTGCATTGTATATCTCATTGTTTTCGTACGTAGTCATCACCATCACCGTGTTGGCTTGTTCGCGAGGTAATTACAGATCTGCTCTGTTTGTATTTACAGAGTTTGAAAATAACACGGGCTGGACCACTTCTGGTATTGCATTTATTGTCGGTTTAGTTAATCCAAATTGGTCATTTAGTTGCTTGGATTCTGCGTGTCATTTAGCGGAGGAAACAATCAAACCGAGAACAGATATTCCAAAAGCTATTATGGGAACTGTGACAATAGGATTTATAACGTCATTTACATATTCTATTGCAATGTTCTTTTCAACGCATAATTTAGATGCTATTTTTAATTCTACTACGGGCATGCCAATCCTTGATATCTACTATCAGGCATTGGGAAATAAAGCTGGTGCGGTCTGTTTAGGTGTATTGATATTTCTCACTGCTTGTGGGTGTACAATTTCATCACACACTTGGCAAACAAGATTGTGCTGGTCATTTGCTAGAGACAATGGATTGCCATTTTCCAAGTATTTATCAATTGTTGATCCAAAATTAGGAATTCCCTTAAATGCCCATCTTTTCTCGTCTTTCTGGGTTGCAGTATTAGGATGTCTTTACTTGATCTCTGATGCTGCTTTCAATTCCATGGTGGTCGGCTGCATCACGTTTTTACTATTAAGTTATTTTGTTCCAACGGGCTGCTTGTTGTACAGGGGTAGAAATAATATTAAACATGGACCATTTTGGCTCGGAAAAATTGGCCTCTTTGCAAATATTATGACATGCTCATGGGCCATCTTTGCGTTGGTCTTCTTTTCGTTCCCATCGTTCATGCCAGTAACAAGAGGTACAATGAACTATGTTTCAGTAGTAATCGTAATTTACCTAGTTTGGGCATTAGGATACTGGTGGTTTCCTATTAAAAAATGGGGTTGCAGGGAGAAATTTGCCGGTGGTTTGAATAATAGTGAAGAGCTAGAATTCCCTGACGTCTGTTTAACAAAAATTTAATCATCTAGATATTAAAATCGTAGACTAATACAAGAATACCTACATTTGCAAAACGAGCTGTGAAGCTATTTCGTATATCTGAATCAACTGACACCTTTCTTTCATTAATTTTCCAGATAGGCTCTTAAAGATCCAACTTCGATCTCTCCATCAGCTATCGCATTATTTATGATAGTTCGATTCCACTATTAATAGTATAAATTAAACAACAAAGACTGTCGTTAACTTAAAGTAACAGCAGAACCCATAGAAATGCACTGTCTAATGTGATGGATTACTTTTGGACAAAGTTAATAAAGAAGATGAGAGAGAAATACCGTTGCAAAATTTTCTTAGTATTAAATATATTCTTAAAGACTTACCCGCCTCAGGATGGTATCGAATTCACAGCAAAAAAGTCGATGGTAAAGCTACATAAACAAGAAGCTTCTAGATATTTTTGTCGTGAATTCGTCGAAACCAGGATGTTCGGACAATCTAGAAGTAATGCTTCCAGTGGGACAAATGCATTGAGCACTGAAAAGTCGACGTTTTCACAAAATAGTGGTGGAGATTCGACGTTACCCAGTACAAGTGATTCTACGATGACTGGTACATCAAACTTATTAAAAGACTTACTTGTATCTGCCAACAATTTACCTAAAGCAGATGACATGGAACTAGGCAGTATTCATTTAACTCTCAACGAGTTACAGCGTAGGTCTCAGCAGTTGAGAAAGGCTCAAGATAAGGAGAACAACTTCATGAAAGCTCATTATTTATTGGCTTCCAGTGGCATGAGTGCAGAGGAAATTGAGAATGAAATCAAACAAATCAGAGTCCCAGAGCCTGATGCAAAAGGAACTCTCCCTTCGTCTAGCAACCTTGAAACGTACTTGAGTACCAAGAAAGATGAAAACATTCTCAGTTCTATTGAGCAATCTTTAAACATTGCTTCGAAGGATTTTGATGCGTTCATTAGTGCTAATGTGACTATTGATTGGAGGGCAAGAAAGGAAGAACTAAGAAAGTATGTGGGACTCAGTTCGAATTCTAATAATGATTCCACATCTTCAGCTCCTATCGTTTGGAATAAATTAATACCAGGAAGTTATAATATATTGAGTTCCTTTAACGGTAGACACCAAGCATCTTTAAAGCAATTACCTAGAGAAAAATTCGAGAGCCATGCCAAAATAGTCTATCAATTAAACGAAGCAAGATTAGAAGAGAGATTTTTCCCATTATTATTAAATTTTGAAGAACTCAATAAACTTTCTAGTAATTTGAAATCCAAACAAATGAGTGAAGTTTATAAAATATTAGTACAGCTAACTAATGAGAGCTATGCCAAAGTCAACCAAGAGCACAAATTTTACGATGATTATAAGTCTAATCAAATGAGTAAGAAGATTATCAAGGGCAGTAAGTCTTACTTGGAACTTCAATTTTTCAGTTATATGAGCGAGCTTTACTCAAAAAATGAAAAAAACACTTCAACTACCCCGACTTCGAATATCGTCAAAGTTTCTCACTTCATCCACCAAATCATTGTTAAAAATGAACCAGACATATTGGAAAAAACTCTAACTGTAAATGCTACACCAGTTTGGGCCCTAATTTTTTATTTGCTAAGAAGTGGTTTATATGATGAGGCGCTAGACTATACTCTCAAAAATAAGGAATTGTTTAATAAATTAGATAAAAACTTTCCGATATATTTAAAGAAATATGTCGAAAGCGGAGACGGCACCTTACCACATGAGCTCAGAGAACGTTTGCAACAGGAGTTCACTCAACAGTTTGCTTTTGTTAACGAGAGCGACGGCAACAACTTTGACGCATACAAATTTTCTATTTATAAGATAATAGGAAAGTGTGATCTAAGCAATAAGACATTACCGAGTGCAATAAATTTGAGTATTGAGGACTGGTTATGGTTCCATTTGTCTATCATAAGTAATTCAATCGATTCGGATTTGATTTTTGAAAATTATACTTTACAAAATTTGCAGAAGAGAGTTATATCTTTGGGATCTAAGAAGTTTAATTCCTCTTCAAATAATCCATTGTACTTGAAGACATTGGTTTTGGTGGGGTTGTATGAACTTGCAGTCCAGTATACGTATGAATCTATCAGTGAATGTGATGCAGTCCACTTATCAATTGGTTTGATCTATTATGGTTTACTTAATGTGACCAGCTTCAGTTCCAAGGATGAATTGATAGTCTTTAATGATAAATATGAAGTAAATTTCGCAAGATTGATAGGTTCTTATACGAGAGCTTTCAAAATCAGTGATCCGAAAGTAGCATCGCAATATTTGGTTTTAATTGCACTTTCAAAAGGCAACGAGCCTTCAGATGAGATATCCAAATGTCATGAGGCCTTGAGGGAATTAATTTTGATTTCAAGGGAATTCTCTATGCTTTTGGGTGATTTAAATCAAGAGAATGGTGAAAAGACGCCTGGAATTTTAGAAAGACAGAGATCTTTGATTGCACTCCCGAATCTTGCTGACTTTTATCATCAAATTACCGAAGTTAGTGCTTTAAGGTGTGAAGAGGAAGGAAGGGTATTCGATGCGTTACTACTTTATCAATTATGTCAAGACTTTAACACTGTTGTCTCGTTGATTAATAAACTTTTGAGCGAACTCTTGTCCACTACTGACTTGGATCAACCATTGATTGATTTAGGTCACTATGAGAGTTTAAATGGCGAAGTTAAGAAATCCGACACCTCAGATAATAACATTATCTTGTTGTCTCAGCAAATTATGAAGTCATTCGAAAGTAATAGTACCATTTCCGATAAGATATCACCTCAAAAGAAGGAAACTTGCAACTTTCTTCTTCCAATTATTAATATTAGGGAAGTTTTCTTGAAACAGAACTTTCAGCAAGCTCTTCATGAAATAAGGGATTTGCACTTGTTGCCGTTGGGTCTCAATGACGACCTCATTGAGATAAGAAAGTTGAGTGATCTTGTGAAAAACGGTTATTTGGACGATGATGTTGTAAAGGTTATTCCGTCGTTGTTGATTATGACTATTACTTCGATTTCTCAAATGAGTTATCTTATCTTAACAAAGAAGTTTCAATCATCTAATAATGAGAGAGATGAACTTCTGAACTTGAGAAAGTTGGCCAAAAATTGTATGATCTATGCTGGCATGGTCCAATATAAGATGCCTAGAGAGACCTATAGCTTGTTAATTAACTTAGAAGCACTGTTGTAGATATAGACCGAAATAAAATTAAATAGTTCGTTGAAAAATCATCTTTACTTTGTCCTCTCAATTGTCTTCCTCAATTCTGACGAATATCAAAAATAACTTCTAAGAACTGTATTCAAATACGGTATTATCTAATATTTATGCCTCCAAATAAAGGAAAAACTAAGGAGGTGAAGTACCTTTTTCCAAAAAACTTTTTGAATTTGTCGGACAAATTAAGGAAGCAGTATTATGTACCACGTCCTTTAGTTGTTTTAAGTGGTCAAATCGTGATAATTGAAGATTTCTTTTCTGAAGCATTATGTGATGAGTTAATAAAGTCCTTTGAAGATCAGTTGAAATTAGAGACTACGCCGGTGGTCAAAAGTAAGGACTATGCTACTAGAATTAATGATAGATGCTCCGTGTCAGATTCAAATGCTTCTACAAAACTATGGGATTATATCAGACAAATCTTGGTGCAAGACATATCTTATGAGGATGATGAAATACAGGAGGTTAAACAGGAATTTGATTGTGCCATTGGCCTCAATGATCTCTTGAGAATATATAGGTATAAAAAGGGCCATCATTTTAATAAGCATTACGATGAATCCGTAGATTGCAAAATTTCAGGACAGGCAAGCAAAACAAAATGGACATTATTAATTTATTTAACAGGTGGTGAAGAATTCAATGGAGGAGGAACTATATTCTATCCCGAAGATAAGAATAAATCGCCTTTGAATGTTCATCCCAAAAAAGGAATGGCATTACTCCACAAGCACGGCGACGACTGCCTCATGCATGAAGGGGAACTTGTAAGACGAGGCGAGAAATGGGTACTCAGAAGTGACGTTGCATTTCCTATATAACTCTTTAATAGTCCATTACTACTTCAATTTAACTACCGTTTTTGAGCGGAAAAATTCCTCAGAGTGCTCAATTATGTCGTTGAAACTCAAATCGTTTCGGAGTCTCTTCCTAACCCATCCACTAAGTTTCAGTTGAATTCTTTCAAAACCATATCTACGATCTATTAAATAAATAATCGCATAGTCATTAGCATGTCTAATACTCCTCCCTATACTTTGATTAATGGCTCTCATACAGATATTCTCATAAAAATCATTTGAGTTTTCTTTTGCATCTTTCGATGTTCCACCTTTTAAAATTGTATTAGCTTCTATAAAGTTTTTTCTCGCCATTATCTCTCCAGAGTATGCATTGGGGAAAGGTAGTCCTACCATAACTACTGCTCTAGCCAAATCGTCAGAAAAGTTAATGCCCTCGGAAAGCCTACCTCCAACTACTGCAAACAAAATCGCTCCTTCTCTTCTCTCTATGATTTTGGACTTGTATTTATCCAATATAGAATCAACTGCTGAGAATTCAGCCGACTCTTGAAAGATTTGCTTCAAGTTGTTGATTTCTTCGAATATTCCAGTTTCTTTCCAGACTTTTACAACTTCATTCAAATATTTATAGCTTGGAAAGAAAGCAACCGTTCCAAAAGGAGTCTTTTTAGTGATCGCAAGAATCACTGCACCCAAACTCCTGATGATTTGACGGTCATTTCTTTTCAGAAACAGAAAGTCTAACGGTATACGACTATATGATTCAATAGGATAAACCTCAAGGTTCTCTTTTGGAATGATGTGTTCGCAGCTAAAAGCTTTGATTTGAGACTTTGGTACATATGGAAATAAATAATTCAAATAGTCACTGATCGGTTCCATTGTTCCACCACATAATATCACGCACCTTGCTCTTTCAACTATGTCTCTGAAAACTTCACTTGGATCTAGAAGCATATAGTTGATAGATAAAAAATCTCCTTTTTTATCCCAAAAAAGTTTACCTTCCTTTGATGGATTGTTCAAGCACTTTAAAAATTTTGTTATCTTGAACAAGAGTGGGTTTGAACTGCTCGATTTATGGCCAGAGTCTATCATTCTTTCCATATACGTCTCAATCTTATACGCTATTTTAGATTTTTCAAGATATTTCTCTATTTTGTGCACATTGATCAAGTCGCCAGTCGATTTTTTGAAAATGCTATCAACAAGGATTTCAGAACCAACATGTATATTTTCTGCTCCAGTTATGAAATTTACAAGAATTTGACATAGCTTGATTAATTTCATCAAGTAAATTCTATTTCCGCTGCTGAGCCTTCTCAAAAATTTGTTCAAGTAGAGTTTCAAAGAATCGACCACCTTTTTTAATTCATCAATGGTGATAGAAACTGAGTTCATTGAGTTTATAATGTCCAATAAATTGTGAGCCTCATCTATAACTACTATTGAGTCATCGATTTTTAAGTTAAGAACTCGCCTCGTATTACCTTCTAGCAACATTTGATATGGTAGAGATATGATCTCTGTAAGATCAATACCACTTCTGACTGAATAATATGGACAAACATTTAAATTGTTTCCCAATTTTCCTAGTTCTTCAATATCATGAATTTGAGTAAACGCAAGGTCGCTGAATTTTTTAATTAGCTTAGGATTGTCTCGTGGCAAGTATTTACATCCTTCCTTCAGCTTTTGTAGATCCAAACAAGCATCATTTAGACTCAGGTTATTCGAAAGTCGATTGATCTTTGGATTGATACATAATTGCTTTCGAGAACCTAAAGATATGTACTTAGTTCTCTCTTCTAAGTCTTCGAAAGAACTGTTAAACTTCGGCAATGCTAGTTGATCAGCAAACTGATTCAACTGCGAGTGTGTCCTTGACGCATAATATATTTTAATTGGACAGTCATTAGATGATTCGTCAAATCCATTTGGGGTCTCAGTCCTGTCCATCAAAACCTTTATTTCATTTTTCAATTTCGAATTTAATCCATCTACGCTATTTGAATCGATATCACTATGGTATTCTTCAGGCACCAATTCATCTTCTAGAAATTTATCTTCACTCTTTATTCTCCTTTTTTTCTTCTTTGAACCTAAGTTGTCAATTTCTTGGAGCTGTGACTTATATTCTAAACTCAATTTCTCAAGATAAGTCTCGTAATCTTCAAGTTTTCCCTTTGATCTTGACGCTAATGATTTAGAATAGGCTTGTTTAACCCATTCTGGATCTTCATCACTACTGCATTCAGATTCCAGATGGTCAACCTTCACAAGACCTTTAATCTTCTTGTAACTTCTTAGCCATGACATTGTAGCACATATTACTGATAAAGTCTTTCCTGTCCCTGTAGGACTCTCGAATAACCCAATTTTGTACTTCTTATCAATGGTGTCGTAGATCGCATTCATCAACTCTATCTGGATGTCATAAGGACGAAAAGGATGGTGATATTTATAAATCGTATCATCATTTTCAACCATCTGGAGTCAGCCAACATTAGCCGTGGATTTTAGTAGTGCGTCTTAACTACAACTTGTATATATATATATATTCAAATCAGACGTGTTTCATCTCATCTTTAGAGTTGATGGCTTATATAAGCATCACTTTTAGTTGAAAAATATATCTTACTAGTGTGAAGAGCCATTTAACCAAAACAAATGATAAGCGTGAGCAGTTATGACAGAGATCGATTACAGAATATAGATCAATCAATAAGCTGGTTTCAAGCAAGGTTACATTTTTATAAGAAATGAAAAAAAAAACAAAAAAAGAGGCGGGGGAAAAACGTAATGATCAATGAATATCATAATTTGCTTGGAATATTATCAGCCAATAATCTTTTGAACTCCTCGATACCCTCCAAGGTTGTACAAGAGCCACCACAAACTACTACTATTATGATTTCATCTTCTATTAAATTCTCAAAAGTTTTTTGCAATAAGTTCGGCTGATTGTACACTACAGATAAGGAAGCTCCGCATGCGGGCTCTGTTACTCTCTTTAAGTTATCGTAATAAGACACACAGGCATCCAAAGACTCAAAGTCATCAATCGATTCTAAAGTAGTTTTGATCTGCGATTGATCTTTGTAGTTTTCAAAGGCTTGTCCTGATAAATATGAGCATGCTAGTGAGGTTGCAACAGACAGCAAATTTCCCAAAGTCACAATGCTACCTGCCTTTACTGTTTCGTGAAAAGTGGGTGCTTGCTTTGTTTCTATAAGTAATATGTCCAGCTTCAATTTACTTCGTAACAACCCTTGGTGAATACCATTATAAAGCCCACCACCCCCAACAGAGCATACAATCCCCCTAACTTTTCGGAGGTCAATATCGGACATTTGTGTTTCGATCTCGTCTATTATAGTGGAATGTCCCTCCCATATTAACGGATTTTCGAAAGGGTGACAGTAAATTGGTACAATTTTATCTCTATCCACAGATTGCAAAATCAGCTTTAAGTGCTGATCAGCCTCGTAAATACTTTCTCCTGAGATGATTATTTCAGCTCCATAGCTGCAAAGTTTTTTCTTAATTTCTGGTTTCGAGATACGAGGTATTGCAACAGTGCAATTCACGTTATAATATCTCGCCAGATAAGCTGCTGCAAGGCCCGCGTTGCCACCACTGGATGCAAATACATGAATCTGTTTTCCCGGTTCAGTTCTTTTAGCTTCTTTGACACATCTACTAACTAGATGCCCAATTCCCCTTAATTTGAAGCTTCCACTTGGCTGCTCAAACTCATTCTTGAATAAGATTCTGCAGGGTGGTCGTTGAGGGAGCTTATCGGTTACATCAACCAAAGACGTTTTAACGGAAGGTTCTTGCTTATCGAAGTCTATGATCAGCTGGGAGCTCAACATTCGTCAGGACTTTAAGGATTTATGAAACTAGCTGGAAACTCTCACATAAACTGGGGTCTCCTTTATAAATACTGAAACAGGGAATAGAGAAGAAAAGGTTGCATTTTCTCTCTGTGCTACTTTAACTTGACTCTTGTCCCAAACGTGACTCCGATATGACTCGCAACAATACCCTTACACCTTTGGATGTGAAAAGCACTCGTACGGCCCAACAATAAACAGTACCACACGGCTCTTCGCCTAGGTGACGATATTACATGTCCGCTAAATTCTGTTTATGAACTGGTTATGTCATAGTTAATAGCTCTGAGAACATGGTCGAGACAAAAGAGGAGCTTTAATTGCAATTCCCCACACATCTAAATCAAAATTCGAAACGGACCCAATTCTTATTTACTCATTCCAGTAAACAATCGTCCTGATCACCTAATTATTTTTTTGCTTTCAATTCTTACATTTCTAACCTCCCATTATGATTACTCTTGCACGTTTTATGATGGGCTGTATAATTCATATACAGGAAATATTGATCTTTTATTGGAAAAAAACAGCTATCATAGAACTGTCAAGTGGAGCCTGATAAGATATTAGATAAAGAGAATGGCATCCCCCATTTTTATGTCAAAGCCCCCTCCAGGGTTCTCCATTCTTGCCATAGTAAGGGGTATACAGTTGGGATTGTTGGGAGCCTATAGAACGCTTCAGAATCCGGATCTATTCAAATCTAAGTTTTATCTGAGAGCGATTAGTGCGATAAAGATTTCAATCTTGATTCAAATTGCAATCAACGCTCCTGTTTTCTTGTTAAAGTGGTTTTTAGTTACTGTTAACTTGTTCTTGAAGCATAAGTGGAAACTTAATAGTCTCATATCAGATGTCAATCATTTTCAAAAACATGTCCTAAATATAAACGTTTTTTTAATAACGCTAATTCGATTTTTTAGGGATGATTTAGATGAAGCATTCCTTCTGAGCCTAAAATACACAGATGAGGTTAGATTAAAAAAACATCCGAACGAGCCTGAACAAGCATATTACAAAGGCTTAGTGGAGTTGCCGAAGTATGATAACGAAAGGAGCGACTCAAAAGTGAAAAATCGTTACGTAAGGTTAGTCAAGTCTAAGTTCAAAAATTCCACTGAGTTCCAAGCGTTTTTGAAAAGATACTTAACTAACACTTCTATTAACTTGATGATTTACCTCATATCAAGGATGCCAAAGATCGGATCTGTTGTCATGGCATTGATATCGTTTCAAGTCTTTAATGATAAAATAGGAACTGTTCCTTCTTCCATATTTATTTGCTTGCTCAATGTCCTTCCTAAATATTACAATCGCATTATACTCGCTGCTTTTTGGGGTGCAAACAATACAACTTATGATTTATTGTTACCTTATTTTAATAGAGTGAAACTAACTAAATTCGAGAAGGACCAATGGGTGAAGTCCAGACAAGGTGTATTATTTGGATTTGGCTTATGCTATTATTTTTTGATCAACAGATTTCCATGGGTCAGCATATTAACTTACGGTTTTGCGCAATCTTCTAGTGCTTATTTAATTACTAAGATCACTGATCCACCACCTGCGCAAGCTAGCGCGTTGATCAATTGGAATCCTACTCAACTAATCTGGAATAAGGATAAAGAAAATTATATTTTGACAGGAAACTTCTTTAAAACCGACGAGGGATATAGGCCCCTTCCGGGATCTTCTCTCTTTGCTATTTGATATCAGCTAAATGAATAAGTTTTATTTCCTGTTATTATGCAATAATTTATGGACCTTCGAAGCTGGTTAGTGAAAGCGTTTCCATTAGTGCATACTAATCCAGGAACATAGTTAAACTTATTTAGTTCATCTATATTATTCGTCATTTCCAACAATGGCAATAAAGTCAACTTGCATCTAGACCAATGGTGATCCGAAGTAGATTTTATTAACACTTGTTCAGTGTTAATATCATCGATTGTAGCTTTGAACGTTTCTTGAAAAAATTTAGTTTGAACAGATATTTCAGAACTTTCTGGTAAACTTTTCTTGTACTGATCTTCATCCGGAGCTCCCAACTGGAGAAAGTGACTAATTGCGAGAAATTTGTCATATTCATCATGAGTCTTTTCATGGATATAATTCAATATTATTTTACTCAAGTGCTTGCTAATTAAATGATCAATTTGCTCCTGTTCGTTATGCAATTTCGTTAACAATTTGTTGCAATCTTCGTTATCATACTGTTTCAATATCTTCAAAGAGCCTAATAAGACTAAATTGAAGTTATATAAAATTTGTAGTTTTTTTAGACCCACATTATTGTTGAAATTTTGTAGTAAGTAACTCGTAAAGTTCGAATTAATTGCATTATTGTCAATGATTAATGATAGTTTATCTATGTCTATCAAGTTTTCTTCTTTAAAAGCCAGTATGTTAAATACAAATTTAGAGATTTCTTCTTGTTTATCACCAAGAAGCTTAGGAAATGCTGCTATATTTTTATAGTTAGTAAGCCACAATTGATTTATGAATTGTATAGAAGTCAATTTCGTTTCAGGTTCAGAATCATTGCAAAGTTCAGCGGCATGTAAGAAGCCAATGTGTAATTCACTTTTTGACAAGATGGTGTAATTCATCACATTCTTAGGTACAATTTTATAGACTATTGATATGATTCCTCGCGAGCTTAATGACATTCCGCATAAAGTAAAATCTCCTTCCACTATTTGACTCAAGTAAGGTCTTGTTAAGTCCGAAGGTGGCTTTGGTGTAATAGAAGGGCTGGAGATCTCATTCTCCATTTTAACTTCCATAAGCTCTTGTTCATCTCGTGAAGAATTTGTTAGCTGAAACTTATATAAACTTTTGGATACAAAGTTACTCAATAACTTGTTCAGTTGTTTTGACGATAGAATTTTCTTTTTTAAATCTAATATGAATGATTCAAATTCTCCATTTTCAAAGCCTATTATAAGCGTCAAAATCTCATTCGTGTGACAAGATATGATAGAAGAAATAAAGTTGAAATTAGATAATCTCTGAACTAGTACTTTCTGATCAATTATATCATTAATGTAAATAATCTTCAAAGAATCCGTCGAAGTAACTATCAAGATAACATCAAAACGAGTACATATCCATTTTACTTGACTTATGAGAAATCTAGATTTTTTTATTATAGTTTGTGGGATCAGAATTGCGATATGGTCAGTTTTGATATCGAAATCAGCAGTGACGAAGCTGACCGAATTATCGGAACAAATTAAAGACAAATAAGAAGTAATTTTCCCATCGTTTTCTCTCCATTCAGACCATTGATGTTTAACAACATTCTGATTCGTTTGAAAAGAGCTCAAGACTTGAAGTGATGAATCTATCCCTAGTTTGTAGATCATCAAAGTCCCGTTGTTTGATATGACACTAAGCAATAAAATAGATTCCATCGATGAAGTTATTAAAGTAAAATCAAAGCTTTTGATTCTCAAATATTCTAGCTGGTCATTCGTCACAAATATTTCTGTCGAGTCACTACTCTCTAAATGTAATTGCAGAATAAGTTGATCAAAAAGATTGTATTTTACAGTGTATTGATCAGGATGATTGTTAGCTCTTTCAAATATCAACAATTCACATGTATTGAACAACACCCCCAAAAGACAATCTCTGGAATAGGGATCGACAGGAGACCACTTTTGACTAGTAATCATAGGCTCATTTATACCACTGAAGTTGAAGCCCTCGTCTAGCGTCTCAACGACGACTCTATTAAAACTTCTGAGGGGTAATGAATCAAGAGCTTCCGGATAAAGTATAGTATTTGGTGTGAATATTCCCTTCGGATCAAGCACTTTAATATCATTAACCGAATTAATGCTTTGATGAAGTAAAGGTAGTTTTGGGTCTAAGATGGTGAGTTGACTACCATTATTAATTGCGATTTGCAGATTTTCAGAACATTGAAAAGGATCGTGAATTGAACTTGAGGCATCTACCCTCTGTAATATCAAGTCCTTAATCATGAAGAATCTTGATATATACAAATTTTTACGTCTCGACTAATAACTTGTTTGGATTATAATTTATAGTGTTTATTTTCAAAATGGCTGCGGAACTGTACTGAAAAAACAGGATGAATTATTTATTTTTTGAAAGAATAAATGTACTAGAAAAAAAAAATCTCAAAGTCTTTATATATTGTAGATCCATATTAACTCAAGGACTGATTTTCAAAAACTCTATTATAAAAATACCATATCTACAAGTCTAATAAAAAAATAATGGGTACAAAAGTACCATAATGAAGGATGCGAGGTTCGAACTCGCGCGGACAATCGTCCAGCAGATCTTAAGTCTGCCGCCTTAGACCACTCGGCCAACCCTCCATATTCGTCCAATTGTAAGGGATCAGTCTTATAAGTACACACAATGTGAAGGAGTGTTGCAAAACACATCTGAAACAGTGTAAAAAGTATATAAGCGCGAGATACTCCCAATAGTAGAAGATTACATTCTACTAGGGATTCTAAGTAGTAGCACACTATACATAAGCTTAGAGTAGTCAAATATTCATATGGAATCACCTAAGTACGATAGTAGCCCTTTAAACAACTATTTAGAACTCCCTATAAACCTCACAATTGGTAGCGTTGCTGTAAGATTAAGAACCAGAAATATATAATAAAATGGAGTCAGAAAGCATCTTAAGACTTCTCGAAGAGATGAAACTCGAAAGAGAACAAGAACGCGCTCAGAGGGATAAAGAACGAGCCCAAGAAAGGACAGAGCGAGAAAAAGATCGTAAGGAATTGATGAAACACAGAGAAAATGAAAGAATTAGCCAAGAACAAAGAGTCTTAATGACGTACGTTCTACTGATCCAAGTCAAACCATATAATGGAGACTCGGACCCTCAAGTTATCGATGCTTTCTTAAAAAGGATAATTAGTAAAACAGAAGGAACAAAACTCTCCGACGAATTACTCCTAAACGTCTTTAGTAGGAACCTAGAAGGTAAAGCTAGAGACTGGTATGAAAAAGAAAAGGAGGAATCTAGTTTTCTATCCGTAAAAGACTTCAAGGAAAGGCTTATCGACTGCTTCGCAAAAGAAGTTGATTATCAGGCAAAATTCAATCAATTTTATGACTTAACACAGACCGGAAACATAATAAAATTCAATGAAAAATTCTTAAAGATAAGTAAAGAATTACCTCAAGATTTACTTCCGCCATCAGCTCTCACCTGTTTTTATGTAGCAAAATTAAAACAAGATGTGCAAAGAGAGGTAAGACTTAGACACCCTGAAAACCTTCACGATGCTATGCAAATCGCAGAGATCTATAGCGAAGAAAAACAAGGTATAACAAGGAACAGGCACCAACCACGTTACTTAAGAACTGGTTATATTCCAAAAAAGGAATACTTTCAAAAAGAAAGCTCCGCAGTTCCTATGGAAGTTGATACCATAAATATAAGAAAGTCGCAAAATTACTCCAAAAGAGATAACCAAAATAAAAAGGAATCACCTAAGTACGATAGTAGCCCTTTAAAACAACTATTTAGAACTCCCTATAAACCTCACACATTTTAATTGATTAATGCTAATGCATACAATAGGAAACATATGATTGCACCTAATACTTCAAATATTTAGACGACATACTTCATTCTAATGTTTTTGCTAAATTGTATAATTACCCAGATAATGGCACTTGAAAATTTTCCAGAAAAAGAGGAGTATTACGATATGTTTGTGAATGAACTTGAAACTAACAAATTATCGCTAATTCTCAATTTGCTTCAAACTTTTCAAAACTTAGGAGACCTAAATGGAATTCTTAGTAACTTTAAAAATGTTCGGGTATTCTAATTACCCAAGCCGACAAACATGGCAGGATCAAGCATGCTAATTTCATCTATTAAACAACTATTACATAAATTTTAACTATATATAAAGTCGAATTAACCAGACCAGAACTCATAGCTCTTTGGCTGCACAACACTTATTGGTAAATGTTCTCTAGTGGTCTCATTATTTGCAGTGGAGTTTATTACCAGCGAAGCACCATTAATTTGGTCTCCTTGTTCGCCCTCCTCGTCAGATTCTTTGAGTGACTTGTTAATCTCGTTAATGCTGACAGGAGTTAATAAATCATCTAGAATGCTGGCAAGCTCGGGTCTCTGTTGCTTCAATTTGTTTATCTTCTCAAATTGGTGCCATCTCTCAATAAGGATCTGCTTTCTTTCTAAATTACGCTGTCTTTCCACCTCGAGAAGGCTAGATTCAAGTGTGTCCAAGGTATCAAGTTTGACATCTACCTTTTTTAATGTCAACTCTATCACTTGATTTATCAAATCTGACTGTTCAACTATAGATTCCTTTAAACTATTGATGGAATTTTCTTTGATTATTTCCTTGCCCTCTGCTTTTAAGACCACTTCTTTGGCAATATCTTGTACCAAAGTTGCTTTGTCAATGCTCTTGCCATTTTCTTTAGATCCGTTTATAAGCTTATTCAAATACCTGTCTTCAATAGGTAGTTGTATAAATTTGATTAAGCACTGTTCCTTTGATTTCGTTCCTACAAATTCGCTAATCTTGTCCCACTGCCCATTAGGATTGGAGTTCAACGAGCCACCATGCCCTCCCACGGCGCCATTTTGAACATCAAAAGATCCAAACATCTCTATTCCCTCCATCAAGAGCAATATTTCTTGCTCAGACCATGTTCTATCACTTGGTTGATCTAACTTAATGAAATCTGATGCTTGAAAATTCAGAGGAAATAAACCTTGCTCAAAACAGTTAATACATAATATAGAAGCCTTATTGAAAGTCGAATTTGGATTACTCGAATACGACTTGACTTTCAAGTTATGAAACCTAACTTCGCTTGTATCCTTTCCACAGATATTGCAAAAATACTGAATTATGTTACTCGAATTATAGGAGTCGTCTGAGCTTGAGTAAATATTACGCCTTGCCTCCAAGTTTAACGGAATTTCTTTACTGTCATTTTCGGTCCTCTGAGAAGGCTGCTCAGAAGAATCAGACAATACATTCGGATTACTCGCCTTGCCATTAATAACATCTTTATGTTCTGGTATGAAAGGAACCAAGCCTTTCGGAGTGTCCAACGTAATCTGAAAATGCCCAGTGTACTGAGGACCAACAGTAGATGGCTTAGTCCTGGGGTCAATTTGATAATTTATTAAACCCCATCTTTCCAAAAATTGATGAATCCTAATTATACTGGTAACATCACCTGCTAAGCTTCGACGAACTGCTGTAATTGACAAATACTCCAAGGGATTAATTCGATACGCATTTATCATGAAATCTCTCATATTTTTATAAACTTCAGCTGTTTTATAGACGGACTTAGCTCCATCCTCTCTTGGTGGGAAGAAATCTGGAAACAGTTTCTTTTCAATGGAATTTATCTCATTCATATTAAACCATTTACCATAAGATGGAATGACGACATGTCCAGTTTGTTCGATGAGGTAATTTCTGGCTTTCTCTTGAAAATTCTTAGATATCTGTTCAACATCTACTGCTTTCGCTTCCGATTCACTGCCCGCTGTTTCTTCTTTTATGATATCATTCTCAACACCAGGCACCCCTTCTGATTCTCCAGGTGTATTCACAACTGATGCCTCTGGTTCCACTGATGACATTGCTTAAACGATATATATATATTACAATTTGGTGTTTATTCTCTGTATTTATTTTGGTTATGAAAGAACCTAATGACGAGAAAGTGTTGGTAGATTCGACGACGCGACATTATATTGAAACGACATTTCTCATTTTGGCGACATAGATTTGCGCCACAAAAACGCGTGAAATCAATACTATTTTACGTTTAGTTTGTTTTCTTCTTTACAACTCATTGAAAGATCATTATTTGAGACTAAACTTTAAAATGACAGTGGCTGTTGCCCCCTCAGCGGATAACTCCAGCGTCAGGCGATCCTCTCGTGTCTCCAAAAAAAGAGCTCACTATGAAGAAGTATCAGGATCAGAAGATGAGAATCAAATCGAGGAAGAGGCATATGAGGAACGGCCTAAAAAGAATAAAAAGCCTCACAGAAATAGCAAGTCTAATAAACGTCGTAGCATCAACGGTAGCAAGAAAACTTTGGAACAATTAGAAGCAGAGTTGCCGGAAAACTATCTCTATAAATCCCTTTCCTTTGAAGACCTTGACGTGAAAGACTTAGCATTGGAATGGATAGAAGCTTACGAGGAAGAAAATGGTTCTCACGAATCACTCACGATTTTAATTAATCTCATATTAAGGAGCTGTGGTTCTGTTCATCTTTTTCAACCTCATGATTTAGCAAATTTAGAAAGTGCCATACAAACTGTTGGGGAACTAACGATCGCTTTCAGTGACCAGCAGAGTCACAAGTATCCTTTTAAGGCACTAACATCATTTCGAAGGAACGTTTTAGAGTTCTTCGAGGAGCTCATTCAAGTTTCACATGATAGAGGTTTGTTATATAAGGCTGCTGATCATAATAATAAGAATGCGGCTGGTGATGAAGCTGACGATTCCTTCTTGTCCTCCCAAATGATGTCTGAGGTTTTAACTTGGATATCCTCTTTAAGTTCGTGTCCAATCAGGCCATTGAGATACGTCTCTACTGTGATCTTATTAACGATTCAAAATCGTTTGTGTGTTATTATAAATTCTGTTATTACAAGCCTTGACAAAGCTCAGCGTCAATTATCAAAAATTAAGAGAATCGCTAGTAACAAGTTAAAAATAGAAAATTTGAATAAAACGACTCTAATGTACCATAATCAAAAGGATACTATTACTGAGTACTTTGGAGAAATTGGTAATGTTACGTTAATGCATCGGTACCGTGATATTGATTCATCGATTAGACAAGAATGTGTCAAGAATCTAAGCGTTGCCATGATTACATATCCCGATTTTTTCTTTCAAGCGACATTCTTGCGTTATTTTGGATGGTTGTTATCTGACCCGTCTGTTCAAGTTAGATCAGAAGTTACTAAAGTCTTATCCAAACTTTATAAAAATGCAAATAACAATAATAGCACTTTAGGGATGGGATTCAGGCAATTCACTGAAAGATATAAAAAACAAATTATCAAGATGAGCTTGATGGACATCGATGTCAGTGTCAGATTGTCTGCGATTAGCATATGTTGCGAATTATTGAGAATTGGATTCCTCGAAGAGAACGACAGTCTAGAAATCATATCTAATTTTTTTCTTCTCTTTGAGAACAGAACAAATTTATCCAATACCAATGTAGAGAAATTAAAGCTGGAGCTTTCAAAATTTGTTTGCATTGCGAATCTCGAGAACACTCGAGATGAATTGGAGAAACACTCTTTATTTTTGGAGACTTACGAATCCGATCTGTTTGGTGATAATGATGTATGCCTCGACCTCAAAGAATGCTTGAGAATTAAAAATTTGATACGTTTATTGCAGTCCTCACTTAGCTTTTTTTGTAATGGGCGTCCATCAGCAAAACTAAAATACCCAATTAGTGTTATATTTGCATCTTTATATCAAACCCCAACCTATTCGGGAAGTTGGGAAACCTTGATCCGTTTTTATTTGATAGATATGTCTTCTGTTACATTTCGAAAGAAAAATGAAAAATCAAATGATACAAATGCAGAGGTAATTGCTTTTAAAGCCCTTTTGGATTTTTCTACTGATGAAGAAAAGACTCATCTCTTGGAACTAATCTATGGAGCATTGTCATCCATATATTCAAGGACCTCAAATAAACCCAAAGATTTGGAGGACTTATCATCTATCCTGGTTAAGCTTGTGGATTATCTACCGTCTTTGTTATCTTCGCTGGTGACTTCAAAAATACAATTTTCGGTGTTTGTGCAAATATTCAATAGTGTGATTGAATCTAATGATGAAAAGAAAAACATATACCCAGTTTTCATGAACATGGACCGCCAAAACTCTTATAACGATCTAGTGCATTCTTTACTACTTTATTTCAGGGATTATGATGTGACGGATATAAATTCAGACCCATTTTTGGAAGGCTTTGAGAGATTCTTGGAAAGATTGCTAACCCATTATAATAGCGTCAGCATCAATTCTACATATTTGAATATTATTGATTCAGAGATCCGCTTGGATGTACAAAATTTAATTCAAGATTTAGTTGAGCAAGTTCGTGGTTTATTGATCGGCAATGAACACTCTGAAACACAGCCATTAGGACAAGAAGACTTACTAAAAGTAGTAATCTCAATTTCAAAGCCCATTATGAAGCTACGAATGATAGGGGATCACTGTAATATCAATCAATACTTAGAAGGATCGAATCCTTCATTTTCCTTATGTGAGCAAATTATAGTCAAATCGTTTAACGAGCTCGATATTCAGTTTCTTGTTGAGAATTCTCCCAATCAATTCTTGAATTTAGTTGACGATGGCATTTTATCGTTCAAGGCGATATTGGATTTAATTCTTGTATCTATTTCATGGAAGTTGGAACAACTCATTTATGTTCCTAATACTGAAGGTAATGATCAGGAAAGTCGATATGATATTTCACTTACCTTTTCTGATGCGGATATGATCATTGAACAACTTTGGAGATTGATAAGTTCCATAAACGATGTCGTAAATGGAATCAATGAAAATTTCGGTACTTCTGCAACTATTTCCTGCAACGTTGGCATTTTAATGAAAAAATGTAACAACATGCGAACATTATTTGCTGCAAAATTTATCGATATAATTACATGTCTTAAGATATTCTATACTAAATTCAATGGAAACAACCAATTTAAAAATTTTGACAACTTTTTTGCGAGCAGCAGTGAAATAGGAAATTTGGTTGTCCACATGTTACCAAGCAGCGTTCAGGAAGAGCTACTAAACATATTTTTATTGAAGGAGGCTAAGTTGGCTAAATTTTTAGACGTCGAACTAGAAAAAGGAAACGATGAAAATGTCAACTTAGAAGATCTCGCTGAGACTGAGAATATTGAAGAGGAGCCTCAAAAAAGCTTTTTTGATTCAGATGATGAAGGAATGAGTGATGAAGATGAGGAAGAGAAACTAGCTAGGCAAAAGGCAAAAGAAGATGAGGCAAGGAGCAAAAAGTCTGAAGGGATTTGGAAAGCTGAAAAAGATCTCTGTGTTTATTCCCTCAAGTTTTTTGGTCTTGTCGATCTTTCGATGGTGCGCACCGAGGTCTACGATAGGATCAAATTGAATAGTGATAAGCTTGGGATCCTATACCAAAAAATTGTAACCCAAAACGAAGAACAACTTAAGAGTCAGGAGTCTCACCCTGAAAGCGCTTCTCGATGATATATTAATTTTTTTTAACTAAAAAAGCTGGTTTT